TTCTGCTTTCGTCATGCAAATCATAGTTGATAAAAGATACAACAAATTCACTGGATAACACACAAGAATTCTTTAACTTTTACCTTTTCGTAAGCACAATATTCTGCCCATAACTGTTCAATATTAACCATTGGAGTGACAACACCACGCTGATATACTTTACGAACAGCTGAAATTCGCTGATTCTCTGCATACTGACCAACTGTGGGCCTACAATGCGTATAAATAATTTTCAACAACCATAAAGAATTAAAATTTTAATTTTCCTAAAATAATTAATATAAAAAGTTTAAAAAAAAAGAAGACCGATAAAACTTACGCAGATTTAAGAAAAGAAAGATAATCAGAATAAATTGAATATGAATGCATATCAAGACCAATTTTGTCCAAAGCAAATTCATATGCTTGTGCCATTTTCTCCCTAAAATAGGACCCGATCTCGAAGACTACGAATTAAATACGAGACTCACATCGACTACCGTAGTAGTGAAGTTAGATAACAAACAAATGACAAATAACAATTAGCTTAAGTTTCCTTAAATAATAATCAGCCTCAGTCTCTTTAAAGAATTACGATAAAACTACTTGAGTAAATATCAAACAATTACAAAACATTTAATAACACCGTTTTAATAAAAAGCAATTTCCGGCAATTTCCACCATTTTATTCAATTTATAATCTTAAAGAGAAGTTGAAAGTTGAAGAGCGTTTATGATTAATGGCTACATGATATATGTTATATATAACATATTAGCTGAATCAAAAGAAATGAATATGCCAAACCTGAAAGAGGAGAGATGTCCTTTGGTCTCCCGTACATAGAAAACATAACACTTCCAGAGATCGATGTTGAGAACATGAATAAGACAACGACCAAATAACTGAAAGGAAAAGAAATATTCTCAGAAATGACATCAACGATTGACTAGTAATAAACATATGGATTTTAAGCTGTACAAAAAGTTCTAATCTAAGCATGATAGTTCAATCAAATTTCATATTACCAAAAATACTACTAATTACAGTTTATTACGCGCTACATTATCTAATGATGGTACATCAATGCAAGCTGAACACAAATGTCCAATGTCAACATTCTGCAAATCATGACTATTACGATAATACTCCTTAACAGTTAATCTAATTCGTGTTACTCAGCACATCACAACACTTACAAGCTTCAAATCTCGAGGAGTATATTTTGAATGATGGCTCTCACAAAAAAAAAAAAAAAAAATCAAAATGAAACTAAGGTCCAAAAAAACTAATCGAACATTCAGTGTAATGCGTCCTCTTTCAACCTTCTAACTTCATGCAATCATTCATCTTAACAATTTACAAGTTTTTTAAGATTTCAAACCAAAAAAAACTTAACAAAGAATTCAAACTTACTGATTCCACATTTTCGTAATTTTTGCCACGAAGCTGAAATTTAAGTATATGAAATTTCCTTCTGCTAATAAAAAGTAAAACAGTAAAAAAAAAAGGAAAAAAAAAAAGTTGGAGGTAGAGATCTTACCTGTTAAGGAATTCATATAAAACCGGCCTATCACATGCATTACGTAAAAAGTAATGTCATGAACAGCTATGATAAATGCGAAGAAACACATCATGTCATGTTTTAGATTAATTCAATCAAATAATAACACATACTTAATCATAAAATTTACGACTAAATTTCCCTGTGAAATTTCCAAAATAATGTAATTCATCAATAATTTCGTAATTTGTTAAAAATATAAGCTCAACATTGTGCAACAAGGAGAAAGATGTATCAAAGAATTTCATAGTTCAATCTGGAAATTTGGGAGTATGGAGCTTCAGTTAGCAAAAGTTCTATTCTATTATTTGAGCAAGAAATCATTAATTTCCTAAAATGTATGTGCCTAGACTTTCTTCAAAAAAATAGAAAAAGAAGAGACTTGTTTGAATAATTGTTATTGTTTTCAATTAGTGTATTACTGTTACCGTAAAACGATTTCTCAAAATTCACACCATGGGCATGGGAACATCCAAATTTCCAGTCTGATACTCCACCCCTCTCTCTGTTATCTCTGTCCCTGGTTCTTTTCGTATAATTTCATACGCCCAAAAAAAAAAAAAAAAGATGTAGTGTGAAACAAAGTGAATTTTGAAAAATGATGATTAGTTGCAATGTGGAAGAGATCATATCTGTTGTATATTCTTTATTCTCTGGTGGGAAAAATTTAAGAAGAAGAAGGAGAAAGGACAAATGCAATCAGAATTATGCATTTTATTACTGCTGAGTCACTTTCTTGAGTAAAAATTTTTATTTCGTTCGGGATGATGGCAAAAAATTCATGCAGCAGTAGTAATACATTTGATACTTGTTCAAAACATAGACTAAAGATAGAGTATGTCATTTCCTAATTCACACTTTTTGTTCTCAGTTTCACAGTATTCCCATGTCTGTTTACACGAAGAAGGAGAAGAAGAGCGAGCACCACTGCGCGCTGCAAAATTGCAAAACAAATAAAAATGATGGTATTCAATTGATGGAAACTTGTTGCTGCTACACTCATAATGGTATATCAAATGTCCTCCATGTTCATGATTTATGGAATCATGATTTTAATGAACAAAAATGATTAACAATCAATCCTTGAATGCATATTTTACGAAATTTTATACTGAATTTCTTCGGTATTTGCTTTGGAGCTTCCTCCCTCCCTACTCTCTCCCCTCACTCCCATTGTGTTTCGCTTGCAAATATTTTTAGCTGAAATGATTGTAATGAGTAAATGCAAGTTCAAATATGGCTTCTCGACAAATGGGTTAGGTAATAAAAGCTAAAAATTTTGAAGCAAATCAAAACCTTCAGCAGAACTTACTTCATGATCTATGTATGCTTTCCAGTAACGGCCAGCATTCGGAAACTGCTTCACTAATTTCTCGTAAAACGAACGCACCTGATCAATTGGTCTAGCCTGAAATTCCAAAAATTGTAGGCTTTTTTTGAGTATCATAGTACCCCTCTAACCTGCTTTTTGCCCATTTGAATAAAAGCAGAGAATAAGCAAGTTTATTTCAAAGAAAAATTGTTTCAAAGAGTTCCATCTTTCAAATGTATTCTCGTCATCTAGATCTATGAAGAAACAAAGGAAGTTCAGTGCAAACAATTCAAACTATTTCTAGTGTAAAATGATGATAATTATAAAAATATTCCAGTTCAATTAATCTTCACTACTTTTTACTAAACAAAAGTGTCTCCCCAAATGATACCAAAGTATAATTCAAAAAAAAAAAAAAAAAATTGGTCACAATTATTCCGAAAAGTTTACTTTTAAATGGAATATGTTATAACGTTAACTGGCCTATTCCCTTACTTTAATACTGAAGATTTAATAAAACTGAGATATAGTTATCCTAACTTATGTACCACTTACTACTACTAAAATTTACTCGTTCGTTAAACTAATCAAATTGAGAGTTTACGTTAAACCGAACATCTTCCCACATATAGCATCTGATATAACAAATACCTGTGACTCTCGCAGCAAAAGATTCCAGGCATCGACATCAAAAGGATTAAGTTCAATCCGACGTTCGGGACTTACAATCGAAAGCGAACTCATCGATGACTTAAAATGAATGGAAAAATCATCAAATATTTTAGTTCATGAATTAAACAAACAACATGAATCACTTTGCAGTTTTTAGTTCTACTCACCATACAATACAGTCTAATCACCATCAAGGTATTTTTGATCAAACAATTCTCCTGACTAACTGAAGAAGATACCAGTGAATTAATCAGAAAATATTCCAATCAACTTAAATAAATTTAGAACGTATTCTAGATCATAGAACGATCAACTTTATGGATTGTTCAGATGTAAAAAATTTGAAAAAAAAAAAGAAAAGAAGACAAATCGCTTATTTAAATTCAGGCGTACTTACATAAATATAACAATAAATAATTTTTTTTCCTATTCTAACCTTCTAACACTCTCAATCTCTAATTAATATTAAATCACAATGATTCTACTACTATTTCCTAGGCCCTTCATTTCATTTCCCTTTTGTCCTCCTCATCCATTCCTATAATTTCTCCCCTGAAACGATTATTGTCCTCAAATCTGATGCATTTTCTAACTTTCATATCCATCAATTCATCTCATTCATTCTGATCCCTAATCTCTCTCAAGTCTGTATAATATCTCATTGCTCTCAATCCCTAATCTATAATATCTCGTGATCTTATCAATCTCTGACTCTCTCAAGTATACACACTATCATATCCAAATAAAGAAAGTTTGACACAATTCTACGAACAATGAAAACAACAAAAAACGCATCAGCTCAAACCGAAATGATTACACAAGTTGTCAACTTTTCGTGTTGGGAGTTAAAACCACAATAAAAGCTTCATATGACATCTGAAAGACACTAAGTTACAATAATTAAATTAAAAATTAAATTATAACACATTAGGTATGTATTCATTGATTTACATTGCATTAAAATTTAGATTCAAATTAAAATTCTAAATATCTCATTCTAATTTTAAATTGACTAATCAATTCAGCTTGACTTTAAAGATATGATTTTATTTTGTTTCATAAGAATTGTTCATTTGCATTTTAAAAATATTAGAACATTAAATTCTTTGTAACATACTATAAACGGATAAAGTATTCTATGAATATATGATATTATGAAAAGATCTATGGAATTTATTAAATCAGATATTAGGATAAGATGCCAAAAATATTGTATGAGTAATATCTTAAACTAATGTTTTAAATAATATTGAAGTGTAAGAAATAAATTCAGTTTTGGGTATAAAAAAGATAATTACACGTAAATAGTCGAATATTGGATTACAAACGCATAAATAGTTTCACTCAACTAACTAAAAATATAAGACGTATATGAGACGTGTAATTGCGTATACAGACTGTGTCAAATCAATATATCAGGTGGCTATCATATGTTGTATCTTTTTTTTTCGGGATATCTCGGGAATGAGTTGTTAATGACTCGTCGTCCAGGTGTATTGACATTTATTTGGCGTAATTTTTTGGATTCGCTTGATCGGAAACGATTCCAGAAGACTTTCGTTGGTAATGATGAACAAGGTAACAAATACTACGAATTAACTAAATCTCGACGAATTGTTAACAGGTCAGTAGTGTTGGCGGTGTTGGTGGATTTTTTTTTTCAAATATCGAAACTTTACTTAGGAATTTTGCTTTATTTAGTTTTTTTTTTTTTGAAGAAAAGATGAAATAACGCTGTCATCTTCATTATAGTGGTGTGAAACTACAGGTTATTTCGGTTGATAAAATAACATTCTGATGAGTTCCAATTGTAATTAAATCGCATTAAGTTATGGAATAAATTTCAAGTTATGGATTCATTTTCAATAAAATATAAAATGAGTGGAATAGATTGTGTGGTGAGTTATAACAGATTATGTAGTGAGCTTGAGTAATAAGTCAGACGGGTAGCTGCAGTCATTTCCAGATAAAAATTCTTCAAAAGTTCAGTAGACATATACTGACAGAAAAAATAAATTAATTAAAAATTTTCGCCTTGTCTAGTGCGCGGAATCGATTGTACAAATTTTAATAATTTTTCAAGATTAGAATTACACAATATGATATTACAACAGTAATTAGGCTTTAAATCAATGTGACATGGAGGTATATAATTAATTTCGTATACATTTCTGCTCTTCGTTTTTACAGCATAATAAACATTACAGGGGTTTTGTTCCAGCAAATACGTCATCTCAGGTGCCATCACCAGAATGGCTAACATGGCTACGAGGAATACGGAAATTGCCACCTACAGAAGAAGAAATCTTGGCGAATAAGCAAGCTAGAGAAGAGGTTTATGATTAAAATTTTCATTCAGTTGTTTGCAATGTAGATAAAGTTTTTCTTCAAAATTCTAATTAATTTTTCAGTCAGCAGATGGGATAAGATTGGTAATTTTATTTTCATAAGTCTTTAGCTACAACCGTTATATGATTATGTGATAAACTATTCTATATACAATTTTCGTTTTATTTTCTTTATTGTTATTATTTTAACTAATTATCCAAGCAGCTGTCTTGTATTTTTGTACTTGACAACCAGGAGAATTACATATTTTATGGTTATCAATATTCAGTAATCTTGCAGGTGGTAGAGAAGATGAAAAAACTAGAACAGGATAGAAGGAACGAAATTCCAGCTAATGAATCAAAAAAGATACCTTACATAGAATCGACAACGATATCGGACGATTTCGATTCACAACCTAGAGGTTTTCCACGTTACGTGGACTACGATAAAAAACAGCCAGAAATGTCATGATTGTATTTTTGTTTCTTAGAAATTTTTTTGTTTGAAAAGTTCTTGAGCAAGTTATTCTAAAATTCGAATCTGAATTATTTAAATTATGAAGGATTCAGCAAACTTTTAAAATTTTTAAATCCAGGATTAGAAATGGGTTATCACTTTTCCCATCTGATGTTGTTGAGCCATTAGTGCACTTCAATTAATGTAGGGATGATTAATGTAGAAGAAATTTAAGACCAGCATTATAAGAGTTCTTAGTACTTCTACATTTCTATTTGTGAACTGCATTTTTATTCCGTCGAATTAAATGAATAGCTGAAAAGTGTACTGTTTGCCAATCTTTATCATGAATTAATTTATTTTGTTTGTTAGCTTTCTTGTACATTGCTTCATAGTTACTACACATTTTTCTGGAATACACCTTTTTGAAAGTTTGATTTTTGTCTGATGAATATCGGAATGACTATCATTACTTCATCTCGTATAAAGCTGAAAACAGTTGCTTTGATTAGCTAGTAAGTTTGGTAAACTGATGCGATTGATCTCGGGAAGACATTCTTGGCTATAAACTGTGGTGTGTGTTGACGAATTTCTTGTGTAAAGCGGTTAAGCAGTATAACATTCACCTGTGAGGCTTGACAGAATAAGCAATATGCAGTCTATAGCTTTTTCTAGATGAGCGCAAAATTGTGCCATGCATTATTAGCACGCCGATTATTTTCTGGTATCTCCAGCACAAAGAACCGATTTTATGAGGTAATCATAAAATTGAAAAAAAAAAAAAAAAAAAGATTATGAAGTAATCATGATATTAAATATCCACTTTTAAAGGCATAAAGTGCTTTAGGTTGTAAAGAGAATGATTTTTTAACAAATATTTTGGTTAAATCAAGTGATTTTTCATTAGCGAAAATTTTAAACTCTATTGCTTACAGGAAGCGCGAGTTGTATTTAAGCCTGTGGAAGAAGTTTATAACATATATCTTGATAAACACTGTTTAGTTACACCAAAACGGAACCCAGTAAAGGTTTGGTTTTCTTGCAAAATATTGTTGTGTTTTTTTCCAATAATGACATAAAATTAATCAAGTGTATTCCTTTTTTTTTTTTTTGTCATATGTCATTCAATAAGAAGCGTGAAGGTAAAAGCCATCTGTTTGCTTTTTCAGATATATTCTGAAGCGCTTGCACTTGCTGTAGCGCAGGAGTGGAATATGCAGACGAATGAATTAAGGGTAAACTTAATGAGGCTCACAGGCTTGATTTTCACAGCCACCGATAATCCAATGTCATTGCAGAAGTATGCATTTTTTTTTTTTTTGAAAGCTATATTACCTTACTAATTTTTGTGGAAGTGAGGATTCAGGGTGAGAATTTGTTCTCACTCTGAATTAGTATAGCAATAAGGAAATTAGCTTAGTATGCTGTTCATATTTGCATAAATATGTTGCAGTTAATGTTAACTTAATCTTTAATGTAACTGTTCATAAATTGCTCCTGAACTGATTGTTTAAGACTATTATGTCGAAATAGCATAAAATTAATTTATATAATTCAAAAGATAAGCAGTACGCTCTATTTATCTTTGTTGAATGATTTAGTTCATATTTTCAGATCTGATCTTTTATCACAAGTGCTCCAATTCCTGGATAAAGATACAGTTCTATATCGACTGGAAGAAAACAGTAATTTACTACACCTGGAAGAGACAAATTGGAATCCTGTAGTTGAATGGGTAAACTGGGAGTATGGTTTGTCAGTGAAACCGAGTTATTCAATAGTTGAAGGCTGGTTGAATTTTTTAAATGTTTCATGTTTGTTTTAATGAAGTAGCTAATTTTGCCGTTAAATGACGGTCATCGTGAATTTTTGAGAGTTAATTGTTTAGCACTTTTTCATTATGTTAACAGCAGAACTTGTTAAATTGCATGCAGAAATTCTGAATTCGCAGAAACTTTTGAGAGTTATCCTATCCTTATGAATGATTATTGTAGTATCTTTCAGAAGCTGTGATTGACAATAATTCTCGAGTTCGTTTGGCAAATCAGCTATCAGATTACAATTTTCTACAACTGGTCGGTTTACAATATGCTACTGAAGCGCTCAAATCTGTGTTTCTCACCTTGGCAACCGTATCCTCTCGTTTGGATATTGATGAAGCCGTTGAGCTAGCACTTCTTGAACAGAAATACCAAAGTGATGTTTGGGGAAAGGTTGATAATTCTAGATTGTATATCAGTTTTTGTCCAAAAAAATACTCTCGACCTTTTTTTTTGGCGGAAGCATGATTGTCTATTACTGAAAATAAGCAACTTATGCGTAATGGCGAAGCGATAAAAATAATTGCAGGTTGAATGGGCACATGATATTGAACGAGAAGAGCTGATTTCACGATTATCGGCCGGTGTGTTGTTAGTACATTTGGGTGATTTTGAACTAGGATACGAAGCAGAATCTCAAAAAAATGAAATTGTGAAGAATAATAAAGAAGTGGTCTAAAGTTTTTTCGATTGCTGCAGAATCCATTGATTTGAAATTTTCGATTATATGTAGCTTTAACATAGATAGCACTAATTTCTTCATTTTATATATGTTAGTCGTTTAAGTATTAATAGGGTAGAAGATACTGTGAGTATAAATAATCAAAGACTGATTTGAAACGAAGGTTTTAAACGTTCATTTGAAGGGATAATACTTAGATGCTTGACGTGTGGTAATCATTTTGCTTAAATGTCTGGTGCTCAATTTGTCTCCGGAGAATTATTTGATAACTCTCCATTTGTCATATGGGATCATTGATGATCATTTTTGTTTTGTTGTCTTACCTGTTTTGATATGTAATTGTTAATGATTACATCTAATATTTAATTTGATAAAATGTTTATCACCAAAGTTAATGCATTCATTGTTTGATGTGTTTAAAATTCATCATTTATCTCGCTGATATTCATTAAATTTTTTCTTTTTTGACTATATACTATTTATTATTAAAAATTGAAAACGGGTGCTTCTTATGTGTTTTCTTCTAATTTCGTTAATTTTCATCATAATTAAATCATAGTTGTAATCTGAAGGTTAGAAATTTTTGAAAAATTGAGAAGCAAAGGAGAGAAAATGCAGAGAGTATGAATAGTGGTAAAAGAAAAAAAGCTATAAATGTGTTACTTTAATGTGGCCAAAGGTTAAGTTACTTCACTTAGGTTTAGTTTGTAATTTGTTTTCATAATGTTTGTTCATCTTTGTGTATCTCTGTGTATGTGTATGTCTAAGTTGTTTATTTGTTTGTATGTATGTGTGTGTGTGTGTGTATGTGTGTATGTGTATGTGTGCATGTGTATGTGTGTGTGTGTGTGTGTGTGTGTGTGTGTGTGTGTGTGTGTGTGTGTGTGTGTGTGTGTGTGTGTGTGTGTGTGTGTGTGTGTGTCTGTGTATGTGTATGTCTAAGTTGTTTATTTGTTTGTATGTGTGTGTGTGTGTGTGTGTGTGTGTGTGTCATTTGCATCCAGTTGCTGTCAACATTGACTGTTTTCATGTTTTCATTCTTAGTTTTTTAACTTTTGTGAAAAATTCTCAAATGTTGCAACTTCTTTCACATTGCTTTTATTTGTCAAGGAGTGGTTTTTTTTTTCTAATATAGAATTCATGGATATGATTAAAGTAATCATTCGAAAGTAAGTGATAATATAGAGAGTAGTTCGATAATGAAGAATTAGAATTTTCTACTTAATATTTATGAGGTTTGTGATACTGTTATGCATTTACTTTCAGAGATAGCAATTCTAAGAGCAGTGATAAAGAAAGGAAGGGGAATCGAGATAAAAGAAGACGATTATTGTTAATGTGATGGCATTTTTTATGATAATTTTCCAATAAGCTATGAATGAGTGTTTAAATTCTTTAAATTGTCATTTGTAAAGTTTTAGTTCATAATAAACAATTTAGTTTAGCATAGTATAGGTAAAGAAGCATAGGTGAAAAAAAAAAAAAAAAACTATCTCTCACAACAAATGGGCTGAATATCAGAAATGAAAGTACGATTACTTTAGTTTTACTTCACTCGCTAGTAATTTAGTCGAGAATTTTTACACATTCCTGAGTAACCTTGCTAGTATTTTTTTCGGTTTTTCGTTGATGATTAAAATGAATTAAGATTATTCGTAGGTTTACTGATATAATATGAAGATTATTATTCATACGTTTACTGATATAATAATATAATGTACTAAAATCTATATCGTATTAGAGTTAGCTTATTTTGATAGTATTTCATTTTTTTTTTTTTTTTTTCAAGGAAATTAATATTGAGCGTATCTAGCATGCGTGAATATTCTTAGGAGGTTTTTGTTTTTGTTTTTAATAAAAATTAGCGAAATGTAAATTGTTGATAAACACATTAAATGTATTATTATATGCTACAAATTGTTTTTTTTATAATATATTTTGACGTTGCACTCAGATTCATTTCCAAAAATGAATTTAAATTGTAAATATATATATATATTTGATTTTTTTTTTTTTTTATATTTTACTTTATATATATATATATGAATTAGAGTTATATGTGAGAGTTAAATGTTTAGCATTCAGTGTGTGTATATGTCTGTGCTTTACAAATTATACAAACAATGAGAGAGAAAAGTATGAGTGAGAAATGGTGATTGATTAGACTTGAAGATCCATTAAAAGTATGTTAAATTGTTCTCTTCAGTTTGCTTAAGTTTCCACTTATACTTTTTTTTTTTAATAGTTTTCTACACTTGTAGTTTAAAATTTTCTTTTTTTCAAAAAAAAAAAGAAAATGTCAAAACTTATCTGCATTTTTGAATATAACAAAAGATTAATTATCAGAGGATTTTGGATACAAAAGAAGAATTGATGTCAGTGCTTTAGTTGTAAGAGAAAGAAGTTTGCTTATTTTCTTGATATAGTAGGGATAAATTTTTTGAATACTAATGGCAATAACAATTTTTGATTTGACAAATAATTACTAGCATTTTGATTGGAAGGGTTTATATTTTCATTGCTAATTAACGTTTTTTTTTTTTTTTTCTTTTCATTTCTATTTATATTATATTTGTTATTGATATATTTGTAGAGTTATCAACAATGTCACTACGTCGAGTAACATTTAGTGGACGATTTGCACAAAATGAAAGTAATGCAGAAGAATCAAGAACTATGATTATTGCTAAAGGACTTTTTGCTTTAACAGTCGATGTTGGAATTGCATTAGCTGTAGCATTTTATGCATTAAATATGTTTGTTGGCAAACTTGTTATACCATATGAACGTGGTTTCTACTGTTATGAGGTAAATTTTTTCTTTTTTAAATTTGCAGAAATGAAAAATTTCTCATTATTTGTACTTGCTATATTACTCATATATTTTACTCACAATTAATGAGTAAAAAATATGAGGAAACAATGTGCTATGTTTTTGTTTTTTGAATAGTTTGAGAAAGTTAAATTTACATCCGAAAAATAACATTAATTAGTGAGTAGTTAGGTAAAGAATTATTTTTTTAATAGACCAATTTTTTTCATTAATTTTCTTTCTTTTTTTTTTGTTGAATTTCTGTGTTAAGTTCTTTATTTGTTGCTACGTCTAGTATTGTGAATATCTAATGTATTTGTGATTTAACTTTGGACTATTCCACATTTTTGTTTTTTTTTTTATAACCTCTTTTGTTGTAATTGTTAAAATGGATTTAAATTTGCGAAAAGAAGAGAGAAATCCTACAAAGATTGGAGCATATACTAAGAGATATATTGAAGTGCAAATATAAGTTAGTCGGTGTTGCAAAAAAATACTAAACATATTCTTGAAATAGCATATCTCATATGAAATTTTTGTAAGGTAGTGAATTGCTGCAAATTGAGTTCTCTTCAAATTTTCATGTAATCAGAAATAGTAATAATATTAACAATAACATTATTGAAATTAATAGTTGTGACAAATTTTGACTTTAACAGCATCGCTTAATGTTTGTTTTTCTTCCAGGTACCACATATTAGTAATCCATTTCGTCCAAATACCATATCAACAAAACATTTGCTAGCTGTATCCATTGCTTCACCACTTTTCATCATCCTATTAGTAGAAGCTGTAGTATTTGTAATATCTGATGGTCGAAATAAATTGCGCAAATATTTTCACTTTACCACATCAATCTATCTCATGTATATTGTTTCATTTGTTATTGCAACATTTATAATGGAGGTATTCTTTTTTCTTTCTAATATTTTCATTTCTTTACCTTTATTTATACATAATTCAATGTTCTCATATCGTCCTAATATGTCTTGCACTGATTTGAAAGTTTGAAAATTAAAATACATTCAAATACTAACTCTAAAAACTAATAATCTTTTTTTACGAAGGATAAAGATGAATTTTCTATATTTCCAGGTGCTGAAGTGCGCATTTGCTCGATTAAGGCCACACTATTTAAGTGTTTGCCAACCGAACTGGAAGGAAATCAACTGTACCGATCCAAATGCTTATATCGAAAGTAAGTGTTATTTGTTTTCAGTTTAAGCTAGATTAGTTTGAAGTTGAATGCTATAGTAAAATATTATGAGGAAAAAGAATGAGAGATAAAGCTTTACATAGTGAAAGTAAAAGTAGGTTAGAAAAAAAATTCAGTTTTGACAGATTAGAAAATTTTGATAGGTTTAGTTCAAATTTTTAAAAGAATAAATCTCCAATATATGTTTTAACTTTCTACTACTAAAGTAAGCAATATGTGAATGTGAGTAACAAGCTGAGCGGAAAATATTATAAATGGAATTTTTCGAGGTAGTATGACTTAATTTTAATAAGAAATTATGAAATTTGTAAGTGTGAATTGTTTATTTGTAGGTGTAAATTGTTTGGGAACGAATATGCATCGAATTCGTATCGGACGTCAAAGTTTTCCAAGTGGCCATACATCAGCTGCTGTATTGCTCTTTTTATTCTTTTATTTTTACCTGAAAGGTATGCTACCAAAAAATGTTGTCTAATGGCAAGAAGTTTTATCTAAGCGATATACATATATTAATTATAATAATTTGTAATGATAATGTAATGATAATTAGAAAATATATACTAATTATTTCGTATGATAAACGATATATGTGTTATATTTGTTGGTTCAGAAGAATTCATTAATGATTTTAAATACGAAAAGGTATAAATGAGGACGATATGTTATTTCCAACGAGCTTCTTTTTGTTGAAATATTTAATAAAATTCTCATTTTTTTTAGTATTTCTCTTAAAATCCTTGCTTTCTCAGTTTTCATTCGTTTTATTTTCATTTATCATTTTTTTTGAAAATACTATTTAACTGTTTAAGATAACATTTTTAAATGTATTATTTACTATTCATTTTTTTTTTTTTTATTTCTCAAAAGAAATTTTGCATTAAAGAAAGCGAATATTGTTTTAAGCTTTCATTCTTATAAAGTTGAATTAATCAATTTATTTATTTATTTTTTTATTTGTTCAGGTATTGTTGATGCTACTGGCAATAAATTGTTACGAGTAATCCGTTTTACGGTGCTAATTATAAGTGGTACATGGACAATAGTGGTAATGGTAACTCGCATAACTGATTATTGGCATTATCCGACGGATGTTTTAGGTGGAATAATATTAGCTCTTTCATGCGCGTATATTTTTATTCGGAAGACACACTCTTCATTGGTTTATCAGAATCGTTTGTTGGAAAATATGCATAATTCATAAAAATTTGATTTTTTTTTTTCTTTCCGTCATGTTTTGTTGTTATAAATTTAAAAGGAAAGAAAAGACTATCCGGTTCTTGTATATCATGTTTTGCCTTTATTTTTTTAGAATTTAATTGCTCGCCTATCACTTGTAGCTTTGAATCTCATATTTTATCAATATTAAGTGTAATTCTTGAATGTTTCAAAATCAAATTCTGTTTACATATCAAGACTGGCTGCTAATTTTCTTATATAGCAAAATCTAAATTGAAGCTTTATTTTGTACATATCGATAAATTTATTTTCAAAGAATTGTTAGTGCTAAAATGGAGTTTGATATGAATAATATAATATATACTATATGCGATCATTGGCGACCAATGTTTTTTCTTTTTTTTGTTTTCCAATTTTCTTGGTTTTTTTTTTTTTTTTTTTCTGTTATGTAATTTAGATTTTTGTTATATTTGATATTTCCTCATTTGATATCATATTTTGATGCTTTTCTGAATATGAAGTATTCTTCAGGTTGTTAATTTTAATTGGAACTGGTTGTTATACACTTATTATTTCTATTACTATCATTATCATTTAGCTATGTCAACATGCTTATATCTCAAATTTATTTTATACTTGGAATAGGTTGATAAATTTTCTGTTTTCTTTTTTGAAGGTATATCTACCAACAATAGAAATGACATGTTTTTTTTTTAATTAAAATATATCGCTTTCCTGAGTTTAAATCAACATTTAAATTGAATTACAGTTGTAACTTTGCTACTCACAAGATGATTGATAATTTCTTAGAGGAAAGAATTTTATGAGGGCCTGGAAATCAAAATTAAAGTTTAGATTAGAGCCAAATTCCTTCTCTCATGAAATTCATGGATTCTTAGGATCATCCAAGATATAATGGAAATGCTGAACAGTGAATTATTCGGCTCGATAAAATTTTAAGTGAAATCGGATTCTTGAAATTCCATTTTTTTAGTTAGGGAAGTATATGTGTGAAAATTTAAAATTTTCCTCATCTCTTTTAGTTGTAATTTAGTGAAAATAGTGAGCATCACCAAAATTTTTGCCTATTTATTAAGTTGCCGGAAGTTTTGTTTATTCATTTCAAAAATCATAAGTTTTTCCTGGAGATTCGAAGTACAGTTTCAAATTATTTTGCCTTGTATTAGGAGAAGATAACCTTTATTAAATTACTTGCTTTCCAAACCTAGAGTTGAAAACTTGGAAAGAACCTGAAAAAATGATTTGTATGATGTGATTCTATTTGAACTATATCTTTTGAAACAATTATTCTACATTAATTCAGGTAATACCTGTGCACTGGATGGCCTGTTTTGATCCGGATGAACTTGCCGATTTTATCAGATATCAATGCATTATTAATGCTGATGATAATGGTCTATGTAAGAAGATATTGCGACCACCGGCAAGGTATAACAAAAAAATTAAATTTTCCTTTTATTCGTTTTGAAAAATGTATTTTATTTAATGAATATTAACTGTAGCTGAAGAGAGTAATTGCTTTTTCTAATGAAACTTTTCTTGATTTTATTTGTTTGAGTTTACGTTTCTACCATTTTTTTTTTTTTTTTTTTTAAATGGAATGTTTGCTCTTGTATTTTTAGTTAGTTAAGTATGAATATGTAACTTTATATTCATTTTTGAATGTGAAATAAGTAAAAATGATGAAAATAGTGGACTAAGTTAAATTATTATTCATGTATAAGATTTCAAATTGGTTTCAGAAAAGCAAAACCTGGTGGTTTACCATTGAATTTTCGTTCTACAGATGATTCTGATACGAGTAGTGAGGAACACTCTCCATGCTATTTGGTCTGTTGAGATTACCTCTCTTCATTTGCAACAAAATTTGGATAAATAAAATCAAATTAAATTTACAAACTTGCCGGTTTTTTTTTCTTTTCAGGCTACTCCTGATTACCAGTCAACTTACGAACTATTACAGGAACGATTACGTTCTAGAATTCAGGAAAATGACCTATCAGTTCAAAGTGATGAAAATAAAGAGATGAAAAATGATGCAGTTAAAACACAACTGAGTACATCAGATTTGGAATTTTTTCAATGTGATGATAGATCGTGTAGTTCGTCACCACTTCCTGCGAAAAAATCCATTATTGGATTGTAAGCTGTTCCTATTTAATCATACTTAAGAGTTATTTTTAACTTGGAAATTAATTTTTGCTTTTAGACTTTTGGAGAAAACAGATTTTGTAATCAGATCTGATCTTGCAGCTTATGCAAGGTTTGCTGCATCGGTAAGTATCGTTTCTAAACTTGACTTTTTTTTTTACCTGGAAATATTCGTATTTCAAAAATATGAGAAACAGTAGATCATAATTATTAGCTTTGTAATAAATTAAAAAATTTTCTTGACGTGTCTGTTATTCGTGCAATATTATTAGTATTGCATTGAACATTGCAAAGTATAAAATGTTTTCTTTACCAATAAGCTTTTTTTTTTAGAAATGGACAAATAATTTAGCTATAAAATAAATTTCGTTCTTTTTTTTTTTTTTTTTTTTTTATAGCTAATTGAGTTGATCAGAAAAATTTTCCAAACTCCTTTGGTTGATTTGAATTAGAGGTAAACAAAAAACAGTTTAGTGGAATAAATAGATATGTATCGATTACTGCATAGTATCATCATCTATTATTTGAAAATATTATATTTGTTTTTAGGATATCAAAAATGGTCGAAAACTATTAGTTTTCTACCCTTTTGCCGAATCTGAACCAGGCAGTAGTAAATGTTTTTCATTAATTATCTATGCTCAGTGCGAAATTTGCATTTCTGATCTTGTTGGTTTATGTTGCTATGAATATGCACGGATTCGAAGGACGAATAGTATTGAGTATGCATTTCGGCCTTTATTAATTAGCATGAAAATTATTAATTGATTAACATTGATTCGTAAAATCTGTTTCAAACAAACTTTATTTCATCATAAAGTGTGCTTTTTTTGAATTTTGTCAAATACTACTTTACTAATTTATCATCAGAAGTTCTAGCTACTAGTAAATTAGCATTAATATAGCGCGAAAAGCTAAAATAACCTATTTTATTCCGTTTTTAATCCCTGTTAATGTATGTTTTTGAAATATTTGAGGTTTTATGCTTCAACAATAAATATGAGATTCTTAATAGAAAAAACTATGAGTATAGTATCATAAAGTGCACATTAACAAAAGTATGAAGTTTTTTTTTTTCTTTTTTTTTTGCATGATCTGAATTTGTTGTTGTTTTCAAAAGTTAAGAAATTAAATGAGTCATCTATTTAGAAATTTATATTTATAAAATTAATGTTTCTTTATTTTCAGATCAGTTACGCAATATCATTTATTGATGGCTGAAGAAAATGGTGAAGTGGATCGAGACTTACCGGCAGTTGATGGTCATCGTTTATTAAATGAACTTGGCGCATGTTGGTCAACGGTTGCTCTAGAGAAACGACAGAGTCTTAATTATTTGGGATTAACAAATGTTGTTGTGTCAGTTCTGTTGTCGCGTTTTTTTTTTTTTTTTTCTTTTTTCTTTTTTGGAGTAATCAGTGGAGACTGATACCTTCCTGATGTTTGATTTAGAGGCAAATACAATTCAGGTATACCATAAGTGGTAAACAATATGAATTTTCAATGGATTCATTGGATGTACCCTTGCAATGGCTTCGTGATCAGGCTATCAAGAGACGTATAGAGGATGAGGGTCAAGATTTCATGAGTGATTGCCCAGCTTGTGAGATATTTCATTCATTTTACTTTATTATAATTGTATATTTATTCGTATTTTTTATGAAATAGAATTGTTTATTTAGTGCTAGCACTTATGTTTTCTAACTTAACTTTAATTAGAATTCTGATCTTATTTGAAATGAATTCTATTTTACAAAAGTTGGAAGAAGTAAATTTGTGTTCAATTCAATTTAAGTGCAAGAATATGTTTTGGAAACTATGAAGCAACCTAATGTTGTGCTTGATCTCAATAAGCCAATATCCAGTACGGCTTCATTGGAATTTCTACTGCTGCGCATAAACAGTTTGTTTTGTTCCCATTGTTTATTATCCTCTTAATTTTTGAAAATGATGCATATGTGTATTTTTTGTTTATGTAACGGTTTTGTTTTTAAACAAAAATCTATTCTAGGCTCTAGAGGTGATTTTGCTCCAACATGTAGTTCAAGTCTTAGTCAGGAACATAGTTCAATTTCAAAAATTGAGGAACATTTGATAAGCTCATTACCAGAACGACGGAAGTGCTCTGGTAAATTTTAAATTTATTTAATTTTACGATACACGCTAATGTTGAATAATTCTTTCTTAAAAAGTAAAAAAAAAATTAAAAGAAATATTTTGAAAGTTGGTTCTCTTGTTGAAAATCTCTAGTTTAATTGAAATTCAATTTTAATCTTGAATTTATTATTCGACTCTTTACAATTCAATCTGTAAATGATACAGTAGAATACTACGACACCATTTCAGCATCAGATAGCGATATCAAAGATTCACTAGATAATTCGATTGCATCTTATTCAGTAGAGAAGATACATCGATATAAGCCGAAATGGAATGCTTTATTAAGTAAAAGTTACTCGTATTTATTACTTTGTATCTCCTACGTTTTCTTTTTATAATACTTATGATTTATCATTTATTAAAGGACATCTAAAAAGTTATGCTTTTTTTTTTATGTTTTTTTTGTTTTATGAAATTATCTTATTCGTCGCGAAAACAATTCATGATTTATTAGAAGTTATTTTATCTAAGTTTTAACGGTTGTTCTTTCTTTTATTTTTTTTTTCTTATATCACATTTCTCTATTTTTGTGTAAATTAATTTAATACAACTATAAAAAAAGAACTACTTCATGGGATGTCATTTTTCTTTGTTATAGCTATTCAAAAGAATGGTTTTGAATTAGGACCAAGCCATATGGATCGAATAAGAACACGAAATTCCATATTTTTACATTCTTCTATGAAAACTTTGTACGTAGCATGGGATTACGTTGGTGGAGTTGAAATCACTGATCACTCAAATTGTAATTTTACGGTTTTTGTTATTTAAAAATCTAGTACTATTATTATTTTGCCTAAGTTTTAATCTTCGTTTCCCTTCTTAAAAAAAGAACAAAAGTTTAATGAATTCACAGAGGGATTTAATCTTATTTGACAACATATGTATTGAAGGTTCATTTTAAGAACATACAAATTATATGTTGCATAGTTTGTCTTATCACTCAATGATATCTGTTCAAGAGCTCTGACAATTCTTGTTTTCTTTTTAATCTATGTTTCATTTCATTTCTTAATTCTTTTTATTTGCAGCAAAACGAGGAATAAGGATTGTTTGGTTATCATATCCAGCAATAAATCAATCAGAAGCACTACAAACAAGCAAATTAAGTAGTAGCATGCAACATTCAGCATTAAGTTGCGAATCAGATATATTAACTGAAAATTATGAATTATCAAAGCGAAAGGTTAGTGATATTCATTGGCAATTATTGAATTTTCATTGAATCCATATTGTAGTTCATTTAATGTTTTACTGTGTTTTGATTTTTGCTAAGAGTTAAGAGTTAATTAATTTTATTAGCTTTTTTCTTCAACTATTTTTAGCCTTACGATGATGCATGTTGGAAAATATTGCAGTTGGAGGCAGATGTTGATGATGCTTGGAGTATAGCAGAAAAGGTTTAAATTTCAATTTCTTTTTGAATGATAATATGACTAGTGCTAACAATAATTTATTGTCTGATAAAATGTTTTACTAATAATAGAAGTAAGTGATAATTTTATTGATATAGCATCTAAATCATTGGACAATTTGTAAACCATTTGATTTCAAATTTAAACAAATAAATTTAAATACTGTTAAATTTATTACTCTAAAAAATGTGGAGCTTTTTGATATCCTACAAATTCTTGCAGATAAATACCATAATCGATAATATAAATTCAACAGTTCGCCAAATTTACAAATATTCAAATGGTGGAATTAAGAAGCCAAAAAAAGCAGCTACAAAAGCATTTAGTAGTATCCCTGACATACAATTCAAAAGACAAAATAGTTCTGTTAGTCCTGCAATTCGCACAGTATCCCAGTTAACTTCCACAATGACAAATGCAATTCCGCTACTGTTGAAGCTATTGTCGAAACATAATTAAATTAACCATGTGATTGATGTTATTATGAAGGATACAATTTAAACTTTTTAGGTAAATTTTAGGTTTTGGAATATGCGAAAAGCATTTTTAATTTATAAACACTTTTCTTTCGTTTACTATAAAGCTATGTTGTATTGTACAGTATTGTTTAAATAGTTTACTGTTTATGAACTATTTCATCTAGAAATGGAATTCTGGCGTTTTCTGAATTTTCAATCTCTAAATTGTTAATTCTGATGTTTGAAGTTGAATTAATTGTTAGCCATTCATATTTGGACTTCATTTTGCATTCAGATTTTTGTTCCTAAAAATTCAGAAAGATTTAAATTCTTCCAAAATTATACAGCGCGAAATAAAAAACTCAACAAGCTTTAGACAGTTTTAAACAAAATATTTCACTGAAATATTTTTGAAATAAAGTAACAAATAATAAATGTACATTTACAAGATGAATTATACCTATTGTATTACATCTACACAAACATACACACTATATTTTATCATAAACACTGTTCTTTGTACCTTTAGAACTTTTCGAACTCCTTTTAATATGTTCAATATATTTTGTTCACATCAAATTTATCATAAAAATTCACTACTTCCAGTGTTTCGCTTAGAAATTGAACTGATGTATATAAACAAATAAACAAGATAATATTTTTACTAAAATTTTTTTTTATTACAATTTGTTACATTTTTTTCCATTTCATGAATTCTTGATTGTATCTGTCTAGCTTTTGTTAGCTCAATAGCTGAAATTGATTTTCTGAAAGTGAAATTGGAAATTTGAAATTAAATTTTAAAATGATAGTTTTTTTGGCATGAAAATTTAAGTAATTTTTGTCCAAAATAAAAATGACAAAAGAAAATAATCTGATCATTTTGACAAAAGAAAAATAATCTGATCAATTAGATTCGAAAAAAACTATATATATATATATATAACGAATTTGATGGAAAAAGTGATTTTTGATTTTCAGGATGGCTCAAATTATCGATGATACAAATCAGGAAACATCCAGGTAAAGCATCAGCAGTTTTTTTGAATCCTTTAAACTCAAAAATCATATTTTAAGACTCGTAATTTATATTCCTGAATTCATATTCTTGAATATTCTGTGATTTCGTGTGCTTACTAAATTTCATATAAAGAATAAATGAACCAAGACGTATTTATAAGCCTAATATCATACGAATAACTACTATAACTTTCTATGTTAACAAAATGAAAGCTAAACTTTAAATCGAAAACTGTTACGTGAACTATGCGTATATTTGCTCGTATTTCAGAACATCTTTATTAGATAATTTGGACGCACAGACTGCACACAACATGCATTTGATGCAAGTTTTTTGCCGCAAAATGCCAAAATGCGTTAGTTTATCATTGCTTATTCACTAGGACATCAATTGATGTTTATTTATTCATACTTGAATAAATGAATCATCGTACTTTATGAAATTTCATAATGTATCATATTTTCAGGAATTTCACGCTCATTTGAGTGGTTGTATCAGCCTTAAAATGCTTCGTATGCTGGATTTAAGGCACCAGAGTGATCATGGAACTGATTTAGCTCAGAATAGACTAAAGAGGCTTAATGAATACGACCGAAAGCCGAAGAATTTGGAGGAGTAAGTATGTTTTGTAGTAATCGTTGCTTTAACTTATCTTACATTTTCTTGATCAATTAACATGCAGGTTATCCACAGTTGGATTTTGAAGAATGAATTGTTACTCTAGAAATAACTCCTGATATCACCATTATTTTCATACAGAAATGATAATTCTTTCTTTAGGGGACCAGAACTTTTTGGTAAACTGTACAATATTTTGTAGAGCATTTGAACTGTTTCCGCTCATACAACAGCTGGTTGTTAAATCTGAAGATGTTACACAGGTATTCTTGCTTCTAGTTTTTTATTTTGTCATTCACCTTATTTTCTATAGTTTTTTTTTTTTTTTTTTCTCTTTTCTTTTTGAGGATCAAACAAAGTGATTAATAAAATATTAAAAGGTGGTAGAGCTTACAGTTTTCTGAGCTCATATTTAAAAGCGAGTGCTAGCTTCCGCAAATAGCTTCGAATTTTTAAGTAGCCGTTACTAGTTTTATTGTTGAATAATTGTCAATTAGAGTAGTAGAAACACTGTGTAATATTTTGATATATATTGCATATTATGTTGAAAATTTTTGAGCTTTGCATCTTTCAATTTTAATACATTACTGGAAATCAAATTTAAGGTTACTATAGAGGTGATTAGAGAATTTAGTGAGGAGAATGTGGTGTATTTGGAGCTACGATCTACACCTCGACAAACCACTTTTATGTCGAAAGAGGAATACGTAAAAGCACTTATAACAGGTGTAGTTCAGTCAAGACAACTCTTCCCGAACATTTATGTTCGATTTTTACTCAGTATTGATCGACGACAAACAGTTGAAGAAGCTGAAGAAACATTGAAATTGGCTCTACGTTATGGTATGTAATTCTGTAAGGAAAATATAGTGCTAAGATTTTGGTTGTTATATCATAAAGAAAGCTTAAATCTTGTGAATAGCTTAAGTATCTGTTCTCATGATTAACGATTTTTTATGATTATTCTGAGTCAAAATCCATTATAAGGAAAATTTTTTAGTTCATTGTGCCTTCCAGAATGTTTTGCATATCTAAGAAATGCAATCTTCACATTATGACAGGAGACATTTATTGTTTTAGGAAAATATAATGATGATGAGACGATAAATGGGATCATTATTGGTATTGATATAAGTGGAAATCCAAAATACGATGCGCGGAAATTTTTGCCGCTTTTACAGAAAACTAAGAATGACTTTTCTGTCATTGCATTTCATCTAGCTGAGGTAATTTGTGTTAGTAAATTTTCTTTTAAATTGGCTGTCATAAGAATTTTAGGACTACTTAGATTTATGACTTGTAAAGACTTTGGTACTATGAAGTTTGTACGATTTTCCAAATAACAGTTTTCAGTTTTGAAGTTTTTTTGCTGTTTCTTTCTACGCATTTGTTACTTTTTTGTTGGAGGTTTCAGGGATACTTCTTTACAGTATTTCTTTAACGATTAATCAAGATTGCAATTTTTATTTTATTCATACGAGGATTATCTTTTTTTTTACATCAGTTATGTAAACTAGTAGAATGAGTAGATATTAAATATTTCTGAGTTGTGGATTTTATTTTGAGATGAAAGAATACATAGATGAAATCGAGGAGTGCGTACAGTTTGGACCTACTCGCATAGGACATGGAACATTTTTGCATAGGATTTCAGATGAAATCAAGCGCAATAGGATTTTGGAATATTTATACAAAACCCATATCCCAATAGGTTTTTTTTTTTTTTCATTTAAATTGTTAACTTTTGAAACTGGAAGTGTAGCATGCGAAATATTTATATATTAAACCTGAAAGCCATGCTTTAAATTGATCAAATACTGAAAAAATCAATCTCTTAATTCCAGATTATCTTTTTTGCCGTATCAATTTGTTGTACATTTTTGTCTTAATTACACTGTACCTTATCATAATGTGGAAGTAGAGAAGACAAATGTTGCATTATTAAATTAGGAAGAAAATGAGATTGATGGTTGAGCACAGTCTGTTCCGCAATAAAATGTACGGGAAACCAATTTATGTTTTATGAAAAGGCAACAGAGACATGCATGATGTTTTGCATTACTAACATTTCTAATTATAGAAATATGTCTCAGTTCAAATTTGGTGTGTGGAACAGTTAAATCGGTGGAAGATAGTCATCTCATGCATTATTACGAAAAGAAGCATCCAATACTAATTAGTGTTAGTTTCCATATTATTAATTTTTTTTTTTTTTTTTTGCTGGTAGAGAAGTATCGCAACTGTAAATAGTTTTAAATTTTAATTTTTATTCATTTGTTATTCAGAGATTTATTCAGATGTATTGTTATTATACTGATCGATTTTCTTTCTGCAATTTAATTTTCGTATTTTTTTCAGACCGATGATCGAGCGATGATGCGTTGCAGTTTATCTGATGAGTATGTACGTGCTGGATGGGCGCTAAATTTGAATCCGCAAGAAATTTTTAATTTTTCATATGCCACTACCAAATACATTTGTAAAAATTTAACTGCTAATGAGAAGTTGCACATATTTAATCAATTTCACAAATTTGCAAAAGCTCAGAGTCTTACACTGAAATAGTCTAAAGTTCAGTATTTGTTGTTTATATCTCTTGATTTGCTAGTGTTGTTAAAAAAAAAAAAAATTAAAATTATGTTGATGTTTTGGATGAAACGTTATCACTTTGCTCCTTTATTGAATATTAAATTCAAATTTATGTTGTTTACAAATTGCTCTTTTTTTAAGTTGAAATTTTCGCTTTTAAATTATGTGGTATTATCATTTTTTTAAAGTGCTGTTCCAAGTTTTAATAAAATTTCTCAATTAATTCAATTGCAGCTATCATATTTCATAGTATTGATAGATTGACATGAAAATGTAAAGAATTAGAAATTACCATTCAGTGTGATATCAAATTTTGCCATCTGGATTTCCAACTTTTATCCTCCGACTTCATTCAAAAAAACTATTTAACTATTTGTAACATAGGATGTTAAATGTGACAAATTTACTGTAAATATTATTGATTTAAAATAAGTTGGTAAAGTTGTGAAATATATTTGATAAATATAAGAATTAAGGTGCAAGGATGAATAATCAGAAGTATAAATTAGTGAATGATTAGAAAATACGTTATATCAGAAGTTAGCATAATCTTCAAAGTAAACTTTTTTACTTTGATGTTTCTCCTTTTATCTTTTTTTTTTTTTGTTTGTAAAATTTATCTGTAGTTTCAAGCTTTTCTTTTAAAATATTTTTAATGAGTGTTTTTTATATAAAGGTCAAAGGTTGTAAATATACTTTTATCAATCATATTTTCATTCTTTCCTACTATATCCTATCGTTGTTCCACTTCATTTCATTTCATTTCATTGTAATTAGTATGAAAAGTTCTTTTTATCGATGCTATAAAAGCTTTTATCTCTAATTTCATAGGTTTATTTATATTTAAATAATTTCAATTTAACTTTTATCAATTTTACTTCTCATTCATCATTTCTACGCTTAATTTCATCGCCAAGTTTACATTTGAGCAGAATTACTTGCTCTCTATTACTTTAAAATACTTCTTTTTTTTTTGTTCAATTTTAAAATTTATTTCATTTCTCAGTTTATTTATTCTCTATGCCAAAAACATTTGGTAGAAGATGGTATTTTTGAATTAATTCATATTAATTCTGAATCTTGTGTTAAATTAATTTAATTTTAAAAAAAAAAAAAAAAAACAGTTAATTACTTCTTTCACTGTTTGATTAAATTTATCTTTGAGTTTTTATCTGTCATGAAAATAAATATATATGATAAATAAACCTTATAAAATTGTTTTACTTTTTCTCATTTCCAATCTTTATTGATTAAAAGTTGTGCATTTTTCAAAAAAAAATTTTTTTTTCTGAATTATATTATAAGTTATTCTTATTTTATCTGTCTGCTGTATATGAATTCATAAAATTTCTAGTTTAATTAATATAATTTAATTAAAAAAAAAAAAAAGATAGATATTTGCATATAAAACATACATCAGTGTGTGCACTGATTTATCACAAATAACAAAAAATTTAATGATTCATTGTCAATTTATTTTATTTTTATTTTTTTTATTTTTGTCCTTTGTGAGATTATATTTTCTTCTTAATGAGATCATAATATATCCTTTAAAAAAAAAGAAAAAAGAAAAATGTTTTAATTTCATTAAGCAAATTCACAATGTTAATTTATTACAAAAGTGATTTCAATATATTATCATATTTAACTTCAATAAATTGAAATAGTTTCTAGAATTATTCCTTTTTATCAATTATCAATAAGTTAAAATTCAAAATTAATAATTAATCAATTTCTTTGCTACATTTTCCGCTTCATTAATTTATATCAATTACATTAAGTAATTGAAATAAAGTCTAAGGAATTTGATCATTAATATGCAAATTTTAAATTGAATAATAATACAAAAAAATTGCATAAATTTTGATGAAAACAATAATTTTAATTTTGTTTAGATTTTTCAATTTCAAAAATTGAATTACAATTGAAGTACAAAATTTTCAAATAATTTTGTCAATAGCAAGAAATAATATTTGTATTTATATTTATATATTATCTGTAATAAAATTTTATGTAAAATTTAGCAAAAATAAATTATTGAGAAAATTCAAAAATTTGTCATTTCAAATAATCTTTCACTTTTATAACTTTGACTAAAAATGATAATAAAAAAAAAAAAAAAACTACGTTGTAAAATTTGCAATAAAATGGAAAATTTTTCTTCTTATCAAACTTCATGTAAAAACTAATCCTTATCAAATCTGATATGATAACGTATAGTGCAATCTTTTCCTAACAATCTTCAATAGCTGATTCATCTCAAATCTCATTTTTTAATTGTTATCAGATTTATTCAATTTTCACTTAAATCATTTTAACAGAATGCTTCAAGTAGTAAAGTTAATTAATATTCATTCAATCTTAATCAAATTTTTAATTCTCATTTAACTTCTTTTCTTTTTCTTTTTATTAACTGTTATCACTTCTGTTAAATGATAAACTAGTTTAGCAATCTGATGATGAATTATCATTTTTTTCTTTATCATTTTTCTGATAATCACTCCTTCTTTTAGAAAATTTAAAAACATAAAAAATGAACATTTATTCTCTTACTATAGCTTTTAAAGTGTGTAATTGACAATAATAACAAATTTTAAACAATAAAAAAAAAAAAAACGAAAACAAAACAATGATAAATTTTTATTTGTACATTTCCATTTTATCATAATTATTTGATAAAAATTCTTCATAATTATTCAGTAAAAAAAAAAAAAAATTATCATAATTATTTAATAAATATTTTTGTTATATATTTAATGCATTATTTTATTTAATAGTTTTATTTATGATTTAAAAAAAAAGCAAAAAAAAAAAAAAAAATAAAATTATTTCAACTATTTCAATATATAATGTTAAATTATTGATTATTAGAAATGACAGAAATTAATTCGACATTTGATTGAAATAATCATTCATTTATCATCAACAAATAAGAAATCATTTATCAGAAATGTTATTATTTTTTATCATAAATCATTTTATATATTTATATTGAAATTTGCTACTAAGATAATTTGATAGCTATTAAATCTGCAATCTATTAATTCACCTTAAAATATACCAATTAATCAAAATTTAAAAATATATATATATATATTATTAAATTTTTCTTCTCTTTTCTATCATTTTTCAGCTTTAAAAAATAAAAACATAAAAAATTTCATTCAGTTCAAAATAATAATAATAATAATAATAATAATAATAATAATAATAATAATAATAATAAAATAATAATAATAATAATAATAATAATAATAATAATAATTAATAATAATAATAATAATAATAATAATAATAATGCTTTTCCTTTTTCCTATTTTGCTAATGTAAATGATTTCATTGCCAGTTAATATTAAAAAACTATAATTTGTTTTACCTTGAAAAAGTCACTTCCGTAGAATGAAATAGACTTATGCATTTTTTGCTATAGTTAGAAGCATACATATTTTTATTTTATATTTTATAATTTATTACATTGTTTACTTATCAATGTGACATTTTGCTAGAATAATATTAATCTTTTTTTTTTTTCAAATCATTATCATATTTAAGTATTAAACTATTATTATTAGTAATAGTAAAATTTATAATTGTTAATTTGTTTTTTTTTTTTTTCCTGTATTTAAAGTAAAGTTTATTTGTTTCCACCAAAAGAAAAAGTTGATATTATTATTTTTTTTTATGTTATTAATAAAATTCAATTTGATTACTATTAATTGTTTCTTTTTTATATTTAGTATTTTTCTTCTAATTACTATTTAGTAGAAATGAATAGGAAATACATTACTGAATTCATTTGAATTTCAATATTTAATTTTAAAATATTTAAAAAAAAAAAAAGAATATTTCATATTTCTATAATTTGATATCAAATAAAATATAATATTAGTAGTATATGATGTTTAGTTGATTGAAATTTGATTGTAATGAGCTATTTTTAGTTATCACATTGTTAGGAATTTCATTTCCTAATCATTTTAATTTTTTCTCACAATTCGCATAAAAAATACATTCTTTGATGGAATACAAATTATAGTAAATTTATTATCCATGAAATTTTATAAAATGAAATTTTTTCAAATAAATTATTAAATTAGATATGTCTTTTTCTTTTTTTGCTTTTTTTTTCAAAATTTATTAATTTTAATTTTTAAATATCCTTTCTTTCTTTCTTTCTTTCTCTCTCTCTCTCTCTCTCTCTCTCTCCCTTTCCGCTCATGAAATTATGACGTATAATAATTTTGAATGTATTTAACCTACGATGCATTCAAATTAAATAGTCAATTAACTTGATGAATGAATATATAAAGAATTCAATTGTCCTTCGTTCATTCATATATAAAAATGGTTGACAATAATAATAACATCGATAAAATGATTACTTATTTTTTTTTTTTTTTTTTTTACTTCAAACTCTTTTCTATTCATTTTTTTTTTTTTTTTTAAAAAAAAAAAAAAAACATTTGTCCAATTTTTATTCATTCGTTTATTCTTTTTCTTTTTTTTTTTGACATTTTTATCTATCATAAAAAAAAGTTTATGTAACACAAATTATTCCATTAACAATTTCATCTATCATTTAAAAAACTTTTTTTTTTTTTTTTTTTTTCAGAAGAATAAAAGAAAAAGAAATGAAAAATTTTCATAAAATTAATGTTTCTTTTCTTCGTTTTTCTTCTTTTTTAACATTTCATTTTATTTATTTATTTTTTTGTAGAATTTTATTTTTATTTTTTTGCATGCGATAGTTGAAAAGATTTAGTTTTGTTAAAAAAAAAATTTTTTTTTTTAAATTATTAAAATTATTTGCAGTTGAAAATTTTTCATTTCATTCAGTAATGCATTCAATTAATCAAGTTAAAAATGATAAAAGTAATTTTTTTTTTTCGTTAAAAATATTGAAACTAACTTATTAAAATTGTAGAAAGTAATTTTGCAAAATTTTATCTGAATGAGTAAAATTCCATTGTACTTATTATCTTTATTTAAAATTTAAAATCTTTTAATATCACTGATTAGTAATTTAAAAAAAAAAAAGTCATCAGATTGCATGATAAATCATTTGTGAAATAATTTAGTGATATATGTTTGTTACAAAAAAAAAATTCCAATATTCCAATATTAAAATTTTTTTGATGAGAGCGTGAAATGAGTATAAATAAAAATTTCTAAAACTTTAAATTTAAAATTTGAAAGCTTTTCATTGATTAATTAATATAAAAGAGTATGAAGAGTAAATATAAGCACAATAAAATTTCTAAAATTATTTATCTTTCTCTTTCGTTTGAAATTTTTCTATAAAATTTATGCAAACTTACTGAATGTAAATATTATTTAATTGCTTAAGCTATCTTTATGGATATTAAATTTTAAGCAATTTTCTACTTTTTCAAATCTAAAAATATTATCTTTAAATATAAATAATTTTTTTTTGAATAAAACAAGCAAATAATTAAATTAATTTATCATCAAAATAGCAAAAAAAAAAAAAAAAAAAAAAAAAAGAAATTCTTTTTTAGTTGCAAAGAATCGTTTAAAAAAAAAACAAAAAAAAAAAGATAAAAAATGATTAATTTGTGGAAGAACGAAAAAAAAAAAACATAAATTAATAACTTTTATTTTTACTTATTTTTTGAACTTAGATTACTGAAAATATATCGAGCTTTTTTTTTTAAAAAAAATTAAATTTTAATTTTACAGCTATTTTTGCTAACATTATTTTGTATTTTTAGGCAATTAAAGAATTTGTCAACATGTCATCATCATCATCATCATCGTCATCATCACCATCTATTCATCATCTTTCTGCATTTGTTTTTTGCACATTTTTATTAATGGCTCAAGCTGGTACATGGTTGTCATTCAGTAAGTTTAATTTTTTTTTAAATTTTTCAAAAATTCGAATAGTCAAAAAGAAGAGAAGCAAAAAGGAAAATACTTATTATTTAGTGAAATTTGTTGTTTAATTTGATTTATTATTTATTAATTATTTTCATTATTTCAACTTAACATTTTGCTATTTAACTTAATTAGTTATTTAGTTAAATGATAAATGATTGTTATCTTAATTAATTAGCATATGCTAATAATATCTTCCTTATTACTTAAACTTATTTATTTATTAACTTTCATACTGCAGTCATATCTTTTAAGTTAATATCAATTAGTAAAAGAGTTATTTGCTACACTGTTAATTGCTTAATGAATTAATTATGCTAATGAAGATAGTAAGTGAGATATGAAATTGAACAAATTAAATAAATTAAATATTTAAAAAAAAAAAAAAAATTTAATACTTTCATCGAAAAAGTATTTACAGATCAGAAAGCACCTAGTGCTAATGATTTGACACCATATGTAATCACTGATAAAGATTTAACAAGTGTTATGAAAATGTGCAAAGAAGAAATTGTAAGTTTAACTCTCTTTTTTTTTAAAAAAAAAATTAATTTTTTAATTGATGAATTATTTAATTACTGGATTATATTATGATAATATATAATCGTGAAATTTCTGGGGGGAAAAAATTAACAAAAATAAATTTGTTAAAATGAATAAATTGAATGAATGTCAGAATGAATTATAAAATGATAAATATATAAAAGAAGAATTATTGGTGAAATTAATTAGGTAAAAATAATTATTAATGAAAAAGGTAAAGAAACTATTACAGAAAGGGAAAAATAAACAGTAACAGATATAGGATTAATAGAGAGAGAGAGAGAGAGAGGGAGAGAGAAGAAAGGAGTATCAAGTTGAAATAAATGTTTTAGTAAAATTTTGGAGAATTTATTTGGCACAAAGTCTGTGAATTTCTCTTGAATTATAAAAATTATTGACAATTGAGGTTCAAAGAAACTTAAAATAATCGAATATTTGACATATATTTGTCTTATCATTGATTTAGAAGAGGATATTTTCCTTTTTTTTTTTTTTTTTTTTTTTTTTGAAATAAAAAATCCGAGTGAATATATAATATTTATAGAATATACCAAGGATGATATCTCGATCAGAACGAAGTTTCGCTGAAATGTGTGCTGCATTATCAGACCTTATTTCTCGAAGATGATAACTATTGATATGATCATTTTTTAGCACAAATAATTACAAATGATAAAGAGATATTGCTTGATATAATATTAAAATATCAGTTTTGTGCTTTAAATCATATGAAAGCATATGAAATTATATGTATTTTAAAAAACACTGAAAATTGAACGTTAACAAACAAATAAACAAAACAGAAAAGGTTTTAAAACACAATTTTGAGCAAAGTTTTGTTTAATTTAAATTAATAATTAATTAAATTAAGGATTTATTTCTCTAACAATATATTCCTTCCTTTTTCTGTTTTTGATAAAATTCTCTTATAAAAAATAAATTTCAGTTAAGTTTTTTTAAAAAATATGAAATATCATCAATTACAATCAATTTAATCTTTTCAACTTTGAAAAGTTATTGTTAAGAATGCAATTTAAGAGAATACTCTTTGATTATTTAATTGTTTCTGCTTATTAATGATCTGACAACAATGATAAGTAATATTAGTCATCATGATAAGTAATATCAATAATGATGACTATAAATTGCTAGATGGAATATTGTGAAAATAAATGTCAAACTTTTCGAAAACATTTAGACATTGGAAATACTCCAGAAAAAACTTGAAAAAACTTAGCAGACCATTCCGATATTAAATTTTTGAAATCTGAATATAAACCCATATTCTCTTTACTTATAATTACACTTTTAAACCATAGAATTAAACTGCAATAAAGTCTGAGTAAATGTTGAACGCAAAGTCATATCTAGCGTACGTCAAAAATAAGAAAGCAATTAGAAGTAACTTTATAGCTCCCAGAAAAAATTGAAGAGCAAATTCTTTCAAATCTCAAAAACAAAAACATTAAAGATCAAATGTTTGTAACAACCAAAACTATTTGTAATATCATTTTCATAAATTTATACTGCAAATTTTCTTATTACACATAAGAATAGAAGTGTATTGTGATAAAATATTCAGAACATATTTTTCAATTTTGGATAGTATTTAAATTTTCCCAGACCTGGTATGCCATCTCATATGCAATCATAATATATTTTTCGTTTCTTTCTTCAGCTTTTCAGTCAAATAGTAATGCTTTTAGTGATGTAACTGTTCATAATTCCTCAACTATACCACAAATTGAATTCTTAACTCTCTTTATTTGCCTTTAATATGTTATTTCACGTTGAATATTCAAATTTGGTCATTTCTCAAACTTTTTCCAGAAAGAAACTTAAAATATTCATGTAAATCAATCGAAAATTCGTTCATTATTAGGTTAGAAGGGAATACCTAACAGGTGACATCTGAACAAATGACACAAAGGTGACACCCCATTTCACCATTTAACTATTCTATTTTTCATGTACTTGCACGAGCCATCTTTCACCGACAAAAATTGGAGAGCTCAAATTCGGTATACGATTTTTGGTAAATTCTTAACTAAAATCATTGTGATGCTAAATTTGAAAATTATTTACTCATTTACTCATTTAATCTGTTTAAATAATTAATGATTAGGTATTCGCTGAATTCGTTACTCAATTAATTTTGTATGGCATTACTAGTGAATGGAATGGAGCTAATGATATTAATATATCAACTAATTTAAATATACCAATTAATTGGTCCATTGGTACTTGAAATAATTTAAATCATCGAGGACCTTGTTCGGATTGTCAGATTTGCTAATAATTTCTTTTCATATTTTTTTTTTTGAAATGAAATATTTTAATTTTTGAAGAATATATATCTCTATATAGCTTAACTATGTGCAGATGCAAAAATTGATTGCAGGGAAATTGCTTATAATATTGGCTCTAAGACTGTTTTCATCTATCTGTTGGCTATATATCCGTGTAACCATTACTGAACTATATTAAGGAATTGATTTTTCCAATATTTCTAGTTAATCAGCTCCTGTGCTAAATATGAATTCAAAGATCCGCATTTTTTAATTTCTAAATTAGAATTAACTTATTTGAAGTTTAAGGAAGGCGGACTTTCTTAACATGTGTTCAAGCATTTCCATATACTTATGCACATTTTCATATCTCATTGTTTCATTTTCAGGAAGCCTCATTGTTTCATTTTCAGGAAGACACGTTTTCATATCTCATTGTTTCATTTTCAGGAAGTTTTGGTTGCTTTCACAATTAATCGTAATGGCAGACCGACGTAAAGGTGGAAGAAAAAAAACCACTGATGTAAGTGCTATTTTGATGATTGTATACATATATATAGTTGATTCATGGATAGATTATGGAAATCGATAGTGAACGAATAAGGAATTGAATAAAATCAAGGGATCATTAGTATAATTTTGCCAAGTCATTTGGAATGCTATTTTCCACTGTGGATTCTGCCTAAATATCTTTCTTCAATTATGCTAATTTTTTGAATCAAGTCATATTATTTAACGGAAAGTTAAAATATTGCTAAATGGAATAGTTTCACTTGTTTTTTTTTTTCTTTTTTTTTTTTCAGGGGAATCAAAAGTTGACGAAAGAGGAAGATACTATTGCGCGTTACGTTCGATTCAATTGTCCAACAAAAACAACGATGTTTGAAGGCAATGAAGTACATTATTTTACTGGTATTAGTTTCCTTTCCTATTTTTTTTTTTTTTTTTTTGAGAGATTTTTGCAGAATTGGGCAAATTCATTTTTATTCTGCAGAGAATAGAAGAACGAAAAAAAAGCGAATGGGAGAATCATACTGTGTTTTATAAAACTGGATCACATGATAGGACACATGATAAACTGGTTCAGTTCACTTATTTTTAAGTGATTCCGGTTGAGCTTAAATTGTGAACAGTTTAAGGTACAAAAGCAGTTGATACATTGTATGAATCCAAGAAATATGGTCATGCAGCGAAAAATGTGAAATTCACTACACGTCAAGCAGCTGTCCTATTTATGCGGTCACTTCTGGAAAAAGGTCTATTTTTCCGAGCAAGGAAGCTAGTTCCAAAGAAAAAGGACGATAAGAAGGTTGTGTTTAATGTTTATTTAAAGATAACATAATATTTTCATTTTCTGCCTATTTATTTTCGCGATACAGTTTGTAAGTTATCGAATATTACAATTTTAGGATCAAAAAGAAAGAGGAGTCGATGTGAGCAAATCACCAAGAAAAAAATCAAGTAAAAACGATCAAGCTGAAAGAGAAAAAGAAAAGGAAAGAGAGAAACATAAGGAAGAAAAGAAAGAAGAAAGTGATGATAACGACGAAGAGAATGGAAAGGAAAAAGACAAGAAGAAAGTCAGTTTTTTATTTTAATGCTTACTATGGAATATAATTTACCATTCTCATGTTATATTTCCAGGAAGAGGAAGAGAAGAAAAAGCGTAAAATTAAATTAGAGCTTCATCAAGAACAGTCATTTAATGATGCAAACGATGTGTATGTTTGGATTTTCGATCCAACACCTTTATACAAGAAAATTATTGGTGCTCTTATGGGTTAGTTTGTCGTTTATTGTTCTAAAACTTAAATTGTGGACAGTTTGAGGTAGAACTTAACGATATCATAGCTGCATACAATTATGAATAAGAGATTATTGACTTCTCTTTCTGTTGGTGTTTGGACTTGATCAATATCAAAAAGAAACTCAATTCGGAGTAGGAGAATCAATGTTGGATGTAGGAATTACTATACCTTATTCTTGCTTTTTTCTGTTAATTTGCATTATGTTTATCTAGTAATGATATTTAACGCATTTTATTAATGTTTTTTTTTTTTTTTAATCCCATTTAGCGATGAATAATGTTATTAAGTGAAGGATTATGCGGTTTTTTTTCTTTTCAAATCCTGTTTTATACCTAATTTTGATCTGAAAATATTTTTCGAGACCTTCATTTAATAACATTTTTATGCATTTTATAAAAATCATTTTTCTTTTAGTCGTAGAGTGAAGAATAGTGTCTGAGAAGTCATAAATTCAAAAAGAGGAAAACAAGCATATGGAATGATTCATCATAAATTATTTTAGTACTGGGTACCATTGCGGGTTGTTTATTCCCTCTTTGGCCGATGTGGTTACGTCAAGGCGTTTATTATTTATCAGTTTGTGGATTAGCTTGCTTTGGATTGCTCATTGGTGTTGCAGTAGGTAAATTAAATTTTCACTTTTATTCATTTTTATATACTTTTTATTAGAGAAGAAATTTATAGATTTTTTTTTTTTATACATTTTATTGAATCGTTACAGCTCGGACGATATTATTTGCCATAATCTGGGCAGTGACAATGGGCAAACATAAATTGTGGTTATTACCTAATTTAACGGAAGATTGTGGCTTCTTTGAATCATTCCAACCTTGGTATACTTACGAGTATTGCTCAAGTGGTAACGCTGCAAGTAGTAAGAAAAAAAAACGTGATGGGAAGAAAAAATCAGGCAAGTTTTTTTTTTTTTTTTTTAGTGTAATTTGAATTAGATTCTTATAATAGATGCATCGATGTCATATGTTTTTTATTGATCCCAATAATATTTTAGCAATTAAATAATATTTATTTAGATAGCGAAGAACCTTTGGTGAGTGAAAAAGAGATGAAGAGTGGTGATAGTAGCAGTCAGGCAACTGAAATAAATAAAAAAGTCGGCGAAGAAAAGCAGTCCCGAAGAAAAGAAAGTGGAGATGAAAATGCTGATTTAGGCAATGGTAATGAAAATGATGAAACAGATGAAGAAGGGGATACTACTTCGGATTCGGATGGTCGAAGCAGTCAGGTTACTAACACTTCATTTTTAAAATTTTGTCCTTTTCAAATCTCATAAAGTTTCGCAACTATCAGTGGGAATAGAAAAAAAAAAGATTTCTTCCTGTCATTTCTTCCTAGTTCTCACTATTTATTTAGCCTGTAGTTACTAAATCGTAATGTTATTTTTAAATCGTATTCTGGATTTTAGTAATAGTTGTCTACATTTTTCAAGATAATGGAAAATTTTTTTGAACTGATGATAAGACAATAGGAATAGATAGTGTTGTGAAAAAATCGATCATATTTTTAAGTAAATGACTCATGTACAGATTTTTGCTAAGATTTAATTTCTGTTTCAGGAAACGAATGGTTCATTAAATAATGGCGCTGATACTGGAAGTGGCGGTAATGGTAGTGATGACCCTAAGATACGGTTAAGACGACGTGCTAGGAAAGCAGATGATGATTTCGTACTTGTTCATAAATGATTCCGGTGTGATTAAATATTACCTATTTAAATTTATTCTATTCCACTTTTTAACTTCCATATTCCAGGGATAACACAAAAAAAATAGGATATTGAAAGAGCAAAAGTCATTATTCTTGCAATTTTTCAATTGATATTTAAAGAAAAAAAAATGCTCTAATACTTCGAAAAGAAGAAGATCAAATTTTTTTGTCTTAAATGATTTGTAAATAGATAAGATTGGATTCTTTCATCAGACTCATCTTAAATGATTAGATATAATTTGGTTTTTGTGAATCCTCGAGATAATATCCTGTTTTATGTTAAATTCCTTTAAATTTCTTTTAGCTGCCTATTTGTTCTCATAACATTTCCAGTTTGATTGTATTCATTTTATATTTTAAAAAAAAAAAAAAGAGTTCAGAGTGTAAAAGAATCTCTTCGTCAATTTTTTTTCCTTCTTGCATGCATAAATTGGTGTTTTTTTTTCTTTCTTTTGCTATATACTTTTGTTACGGTGTAAATACTGTAATTAAGTGATGCTTTTCAAATAATTCATTTAAGCAAACTTTCTATTTTTAATTTATTACATATATGTATATATATTTATGTTGTAGGAATGACTTTTATATATCATATATTCCTGTCATGAATAGATTTTATCACTGATTCTCTTACATGCATGGAAATGAACGATGAAAGAAAAGTTAGTTTCTTCAGAAGCTAATCTTTCTCAGTAATGTAAACATTAATGACAAATGATTTGATGAATAGTGTACTAATAGATGATAAAATAATTATGGTTAGTTTGTTTTTAGAATTATACTAAAGTTTTTTTTTTTTTTTTCTAGTTAAATTTAAGCTTTGTAGATACATTTAGTTAATTTAATGGTATAATTTTGACTAGTCAATTTCTTTAACAAAATAATTTCTTGTCTTTATTCTAATCCCTTTTCCAAACACTTTTTTTTTTCTAATTTTAATAAAGCAGAAAATTAATGAAAGGTATGATATTGAATTAATTCATACTGTTTATAGGTATATAGATTTCAAATAAGATAATAATTATGATTAAATTAATTGGGCTTAATAATATAATTCTTCTTGCTACTGCACATTTTTCAAAGTTTTGCTTTTCTCCAAAAAAAAAAACAAAAAATAAAGATCTAAGTGAGAAGATATTTTCGAAATTTTATGAACTCTTCATTACAAATAAATATGTAATGCTTTTATTTACAGTTTTTATTTATGATTCAAAATTTCATTTTAATTTTGTTATTTCTTAATTTGTTTAAGTAATCAATTATGGTAATTTTAATTACTTTAATTTAGCATTAAGAATAATCGTTTTAGTTGGAATTTGTTGAGCTTTTGCTCGTTGCCAACATAATAATGCATTAGCATCATTAATACACCATTGCATACCAACCAATGTATAAATTATAAGGAAACGATCCTGAAATAAATTAAAATATTGTTCGTATTGAAATTTATACTCTAAACAATGACTGAAGTAAGTATTTAATATATTTTATTATTTTATTTAATATATATATACTTTTTTATCTAATGTATAAAGTTTATATTATAAAGTACTAATATATTTTATTGTGATTTTTTCAAGGAAAATACAAAATTTCATACTATATTTTAATATTTTTCAAAAAAAAAAAAGCAAAAAAAAATTTTGATAAAATAAAATTTGTATTGAAATTTTTACTGCAATTTCTTCATTAGTTTATGTAACATCTATTTTTTCAAAGTTGAAAAATATAATTCAATTCTATAAATTATCGTAATTTTAGTAGTAATATTTCTTTTTTTTTTCTCCGCACTACAAAATATCCTTTTAATCCTTCCCACCAATAAGTATGATTGCAAATAAAATTAAAAATTTTAATCCTACCAATAAGTATGATAAATAAAATTAAAAAAAATTCAAAACTGTAATATATTTTGTAATATATAAAAATCATAAAAATTTTTGAAATTAAAAACTTCAAAAATTTCACAAATTCATTCAAAGTAAGTAAATAATTTAGCATAAATTTTGAGTCATTTCATAACTATATAAAAAATTATGTACATAAATTGAAAAAAGAATTCCTTTAAAAAAAAAAAAGTGCAAATAATTTATAAAATTAAATATTTGCTTAAATTGCTTTCAATTTTAATTTCAATTTGGAAGTGTCAAAAAATTTTTTAAATATAAAAAAAGTATGAAACCGTCGCGTTAATTTCACAATTATGACGATATACTAGGATGACTGTTTCACGTTCCGGACGTAATATTCCGGCGCAGTCTAGAATACTGATTCGATAATTTGACGTACACTTAATCTAAAGCTATTTCTGCTAATTTGAAATATTTGAAATGAAATTACTTTGTATAACTTATATGATAATTTAATAAACTAATTCTGATGTAAAGCAATTAAATATTAAATGTTTGAAAATGATTGCTCTTATTGTTTTTAAATAATTAATTAATTTTTTGGATGATTAATCAAACATAGATTATCTTTTTTAGATTGAAAATTATTGAATTAAGAATTTTAAATAATAGAAATTTCTTTTTTGGTTCTCTAAGCATTTTTTTTTTTTTTTTTGAAACTTGTTGACAAATCTTATTAGTTAGTTTGTTTACATAACAAACATTTCAACAATTAATGTAATTGTTATCAAAATAATTCAATTCACTAAAAACTTTTTTTGCTAAAAAAAAAAGTATAAAAAAGTATTTTAACTAAAAAAAAAAAAGTATTACTTAATAATTTACAAAATCATCCAATTATAAATTATGTTAATTAATACTTTATAATTATTAAAATATTCATTAACATTTATCTTGCCTTATAAAGAACAGGGAAATTGCTTGAATTACGTAGTGTTATTGTTGATGAATCATTTAATTTTAACTGAAAAAATTTTTAAAAATTTGTCCTTCAAATTAATTTACAGTTTTTTTTTTTGTTTTAATAAAAATCAATATCTAATTTATTTCAAAGAGCTATCAAATTTAACATTTGATATATAATTATCATCAAAAATATTTGCTTTATGTACTAAATTATAAATTTGCTAATCAGTCAAAAATTAATTACACAATTACTCAGCAATTAATTAAATTAAACTTTTCTCTCTCAGTATTTAACTAAATTAAATTGAATTTTTAACTTCTACAGTCAATTATTTAATTCTTTTTTTTACAGTCAATTATTTAATTGTTTTATTCAAAAGCAAAATTCATTATTTGTTCGGATAATAATTTAAAATTATCAATTTATTCGTATAATTTTTTTTTTTAAATTAGTAAATTAATTCTTATAATTATTACTAAACTAACAGAATCTGTACTTAATTATACTTATTGACATACTTAATATTAATTGCTTACAGTAATAACTGATGGCAGTACATGAAAACCTGTGTAATTTTGTGGTATCTTTGGAAATTCATCCATACCAAATGATTCAATTGCACCACACTCACTCATAGCTATTTAAAAAAATAATTTTTAATTGAAAAATTAAATTTTATTTATAATAAAAGAAATAAATGATTTAAACATTTTTTAACTTTATTTAAATATTTTTCTGTTTTTTAATAAATATTTCCATTTATTATTTGTCATAAAAAAAAAAAAAAAAACGCAAGAAGAATTTTTTGCTATGTAAATTTAATTATACAATAAGATAAATTTTTATTGATACAATAAAAATTTTTAAATGACATTGATCAAATGTATAAATGAAATGAAAAAAGAGATTATACACTGATAAATGATAAAATAGATATTAAGACAAAACATGCAAAAAAAAAAAACTATACCTTTTTTTTAATGGAATTATGAATTAATGAGGTTTTCTAAAATATAATACGCCACGTGTTTTACGTGAAGTCACTTTAATTGCTTTGATTCTCGTTCCATGAAAACACCTTTAATGATAGCTTCCGAAGTTGCTGTCATAAGTAAATTTCCTGTTATTGTCCATAAATGATGTTGAATAAATGCTCTACCACATTCTGAAAAAAAAAAATTTTTTTTAATTTTGTAGTTAATTAAAATAAAAAATAGAAAAAAAAAATTTATTTAATCAAAAATGTGCATTGAATATGTGTTATATTATTAAATAAATAAAGCAAATAATTAAACAAATAAATAAATAAAATAAAATAAACCAATGAAAAATTATCATTGATTAATTGATAAAATTAATGAAAAGTGATAAGATCAGTAATCAGTTTATAAACGTATAAAATTAATAAATAAAATATTGGCATTTATTATTAATAATGCTTTTCGTTTTAAGGAATAATTTGAACATTCTTTCCAAATATTACTAGCAAAGTTAATTACATTGATAAGTAATAATGTTTGTTATTTATTATTATCTATTGTTAGTAATAATAATTATTATTATCACTATTATTACTGTTATTATCATTATTATTATTATTATTATCACTTCTATAAATTATTATCATTTAATTATAACTAATTTAAAAAGATTAAAAACAATCAAAAAAAATGTAAAATTTACTAGCAATAGAGAAATGATTTTCACATAAAAGCCATTCATTGCTATTAATATCATTACTATGAATCCATAAACAATAATCCAATGGTTTTAATTCAGTAGGTGAGAAGCCACGACTGAAAATATTTGATAATTAGAAATTTTTTTTTAAAAAAATTGAAATTACTTTTTTTTTGAAAAAATATTAACTTGTTATTTTTTTATCAACAAACACTTATTTTGTAAAGTTTTATAAAAAATTAATTTTGAATCATATTAATTACAAAATACTAATAATTATACAAAAATAAATAAATAAAAATTTTGAAAAAAAAAAATTATAAAAATAATTCCAAAGGTATTATTTTGCAATAATTTTTAATTAATAATTATTGTATTCAATTTGTTTAAATTACACAAATGGTATTAATATATTACATAATTATTACAATTGTAAGAATGAAATAATCATCAATTAATTAATGATCAAATAAATTTAACAAATCACCTGATTTTTACTTTTTTAAAGATAATTTACCTGAATTTATTAAATGATTGATTTACCTGATATGATATCGTAGCATAGATGGTAGAAGTGTTGTTTCCACAAAATATGATGCCAATAATTTGTGATAATTTAAATTTTCCTCTTTATAAATTAAATAATTAATGAAAATAATGATTGCAATTTAATTTGTTTAAAATAAAAGACAAGAAAATAGGATAAAAATTAAGTTCGAAAAAAAAATAAAAAAAAAAAACTTTGCTAAAAAAAATTATTACTTACCAATTTTTTCTTTTGTTTTAGCCCAAATCTTCGTATAAAAACCTTTCATTGTTGCTGCTGCAAACGAATCAGCATCAACAATACGAATCTATAATATATTTTTATTTTATGCGTACGTACGTGTGTTAAGTTTTTATTAAGTGTTAAGTACGTGAATCAATTTGAAACAAATAAAAAAATAGAAACGTTTTATAAAATGCTTATAATTAAAATTTTTGTTTTTTTGTTTTTTTTTCGAGTAATAAAAATTATTTTTAAAAATAAGAATAAGAAAAAAGAAAATTAATTTTGTGAAGAATAAAAGATCAAAGATTAAAAAATATTAAATACTAAACACTAATATTTGGTACAATTTTTTGATAATTGTAAAAAAATATGGCGCAAATTGTAATTAGTCTTACATTAGTGGCGCAAATTGTAATGAATCTTACATTAATGGCGCAAATCGTAATGAATCTTACGTCAAAGATATCATTGATTGGATTTAATAATATTGCATCAGCATATTTATGAATTTCAACTGATAATGGGAAAATTTCTTCATCTTTATTTTCCAATAATTGTTTAATTGCTTCTGATAATAAATTACAGAAATCAGGCATCGGTGTGACAGGCATGTGACACTGATGTGCTATTGATTCTCGACATGCCTTAAAATATAAAATTTAACATTTTCAAGAAATTATAAAATAATTTATTCAATCATTAAATGATTTGCAAATTAATATATAATGAAGTATCATAACAAACTGAATATTTTTTTTTTTTTTTTTTTTTTAAGTATGTAAATAGTAGCAAATTAATAAGCAAATAATCATATAAACAAATTTTTTTTTTTAATGAATAATCAATATGCTAAAATATTTTTTTTTTAAATAATATTAAGCAAAAAAAGATTCTCATATACTTTTTGTTGTTAAATATAAGAGTAAATTATTAATAAATTCTTTTTGAAATTAATAAAATAAAATGAATTAGGTTGATTTGTTATTTTTTTAAGATAAATAAAAAAGATTTGAGATGCATATGAGAAATAAATTCATTTCTTGCATATATGTATTTATAATACTTAAATTTTACTTAATACTTATATATATAATTTAATATTTAAACATTTTATGAGCATAAATATAATACTTAATTTCTGTTAATGCTTATATGTAATTTAACACTTAAAAATTTTATAATGCTTGAACATATATATGTATATTAATACCTAAATTTCTAACTTAAAATTTTAACTTTAACTTAAATTAATTACTTAAATAATTACTTAAATTTTTACTTCATGAAATGAAACTTCTGCTTTAATTGCTAATTTGCCATCTTGTAAAACGTTTACTTCTCGAATACATAAATCATCGTTTGTATGAATATCTTCTACCTGATACATAATTGGTGATGGTCCAGCTACTAAAATAAATTAAATTTAAATTTATTCCTTTTTTTTTTTGGCAATTATTATCATTTATTATAATTATTCGTATCAGTTAAAAATAATTTCTATTCAAAATAATATTTTCTATATTTTTTCATTCTCTCCATTGTTTTTTTTTTTTTTTTTTACATTCAAAAATTAACAAATTTTATTAAATTTTATAAAATTATTAAAATGAAGTGACACTTAAAGAATTATATGATATTAAATAATGCTTATTTCGTTGAATTAATTGCATTTTCATTGAACGTTTTTTTTTTTTTTTTTTCAGTAAACTTTTTTTGGAAGATAAAAGAAAAAGTTTGAAATTGCAAATTAACAATTTTTTATATTAACATTCCATTTAGTAAAATTTTTTTTTTGTTTACTAAATTGAATTCATTTGTAAATATAATATTTAAAAAAAAAAAAAAAAAAAAAAAACAAATATTTGAAATAGTAATTACTTTTATTACAGAAATATGCGTGGCAACTATTTAGAGCCATTTTTTGTGGAATATTTTTGATTGCAGTTGCCATTGCACGTGATACGATTAATCCATTTGGAATTGTTAATTTAGTTGGTTCATATCTAAAAATAAACAAATAAATAAATAAAAATTATATAAAAAATTATATAAATTATATCAAGAATAAATAAAATTATACAAAAATCTTATAAAAAATTATATAAATTATAATTAAAAATAAAAAAAATAATATAAAAATCATATAAATTTGCATAAATTCAAAAATATTATATTTTCTTCATTTTATGATAAAAGTTACGACTACGAATAAAAAAATACGGTTAATGTTTGCATTTTGTGATAAAAATTACGGATCATGAATAATCACAATTAAATTTATTAAATTAAATACTAAATGAACTAGTGGATTTAAATTTTATTTTGCGATAAAAATTACGAATAATAATTTTACTTTATGATTAAGAATTAAGAATTAAAACAATCATAACAAATTTATTGAATTAAATGCTAAATAAATTCATACACTTAAAATGTTAACTTCTAATATCATTTATTAATATAAAATTTTGAAACTTGCAAAAATATTATTTGGCTTTATTTTAACAAATATTTAAGCAATTCGATGTAACTTTTTTCCCATTCTAAAAATATATCAAATAATTAATTTAAATTAATAATTATTAAGTACTTAAAATTAATAATTATGAATTAACTAACCTGTAAGTATCGGTGCTTATTTGTTCCAAATCGAATAAATTTTTAGCATCCATTAAATTGTTAGTAGTAAATAATTTCGAATTATATGACAAATGATGCGTAAATTGAATATACCGATGAAATGCTATAAATTAATTAAAATAAAAGTATAAAAGTTAAACTAAATTAAATTAAAGTTAGATTAATCACAGAATATTTTTTAAATAAGCAAATAATGGTCAGATTTAATTTAATACTTGATAAAAATAATATAAATTGTGATTTGTCCATTTTTCTGTTTCATTTTATAAAGTTAAAAAATTTAATTTAAAAACATTAGAAAGAGAAAAAGCACAAATCTTTTCTTTTAATTTCTAAAAATTTTCTTTTTTATCACTATTTTGTTATTTCAATTATATTTTTAGAAAGTAAGTAACTATGATTCGTTTAGTTATTTATATTTGGTAATAAAATATCTAATTTATGTATAAGTTTTGATTTTTTTTTTTTTTTTTCAATTAATGAAACAAAAATTTTTTAATAAAATTACAATGCGTAGAAAATTTTTCATTTATTTTTAAATTATCAAATGAGATTTAATCAAAATAGGCAATGTAAAATGGGACAAAATAATGAATCAATTGATTTTAATCAATTATTATGTAAAATTAAGTCAAATATTTACATTAGAAATGATAATTTAAATTAATTATTATTTAAATGCTGTATATCTGAAAGGAATAATTGATAAATGATGGAATTAAAATAGAATAATTAAATTGATGAATGCTTGATTCGAAACAATTCATACGTTATTGCTATGTAGTTTTCTTTAAAAAATTAATCGACTAATAATAATTAAATAATAATTTTAAATTGAATGACTGAGTAATGAACAAATCTAACTATGCATGCTATTAACAAAATATTAAGCATAATATGTTATCAATTATTTGATAATCATTTAATTTTATTAAATTAAAAAAAAAAAAAAAATTAAGCTAAAATTACGATTTATTTTTTACTGCTAGAAAAAAATTTTTTTCTATTTCAAAAATTTTCATCTAAAAACGATTATTAAGCAAAATGAAATTAATAAATGAATGAATTAAATGTTGATAAAATCAATGATAGATTAATACATAAAGTGAACTGAGCAAATTAAATCACACAAACATTTTGCTAAAGTTTTTATTGAAATTTAATTCCCTTCAAAAATTTAATTCGATATTTTTTTATCAAAATTAGTTATTCAAAATAATTATTATATTTGTAACAATCTTCAATAACAATTCAAAAATTTAATTTAATATTCTTTTTATCAAAATTTATTAAACAAACTAATTATCATATATTTGTAACAATCATCAATAACAATTCAATGAAAATGAAATGAAAAATTTAATTTCATATTTTTTCATTTAAATTTAACATTTTCTAAGTTTACTTATTTAAACTCAAAAACAAAAGATGAAGCATAATGATAACACATATATGTGTAGAAGTGAGATTTAAGTAATACTTCTAGCAACGATGAATAAATCTTTGAAACATTGCGAGAAAAAAGAAAAATCAATAGCTTAAAGGGAAGATTCTTCGAAAAAATTTTTTCAAACTTGCAAATAAATTTTTCAAATAAAAATAAAATTTCCTTCAAAAATATTTAAAAATGTACCAAAAAGAAAAAAAAAATTTTTTTTGAAAGTTTTTTATTATTATAAAACATATTTTTTTTTTTTAACTTATTAATTCATCAATATGTGAATTATTAAATATGATTAATCCAAAGAATAAATTATAATTTTTATCCAATTCATTAAAGTGAAATTCAAGATAATTTTTTTTTTGCTGTAAATTTTTTGAATTAACAAAAGAAAAAGAAAGAAATTAAAAATAAAAAATTTTACGATTCATTCGTAATAACTATAATTAATAAATAAATAATTAAATTAGTAATAACTATAATTAGTAATAAAAATAAAAAATAATTCGGTGTAATTGAATCAATCAATAAACTATTTTATTTTAAATTTATATTTGAAGTATTTTTTATAATATTTCAATCAATGAAAAAAAAAATATATATAAATGTATAATTTAATCGATAATTTTAAAGATTTGAAGAAAAAAAATATTTTTTTTCTTTTCTGTCAAAATTTCAATTTATCCTTATTTCATATCTTTTATGGCAAATGAATAAATTAACGAGATTGAAAAAAAAAAAAAAATCCACTTTTCAATTCAAAATAAATCATTTTCTCATTTTGTTCAAATATAAAAGGAACAAATTATAATTAAAGCATTCTTTGATATAAATTTTTTTTTTAAAAAAAAAATACTATTTTATTTTAGTTTAATAATTACAAAATTAGTTTTTAAGTTACAAATTTAAATACACATTAAAGTTACCAAAAAAAAAAAAAGAAATGAAATAAATGAAAAAATTTTGGCTGCTAATTAAATATTAAATATTAATATTAAATATTGATTTAATTTTTGCTGTGAAAAAGTAAAAACAAAAAAAAACAAAAACAAAAACGAAAACAAATTTTCTTTTCAAGATTTGTAATGAAATTTTCATTTCTAATTTTTCATTACCTTTTCACATACTTTGAAAATTTGTTTTTACTTAATTCAATTGTCAATTATTTTATATAATTTTGAAAATTTTACAAATAAAATTTGCTTCCAATTATATATAAAATAGTTATTATAAATTAATAACCAAATATACTAATAGGTATTATATAAAAATAATATTAAAAAATTAATTGATGAGCTTATGAAGTATAAAATTATTATGTTTTAAATTTTATGCTAATTTTTCATTACCTTTTCACATACCAAAATTTTCATATTCTATCAACATTTACAAAGAATTTTTTCCTAATTTAATTGTGAATTATTTCATTTAATTCAAAAATTTTTAAATAATTTTTTTTTTTTTTTTTTTACATTTTATAAATATTACTAACAATTTATGTTGATAGGCGATTAATAGAGAAACTTAAGAAATATAAAATTATTTCGTTTTTTTAATTCAATCATCAATTATTTTATATAATTCTTTAAATTATTTTTTTTTTTTTTTTTGTTTACATTATATAAATTACTAGCAAATTATATTAATTGGAATTTGTATAAAATTAATATTAAGAAATTAATAAAAAAACTTAAGAAATATTTCATTTTTTTTTTTAATTTTTTTTTTTTTATTTATTTATTTTTTTTTTTTTTTTTTTTTTTATTTTTAACTAACAAAAATGAAAGCAAACCATTAGTTAATCGTTGTAAAAAATCGAATTTTTTTCCAAAAATTGATAGAGATTGAATGCCAGAACGTATAGCCATCTTGAAAAATTTCATTATCTCAATGAAATATGTGAAACTTTTCAATGGTACAATTTATATTATTCATTTTTAAACGATTTCCATTTATAGAATTTTACAAAAGTTTTTTTTTTTCTTTTCTTTTCTTTTCTTTTCATCGTTTTTTTTTTAAATTTTATTTTGTCATTATTTTTCATTCGTGTGTGGTAAAACGAGAAAAATTTCAAATAAATTACACAAATTACAAAAAAAAAAAAAAAAAAAAAAAAAAAAGATCCGTTTTCATATCAAAATTAAACTTTGTGCTCATTTATTAAAAAAGAAAAAAAATTAGGAAAAACGAGAATTTTGAAATTATAAAGTTAATTCAAAAAATAAATAAATAAATAAAAGATAATTAAATATGAAATTAAATAAATATTTCCATTTTAGCACTCATTTCTTTCCCACTAATTATTCTCATATTAAAGAATACTTTTCGAAAAAGAATAAATTAGAAAAATTTTGATTTAAATTTTATAAATTAAATTCAAATCAAAAAAAAAAAAAGCGAATATATTATCAAAGAGTAAATAATAATGTGAAAAGGAGAAAGGCTAATGTAATTTTTAAAATGCTAAACTATAAAAATTTAAGAGTTAACTTTATCATTTTATATATCAAATAATTTTTTTCAATTTTTTTTTTTTTTTTTTGAATGAAATATTGAAAATTTATATTATTTTACTAATTATTCATGCACTAAAGAGCATAAAAATAAAACTTCCTATTTCTTCAAAAAAAAAAAAAAAAAAGAAAAAAGAAGCAACATTTTAAAATTTCAAAACTTAAATAACGTTTAATGCTTCATTTTAAGTTAATAAATATTCAAAAAAAAAAAAAAAAAAAAGAAAAGGAATGAAATATCATATTTTTTTTTAAAAAAAAAATATATTAATCAATAATAAACAAACAGAAAAAAAGGAGTGAAATACATTTGCATAAATTACACAAATTACATCTCATTTTAATTTTTGATATATTTTCAAAAAAAAAAAAGGATCATTTTTTTGAAAAAATATTAATTTAATTATTTCAAAAAAAAAAAAAAAAAAAAGAAAAAGCAAACCATTAGTGATTTGTTGTGATGAATTGAATTTTTTTCCAAAAATTAGCATAGATTGTGCACTGGAACAATTTATAATATTCAAAAATTTCATCATTGTTGTGAAAAAAAAAAAAAAAAGTTTGATTAATGTGTATTTGTTTATTTTTATTATTTCAAAATTCACTCAATGTTTTGTTTTGTTATGGAGAGTGAAGATTGATTGTTGTATACAATAAGACTATTTGTGCAGGTATTCTCAAAATGTAAACATTATCGAAAGGTAAAAAGTTAACTTTACAAATAGACAATTCTATGTTTGTCTATTATATTCTTTGATGTAATATTTGTAAATAAATATTGCATCAAATTTTTGCTATTATTGATTTGAAATTAGTTATAAATTGAAAAAGGATAATAATAATAAAAAAAAAATAATACATATTTATATATTAATTTGAATATTACTCATTTATAGAAAATTAATTGATGCATTTCTGTTTGTCTTTTAAATTCTTTGCAAAATACTTATAAATAATTGTTGACTACAAAAATTTATATTAATATTGTTTACTATTGCAATTTTAATTGATTAATAGTCTCTTTGGGAACATATTTCTAAGATTTAAATATTAATAATAATAATTATAAAAGAGTCATTTTTTAAGTTTATAAGTAAATTTATGCAATTTTATTTTTATTTCTTAAATTTTAAATTTTGAAAAAAGTTAAATTTTGAATTTCTAGAACTCAGTGATAGGAAAAGTTTTTCCATTTCCAATAAAAATTTTAAATCGAGCAATAAGAAAAGCTTTATTCAATTTCATTTATGTTTTTTGTTTGTTTGTTTGTTTGTTTATTTTTTGTTAGAAGTAACAATAATATTTCAACAATTACAATTCAATATAATCAGTTCCTTTTTTTTTTTTTTTTTAATTTTTGTAAACTGACCAATTAGTTTTAATTATTAAACTTAAAAGAAGTAATCCATATAATAACATACATTTCATTTTATTCCTTTTATAAATTTTTATTGAAATAAAATGAAACTTTGAATTGTAATAAGAAAATTTTCATTCAAATTCTTTTTTTTTTTTTTTGAAGATTATTTCTATTTCAAAATAAATGACAGAGAGAGAGAGGGAGGGAAAAAAAGCACAAAATTATATAACAGTTAGTTGTCAACGTTTAAGAATTTTATCAAATTTAGCAAATTTTTTTTTTTTTAAATAAATTAAATTGTAATATTAGCTATTTTTTTTTTTGAAATAAAATATTGTAGAAAAAAAAAAGAGAAAATACAAATAAGTGAGATGAAAATTTATTCAAATAAAACTAAATAAATAATTGGAAATGGTGTAAATAATACAATTTCAAATTAGAATTAACAAATATAAAGGATTAGAAATGAAAAACAACAAATTGTATTGTGTAATTGATGAAAAAAAAGATTAAATTAAACTATTTATTTTCCAAAAAATGTTACTTATTATTAAATAAGTAAAACATAAACTAAATTATATTCTCACTTTTTTTTTGTTTTTCTGTTTTTTTCTTAAAAAAAAAAAAAATTCTATACGATAAGAAATAACAAAATTTCATTTATTTTTTACATTCGTTGCTTATTTGAAAAGAATAAATAAATTCTGGAAAAAAGAAGAATTTATTTCAGATTCTTCTAGAAAATGCATATATTTCACTCAATTAACTAACCATAAAATATTTGCAATTCAGAATTTTTTTTTTTTCTTAGAGTTAGAAAATAATTCTGAAAAATACTACAGGAAAAAAGTATTTATATATTTTAATATATTCAAAATCTTTGAAAGCAATAACTTAGCATATTTGAAACTTTTCAAAGGAATAAGTTAGCATTAGCATATTTAAAACTTTTCAAAGGAATAAGTTAGCATTAGCATATTTAAAACTTTTCAAAGGAATGAGTTAGCATTAGCATATTTAAAACTTTTCAAAGGAATAAGTTAGCATTAGCATATTTAAAACTTTTCAAAGGAATAAATTAGCATTAGCATAATTGGAACTTTTCAAAGGAATAAGTTAGCATATTTAAAAACTTTTCAGAAGAATAATTTGAACTAGTAAATATATTATGATTTAAATGCTAAACTTTTCTTTCAATAAGTGTCATACATACTTTTGCATTATTCGCTAATGTCCCATTTTCATTCGTTTCAAATAAAAAATTTAAAACTTTTATCGATTTTTTTTTTTTTTTCCTCTGAGGAAAAGCAAAAATGATATGGTTGAGAGAATGTTTGATAATATATCTAAGCTTTTCTCTATCTACCCAAAGCTTTGCAATTAATCATTTGAAACTATTGCCTACACGTCATTGCACTCAAATCAAATTCATCTTTAAAATATCTATGCTTATTGACTTCAAATGTACTTCATTAGCATATTTGCTTGCTAGCTAGCTATAGGCTATAGCTTACAAATTTTGCAATTTGCAACTATGTAAATTTACCCAGAATTCACGTCAAAAATTATTAACACTCTAAGAAGTAAACTTTAAAGTAAGTTTACTTGAAATTTCACTAAAATATTTAACATTGTAAAAGTAAATTGCAAGAAAATAATACATAATCATAACTGTTTGATTTATAAAAAATTCATTCTTTTTCTTTCTTTTTTTTTTTTTTTTTTTGATGTAATTTTATTATTTTACCGATGAAAGAAAAAAAAAAATGTTTGAATTTTTTTTGCATCAAAAAATATGGATGATTGTTTAATTGTAGACAACAAAAATTAATATCTATGATGATGAAAAGACAGAATGCAAATTGTTCAACAAGCAACAAAGTCACCTGTTAAACAAAAAAAAAAAAAAAAAAAAATTTTTTTTTTTTTTTCAAATAAAAACTGATATAATTGAAGATTGAAATTTTTAATCCCAATATAGAATCTTTCATTCTCTTTATGATAATAGATTTTTCATTTAAATTTTTAACTTAATTATTGCATTCCGCTCAACAAAACTATGAAAGAAGTCATTTGTTTACAGTAAATTTATTAGAAAAACTACTACGAATTGGAGGTTTTGAAAGTATTGTAAAAACCAATAAGACACAATGTTGAGAAAAAAAAAAGGAACGAAATGAAAATTTTAAACAAAACAATAAAATCATTCCAAAAATACTTTTCATTACATTTAAATTTATGCAATATTAGAGAAGATCAAACAACTACAAAACATAAAAATCGAATAAATTAATACTATGAATCTTAAAATGGAAAATTGTACTAAAAAAAAGCTGATAGCAAATATGTAAAATGAAAGAATGAATCAAATGAATGGAATTTTAACATTAAATAATATGATAATAAAATTATACAGCATTGAAACTTAAATTAAATATCATTAAAATCTCAAATTAAATATCATTGAAACATTGCATCAGTACAGATTTCATTTATCCATTTAAATTGATATTAGTTAGATGTTCGGCTGCTCGATTTGTGATATTTAGTGGTGGATATATTAGTCGTAAATTAGGCTCATGCAACAAAGACAATGCAGATATGCTGTAACATGTATGCAATGCATCTGAAATTATAAAGTTATGAATTAATGAAATGAAAAATTAAAAGTAATTCTATTTCAACTAATATTTGTTAAGCATAAAAGAGCAAAATTTTTTTAATAAATAATCTCAAATTTTTTAAAATTTCCATAAGCAAAAATTGAGAGAAGACAATATCTTCCTTCCTCCCACTTTTTTTTTCTTTTTTTTCAATTCCACGATGCTGCTTTCAATTAGAATTCAGATCTTAGAATCAAAATAATATTTAGTTCACGGTGAGAAAAACAAAAATTTATGGCTTAAAACTATGCAAATAATTACATTTATTCCTTTTCCACATTTAAATTTTTTGCAATGAATATTTTAAAACATACCAGGTACAACATCACTAAACTTGCCAAAACCTCCTAATTCTCGATCCTGAGTTGAGTAAATGAAAGATCGTAATCGCTCCCTATCCACAAACATATAAGCATCCAAAATCTAAAATAAAAAAAAAAAAAAAATTTCGCTCAAAGTAGAAAATTTAGAGGGAAATGAAACATTCGAACAGCAAATTGAAAAAAAAAAAAAGGGCACAATTTGAAAATATAAAATGCTATTATCAAAGTAACATTTCAGGATGAAACTTTCATCCTGCAGAGATAAATTGAATGACAAAATTCTAATTATATAACTATATAAGGAATGAAAACAAATAAAAAGAAATATTATTTACTGCTTTTTTTTAACTTAAAATTTACACACCTTAAGTGTTCCACCAATCCAAAATGCATAGCAACTATCATCTGGCTTATTAGCTCGACCGTGAAAGCCTTCATCTTGCTTCCATAACGCCCATTTCACAAGTCTTTCAATTTGTTTATGTGTTAGAACACTCTCATCCCATAGATGTCCTGCCATTGCTAATGCAGCTATAGCACAAAATGTTGAGCCTCCTGAAATTTTAAATAGTTCTAACAATAATACTGATAATAGTTAATTGATAGTATTAACACTTGTTCATTAGTTCTAAACCATCTTATAACTCTAAACGTTTATAATGTTAAAAAAAAAAAAAAATGAACTGAATAGTTGCATTAGATTTAAATAAAGATATATTTCAATTTAAAGACTTATTTCAAATTTCAATTCAAAGATTTATTTCAAACACTACTCACTGCTTATGCTTACCTTAAGTTTGTTTAAAAAGTTGCTATTCGTTTTACACTTTGCTTAAACTTTTACATTTATTTGAGCTCTTTTACGGATTCTTCTCGTACTTTTCTACCTTTATTTTTTCCTCAATTCACTTATGAAATATGGCTTATTTGGAAAGGATTTTTTTCACAAAATTTTATCCTGTCATTGAAATAACTATTAAAAAAAAACTGCTAACCATGACTTTCAAGAAAAGGCGCTTGACCGATACCGCCATCAAAATTAACACATCGTTGAATAAATTTCAGCACTGATTTCATGTTGATTGCACTAAAATCATTGAGTATATAACATATCGCAATAGCACAATACACAAAACGCATATCATTTTCCGTTCCTTGTTGTCCTCGAAAACTGAAAAATAGCAATAATTATTTTTTTTTTTGAAAGATTTGATATTTAAAATCACTAATGATATTATCCTCTTACATCTATTCTCAATAATCTATGTTAATTCATAAATAAAAAAATTAAATTACAAATTTTATCCAGTAAAATACTAATTATCAGAAAGTAAAAGGAACAAGTAAGACTGAAGAAAAACGATAAAATTAGCAATACAAAATTCCAACTATTCTATTCATCCATGCAAAAATTTTAGTTTAAAGATTTGAAAAATAAAAAATCCAAACCTTCCATCACTAAGCTGATCACAACATATTCCTTCCAGTACAGCTTTCCTATCTACTCGACTTAAATCATCTCCGAGAATCAACAAAGAACAAAGAGCTACATAAGTCTGTGAAATATGAGCACTATCATACAAAAAATAATTCGTTGTTGTATAGGTATCCAATTTTGTAACATCTACATCATCACCACTACTACAGTTACGCGTTTCATACCATAATGGCTTAGAAAAACCAAGAGATCCACGAAAACCGTATGCTTCCTTTGGACAACCTATAAAATAAAACAGTCAAATTAGAATATGCAAAAAGAGTAACAAATTTTTAAATCGATAAGAAAAATTTCTGAAATTACGACAATATCTCAAAAATGCAATAAAGAAAAAAAAATGAAAAATGTAAAAAAAAAAAAAAAAGATATCTTTCCTATCCGAAATGCAAGCAAACATGTTAGCTGTGAAAAGAGTATAAATGAGTGAGATTTTTTTATCATAGAAAACAAAGGAAATAAAAAGTATAAATGCAAAAATTGGGTAACATATGTGAAGAAATGTTGAAACAACAAAACTGCAATAATCCCAACTTCTGGAATTGCAGTAATTCCAAAAAAAAAAAAGGACTTCAAATCTCCTTAACTAAACAAATAAAAACACAGTTTAAGACGCGAAAAACAAATTTACACATTATTTCCAAAATCATTCATAACATACATTTGATAGTTTATTATTTCATTCTCAGTTCTTATTTTAACAATTTTAAGAATCCAGCAAAATACAACGTTTTCCATGATCACAATTTATCCATCATTTTCATAGCTCTATTATCATTTGTAAGAAAGAATTTAAAAACTTCATTTCTACCAAATTACTTGGTAATTTCCTAAATTTATTTCTGTATATTAACTTTACCTGACAAGATTTTAAGAAAAAAAAATTGCAAAGAAAAAGAAAGCAGAGGAAAACGTATTATAACAAGTAATAGTGAATTCTTTAGTGGAAATACCTATCCCAACCTTGTAATACAATTTTTGAAAAAAGTTGCTCATCAGCAACATCTCTCACTATTTCTGGTTCAGGATAGTTATTTTCAGGATGTGTATCCAATGGCTGCAATGTTCCAGCATTAGCATTCAGAAGAAGATTTTCTGAAGTACCAATATCAGATTCCACATCAAAAATATTTACTTTTTGCTGATGAATATCAGAATGCACATTAATATCAGAATACGACCTAAAAATTTTTTGTCAAATCTGTTAAAAAAAGTGCACGATAAAAAACAACTAAAATTAAAGGATTAATAAACTGAGAGGAAAAAAAGTTCAAACAATAGATAAAGCATATATGAAGAAAAAACTCTCAACTATTCCAAATTTAAAATCACTTTGCATAAGATTATTATTTATAATTTTATTATCCAAAGTTACTTATGATATTTATGTTACTTACCTTGTTATATCAAGAGTATTAACATCAATTATATCTTTCATTTTGGATGCACCTCTCCACAGCATCTTCTCTGATAGATACTGATCATTGTGAGTACTAATTTGTTCATACCATAGACTTCCATCATCCATCATTCGAAATAAAAACAATTTCTCATTACCAGAATCAGTATCAGTATTGAGGAAAGAAAGAGCTCGTGTTGGTCCACTTCCAAATAAAAGCCTTTCAGCTAAACGTGGAATGTGTATATTATACTTAGGTTGCTCTCGATAAAATGCAACTGCACTACGAGGTTCTTGTAGTCGTTTGATTGATGCTAACGATGACCACGTCGTACCATGCAAATGACGATAGAGAGAAAATGTTTGTACATCAGGATGTATGGTATGTTGCAAGACAAAGATCGGATAAATAGTGCCATTTCGATCAGTATCTCGAATAGGTGGAGCACTTGTAATATGATGTCCACCATGATAGATGCTATGAGATGATTCCAAACAAGTAAGTCCACGCATTCGCTCATCCACAAGCACAAACCTTTCAAATTCATACATTCAATATTACACTTATGTAATCTAAACTCATTAACAGTAAGCTTTTAGTATGAAAAAAAAAAAATCTTACTTTCTCGATGTACAAATAAGAAGCATTTGTGGGACATCAGGAAGACTGTATAACTGATGTATTCGTTCCTTCTCAAAAGCACCTTTGTATTGAAAATGATATGAATTCCGCGATGTATCATCGTATTCAGGAACAGTATAAAGTAAATTACCTGTAAATTATTTGTAATCAATTAATTTTTTTTTCTGCACCACTAAACTAAATGCATCATTTCAGAATTCAAAACAATCAACCAATAAATTCAATATTAAACTATTATTTACTAATCATCTCATTCATGTACTTTGACTTTTATCAAATCTGTAATAAGACCATTCACTAGGAAATCAAAGAAAAAAGAGAAAAAAAGTGTCAGAAGAATTCTAACCGTCCGAAACACCAACTCTCAAATCAATCAAATGAACACCGTCTTTGTTAGCTGCATATATCAATCGTGGATGGTCCGATCCAGCTATCGACTGCAACAAATTTAGAATAATCAGAGTATATGTGGCAGAAAATACACCAAATTAAATATTTACAGCACTCATTTCCTTAAATCCTATATATCACTAATAACGTGAAAAATGGATTTAATAACGGATGCTCTTAAAAAAAAAAAAAAAAATTAATTCTTATCATAAAGTTATCCGGGAGAAATGATCAACACTTAGGTGAATTTTATGAAGTCATGAAGATGAAAAGTTTAACTGCTTAAATATTAAAAATAAGATGATACTAATCTATTATTAGCTATTAGAAATAAGGTAACATAAAATTCAAATGAGTAATTTTGAAGAACAAAAAATTCAAAAAAATATGACAAGATACTAACCTCAATATCATAGCTACATTTTGCTTGAATAAAATTCCCACCCACTTCTCCATACCAAATTCGAGCACTATCATCAAGAAACACTATTTCATCGTTCATATAAGGTATGAATGACAGAGAATGAATAGGACGATGAAAAAGTGTGGATACAATATTATTTTCCGGATCACAAAGATATAATTCTTTTTCGCTACGAGCCAAAATTCGACATCTTTCTCCAGTGGGCTTATAAGGTCGAATTTCAAGTAAGGCAGTACTCACATCTAATGTTCGACAATATTCCGGATTATTAGAACTATGATTATGTATAAGTTGCTCTTCAAATATAGATATATCCTTTTCAGCAGAGGAATTACAATTTCTCTCCGTTATTTCCGTTGTTTCGGAATTCTCTTGATGTTCATCCCTATCATATGATACAATTTTCCACTCATCAAATTCTTCATCTCTTAAATGATGTAAACGAAATTCCAATAAACGTTTCCTTGTTGAAAGCTCACTTACACACCAAAGTATCACCGAACCATCAGAAGAAGGATCTTCGACCACTTCTAGTAAATTTCTATTCTTCAGTCGATTACTATGAGTTTCAAAAGGCCAATGTCCTGCATGTCGCACTGCTAGACAATCTTGAACCCATGGCATTGTTCGAGCTAAAAGTTGTGGGAAACCCACTGAATGCGGTACCATATAAGGCCGTTGCCAGTGATGCGCAAGATTATACTGCGATACATAAAAATCTTTGCTCGGACAACTGGGCCCTTGATCTTGAATAGTAGGATTGATTTTGATACCACCAAGAACAGAACATCCTGTGTCCAAAAATCCAAAATGTGGGGCTGGCGGTGCACAGAAGCCCATTATTCTTATAAAAGAAACTCTAAAACATTTGCAAATAGAAATCTGCAAAAGTTTGAACATATCAAATCATAGAAAACAAAAAAAGAATTGAAAAGAAAGTACGAATGAATGATATGGAATAAAAATAAGAATGAAATGAGACATACAGCAAGAGCTTTAAATTTAACAAATTAACAAAAAAAAAAAAAATATGTGAACTTTGTTACAAAAATTAACACGAAGTTTGCTTGCATTTCGTAAATACACAGTTAATCAGAAGTATTGATATTTCTTATGAAACACTTACCAGAATCACTTTTTAACTGCAAACGATAAATCCATTCGATAAGTTTTTCTCTTAACTCTGCATCCACCTCTTCCTCCAACTTTCCCAGAACATCAAGTGTCGATAAAGTGAAATAGAGAATTGCTGCTCTGAGGTCAAAACTTTTTTCAAAAATAAATTTAGTTTGAAAATCTAAGTTGAAAGTAAATCTAGAGATTCAGTAGAACAGAAATAAGTGTCATAAATTTAATACACATATTTATGTTTGTTTTTCTTGCAACAAAACATAAAAAATATTTTTCAAAAAATGTTTTATTTTTTTCTAGGAACATTTATTTAAAAATCCTAATATCTAACCTATTCTGATTAAAAGTTAATACCAAAAGACAATTTCGATTACTAATAAATATGGGTATTATCCGAAGCAAACAGTATAAAATAAATAACTAACCTGTTTGAATCAAAACTTCGATAATTAGCAGGTAACGTAATAAGATGTCCTCGTAGAAATTTCAAGTGTTGTGAAAGAAGAAGTGTTTCAGACATAAACAACAAATCTACAAAACTGGAACGAATTATATAAAATAATTCTCTAAATACCTAGTTTTCATTTTTTTTTTTTTTTTTCAAGAGCATAACCAAAAAGAAAAAACACACTGTTGTTCTCACCAAAAATAGAAATAAACTAGAACTTCTTCAATATTCAACCATTAAAAAACTCATTTATCACCAATCCGTTTTGATAAACTCTCCTCATCAGTCAGTTTCATCTCATTAACGATTGGTTACAGTCATCAATCGTTACAACCGATCATTTCTGTCAGAGTCTCTATGTTAGGATACCAGTCAATAGTTTATAATCACTTGTTAATGAGATGATATGTCCCTTTTGTTTACCAATTTTAATAGAAAAACCTGCTCATCATACTTTCCATCAACTCAATTAGTAAATAGTAAATTAAAAAAAAAGACTACTTCATTCTATCAGTTGGCACAAAATGTTGAGAAAAAATGAATAAAAGAAAGAAAATAACATTCGATTAACTGGATCAAAGGTCGGAGATACTACGTCTTAATAAAGAATTATCAAAGTCGAAGATAATATATCTTAATCAAGAATTATCCTACGTCTTATATATAAGAAGAAATTATCCTGTATTTATATATGGATTATCTTGTATTATCTCGTAAAAATTGAAAGGAATGCTTAGGTGTAAATATGGTTAGGGGAAACAAACGTGAAATATTTAACAACAAAAATGGTATAACGTATTTTGAAATGTACATAAGCAAAGAAGGTTACGACTATCGAATGCCGAAAGCCATAAAAATGATGTAAAGCCATAAAAAAAATGTATATTATCGGTATAAGATTACCATATGGTGATAAAAATATGCAAGCTTTTTTGAAATGAAATTTTATAAACTATAATAAAATATTTAACAACAAAAATATCATTCATACGAACATATTTTACAATTTACCAATTATCACCTCACCAATAATAAAGCCATAAATTTCCTAAAAGTATCCATATTTAAATCTTTTATGGCATCGAGATTTTCCGTAAACTTCCCACATTTATACAGTTGAAGACCTGAAAAAAAAAAAAAAAAAACTCAGTTAAATTTTATTATTCATTTTGATGAATAATAAAATTTAACTTGTTTTGAGGAACTTGAATCTAAATATATATGTTCTCACAAAAATAAGTTACCAGTCAAAACAAATAAAAATAATAAAAAGAAAAAACTGAACAAAAAATTTACCCGGTTCAATCCAAACAATATTTTTAAATCGACTATTCGATCCTAAATCAAGCGTATTCAACTGGAACACAACTAAATCCAATCGACCGTTGACAAGTTGTACAGCACGTGTAACCACTGGTTGATCTATGAGAGTTTCAAAATTGGACTGACCATGTCGTGTTGCTTGTGCTACTGCCGCACCGAAACATACCATTATCGCCTTAGCACCTAATTGTTCGCTAGAAAAATATATTGATGTAAAATATTGCTACCCTAATAAATATTCATTAAATAAGAAACATTATTTTAACTTACAAAATTCAAACCGTAACTAAAGCTCTTCTCACTCTAAACTTTTACATAATATATTAGTTGAATATTAATTAACATATAAAATTTGAAACGATAGAAGGTCGTCTTCTTCAAAAATTTTGAAAGTAGTTTTTTTTTTTTCCTTCTTTAGCAATAACTCATATTCACCAGTGCACTATTTATCATTTTTCACAAGTATTCTACAATATGGTAAAAATAAAAATATAGTATTCTATAATCAGGAATAAATTTCTACCTTTATTTATTTTTCAGAAAAAACTACCACATATACTGAAATCATAAGTTATTATTACAGAACTGATCATTAAAGCGCACTGGTGCCAATAGATAAGAACCACTTAAGATAGTTGATGAGATCAAACAAATGAAGTTAAGATGTCAACATAACTTACATTGTCCAAGGATATTTTTGGTTTTGTTCATGATACCACAACACCGTATCAATAAAAAGATTCTCTTTAGCTCGTGGTAGTACCACACTATCGTTATAGATGTGGTCCGAAGTGAGATCGATTCGAGGATTGATCGGCGCTGTGTCTGGTATCTTTATATTACTTAATCTGGAAATCAAAGAAATTAATTTAAAAATCTATAAATATAATTAAAAGTTGCTCTTTTTTCCATTCAATTCCTGTTTCCCAAAAACATTTGCTCTTTCTTGAAACGAAAGAGGAAAAAAAGTTGTTCAAAGCAAAAGACGATTTCCTTCTTGTCAGACATTGCAGAACAGATTATTTCCAAAACGATGCACAATTTTCATTGTTAACTTAAAATTACCGTAAAATCCTTTTATTTAATTTAAAAAAACCAAAAGATAAAAGAGATAAAAATTACCCAGCAGCTTTCGTCCACGGTTTGATAGGTTCTGAAGATTGAACAATGATGTGAGGTTCTGAACGAAGGACGAATGGAATTTTATTTTCCACATTATCAACTTGTAACATTGCACTTAATGGTTCATCACGGTCATATCTAAAACTAATTTATCTAAAATCTCCAAATACACATATCTATTCATCAAGTTCCGGTATATAGCAGCGATAACAGAAAATAGTAATATTGCTCTAATTTTATCCGAATTTATTTTCTACATAAATTATTGTTGGATGAATGCCTTTAAACTAATCAAGCATTAGAAAAAAATTATTGAATTCTACTACAACATACCTAAGGTTTAATAACTGTGAATGTTGTAAAGCCATAAGATGTGCAGTGCGAAATAGATTATCCAAAATTATTTTCCTAAAATATTATTTTTGAACAGATGAAGAGTGGTTTTTTTTTTTTCGAATATACATCAAACAGGCCGAAATGTAGATTAGCAATTTTTTACAACATTTTCTTTATGAAAAGAAAAATTCTACAAGATTCTCGTTATGCCTGAAATAAAACACACCCTCTTGTTAACAATGGAGTACCATGTACACGATATGGAAAATAATTTGTCCAAAATATAACAGGATCAAAAAGACGTGGCAATTTTTCCAACGTTGGATCATATCGCTCTCCATGCATTATACAATCACTTAAATGATTCTCGAAATGTTCAGGCAATGGTATTTTTGAAGCCTAAAATTAATCAGTGAAACTGCTGAATAGAGAAAAAATTGCAAAGCTAAATTATGATAATATTGATATAGCCATTACTTGATCTAGAAAGGAATATGTAATTAAATATATCGTTATATTTGTAAATCTATTGAATTTATAAGTACTCAAATATATTGAATTTACAAGCATACCAAATTTAAAATGCTTTCCGGAAAACCAATCCTTTTTACTGCCTTCGACAGAGAGCAAGCCTGGTCAATCCCATCAGTAAATGCTACAGTACCATCAAAAAGAGAGCACTCAACTGATTTATAAAGCGGATGTTGCTAAAATCATGTTAACTAATTATACTATAAAACATTTCAAAATCTATTATTATAACTATTACCATATATTTTTATAATAAATATTTCAACGGTGAATCTCAAAAAGAGAAAGGAAAATTATTACATGAAGTTGTGGTATTTTGTGGGCAGGATGAGAAATGACTGGTAATTCTCGTTCTTCTGTTGCAAAGAAGTTTGGATCATTGGGATCATATATTTTGAATCCTGCCTCCTAGAAATGTGAAAAAAACTTGAAATTGGAAGCAAATTTAAACTTGAATATTACTTGTAAGTCTCTGTGGGAAAACTGTCTATCCATTCAAATCAAAATATCAAGAATAAAATCAAGTATAGAATCTGTTAAATCATTAAATTAGTGATTTTGTAAACACAAAAACTTTTCTTACTTTCTTTGGTGCAATCATTACTCTCAGAAAAAAAAGAAAAAGGGAATTACTTCCGTTCCCTTTTTATTCCCAGTATGACTACTTAATAAAAAAGAATAATGTTAATCGAGAAAGTGAATTAGCAAGAACAGAGAGCATTTTATTTAGCTTAAGGCAGCATTTTTCTATTATTAAAAAAGATAAATAAGTGACAAAAAGAATGGAGTCAGTTGTCGCTTAAATCTGTGCCAGCTAAAAAACATTCACTCACCCGTACGGCTGAAGAAATTATAAATGATGGCATTTTCCGTTTATTCCTTGCTGCCAGAATATTTTTAAATATCCTTGTATCCATCTTTCCCCATTGTTTTTGTGGCTTAAATTTCCGGAATACCATCGTGCTAGCTTCACAAGATTCAACATGCGCATTCAGAAACGGAATTTGTAAATTAAATTATTCAAATCTAAACTTCAAATCTTGTTTAAAAATTCAAGTTATTACATTCAACATAGAAATTCCATATATGGCATTGTGCAACTATATATATGCAAGTCAAAAGTAATAAAGTGAGATATAATAACACTGCTAGATATTTGTTAACTAATAACAATTAAAAATTTTAAATTAAAAAAAAAGAAGTTGAGAAAAAAGAAATTGTTATTTCTTTATTAATTTTAAATTTCATTCTTAAAAAAAGCATTTCGAAATTTAAAAAAAAATAAAAAATTTTAAATTTCATCCCAAAAAATCATATCTTAGAACTTCAAGCTATACTAAGTCTAACTAATTAGTCAATTCAGAAAGAAAGAAATAAAACATATCCAATCCTATTTATTCGTCCATTCATCATCTTTTCATTCATCTTAATCCATTCAAAAAAAAATTTTTTTCATATTTTAATATTTCAAATTCTACAGCAATTAAAGCAGTTTTACTTCAAAAACCAAAATTAAAACAAACAGAAGACCAAATTACAAAAAAAGATAAATTAGCTCACACAATTAAGCTAATTTATCTTAAAACTGTACCCAAGTGCATGTCAAGAAATAACGAGTTCTTCATATGCAATTCCAAAATACCATTTCTTAAATTAATGTATATTGAAATTGCTTATTCACTAATTCATTAGTGCTATTCGAATATTTATTTGATGATACTTAATTAATTAATTGAAAAATTAAGAGAAAAAACAATTTCAAGAATATCTTTACTGTTTTTCTATTCAAAATTTTAATTGGATATTATCGATAACATAAATTTGAGTAACCATAGCAACATGAAACAATGTGATATAATAAAAAAGATTTCACTTTATATATAACTTAAATAAACTGCTATACTAATTGAAATAAGTTTAATTTTTTTAAATCAATTTTTGTTTCCTTTTTTTTTTGTATTTTGTTCCTTTTCATACAGCAATAATTTTTATTTTGATGTCAACTAATCTTACAAACTAATATTGTAAGTAATCAATCAATAACAGGTAATCATGGTAAAATAGTAATCAATAATAAGCAATAGTAATTAAACTAATCAATATAATCAATTAAATAGTAATCAATAATAGTTAACCAATTCTCTTATTCCATAGTTATATCATTAATTCAGAAAAATTCTTGTAGAATATAAAATTCAGGGTAAAATCACATTATATATGGTTTAGAAAACCTTTTTTAGCATAGAAATATAATCTTAAGCTAACATTAAAACATTCAATGACAAAACCGCCCTAAATTCAAAAAAATTTTTTTTCTTGCAATTAAAATGATATTATGCATCATAAATGTGATAATATTAATGAAATATACCATAAATTAAGAGAAAATCTTGATTTTAAACAATTGCGCATTCTTCTTATTAACCGATTAATAATAAATGGAAAATTAAAAAAAAAAAAAAGTTTATTTTCATTTTTTCTACAGGATAAGGAAAATTATAAGCGTAATGTCTGTATTAGTTGGTGAGAAAGTTGATGATGGAAAAAATGGCGCAAATAGTAATGGTGATGATGATATAGAGCATGAATTAATGGAATGGCATGCAACGAGTGGATTACTTGCTATAACAACATATCGCGCAAATGTCGGAAGTGAAATTAACTTTTTCACTCATCAAGTAAGTAAACATTTATTAAGTAAGCAAATTACTTGCTGTAATAACTTATCGCGCAAATGTCGGAAGTGAAATTAACTTTTTCACTCATCAAGTAAGTAAGCATTTATTAAGTAAATTGTTTTGCTTAATTATTGCTATTGTAAATAGAACAATAAGTAATAGTAATGATAAAAATAATTTATGCGTGCATTTGAAAATGAATAGCATTTATTAGATTTTATATTTATATATGCTCTCCAATTAATATTATTTCATATAATTTAATTTAAAATTTAATTTGCTACTAATATATATGAATAAAAATTGATTGCCAAAAGATTAAAGCAATCAAAAAGACATAAAAATGAAAATGTCTTAAAGTAATGAGAAATTTTAGGCTATTTATTCCCACCTATTCATTGATAAACTGATAAGTAATAGATGTTGATAATAATATTTTTTTCCTACTACATCAAATTATGACCAACAAAAAAAAAAAAAAAAAATTTTATTTAATCGAAAAATAGAAGAAAACAGTTTAGCAAAAGAATATTATTATTCAGTTAGAAGAATATTTTAGGAAAAAAATATCAAATATATCTGAGCAAATATATTATAAATAATAATTAATCACATTTACAACTACAAAAACTTGGAAAGCATTCAAAATTCAATTGACATATGCGTTATTAAGTGAATTATTAATTAACACACACATGTATATTAATTAATTAATAATTTGTTGAAGCATATGCTAATATACTAGTATACAAATATGTATTACTAATATTAAATGTTTATGCATTATTATAATTACCAATAAGTAAATATAATATTCATACATACATTAATTAATTGCTGATTTGTTGATGGATATACTAATATACAAATATATATTTATTCATTACTATTTAGTATTTAGGATTATATTAATATTTGATATTTACAAGTACCAATGAGTAAATGTATTTATTATTCATATACGTATATTCCTTGCATAGGCTAATAAAAGTAATTATTTACCTATTCGTAAAAGTAACGCACGTGTAATGTACTTATGTTGGCATCCTATAATTGATATTATTGCAACAAGTTGGGATTCCGGTGATGTGATAATCCGTTTTATTCAAAATGATAAAGGTATGAGGAAAGTTTATTAATAAATTACATTTAGCATATCATATTATCATTATTATCAATAATATAGTCCATCATTATCACTGATAAGGCATTTTAGCATTACAGATGAGTATTTTTTACTTAAATTATCAGTAAAGTATTATTAAGGTTTTTTTTTTTTAATTTAAATTATTATCAAGTACTAGTAATAGTATTGTTTGTTAAAAAGCTTGTAAAGTTAGTTATATAATTGTAAGCAATGATTATTAGTATGCAGTATTATTAATTGTTATTATCATTTTTATTATTTATTATAATTTTAATTTAGATTTTTCGCTTCCAAATGAAAATACATCAAATGATGTGATAAAATGTATGTTATGGGGTGTAATTGAGCTAAAAATATGTATTGTTAAAAAGGTATGAAATAATATTCAATCAAAAATGCTGAAATTATTCATTTATAAAGAAATTTTCATTTTTAGGTATTTAATTTTACTTTTTAAATAGCATATATTGTAAGTTAGTAAGTAATTCAAAAAAGTGATTGATTCATATTGTAATTTTTTTTAATATTAAAATTTAAATTTTAAAAATGAAATGAAATTTGTTGATAATTTTGATAAATTTCAAAACAGAATGGTAGTATTGTTTTATGGAAAATTATAAATGATAACAAAGGAGGAATGTCAAAAATTATTGTTAGTGGTACAATTAATGAAGAAGCCAATTGTATTTGTCGAATGATATCGGAAAGGTTTGGAATTTATTACAATTTATTTTAATAGTGATAAAAGATTAGAATTCACTGGAATATACTTTAACGGTGATAAAAGACTAGAAGTTACTGGAATGTGCCTTAACAGTGATAAAAGACTAGAAGTTACTGGAATATACTTTAACGGTGATAAAAGACTAGAAGTTACTGGAATGTGCCTTAACAGTGATAAAAGACTAGAAGTTACTGGAATATACTTTAACGGTGATAAAAGACTAGAAGTTACTGGAATATACTTTAACGGTGATAAAAGACTAGAAGTTACTGGAATGTGCTTTAACAGTGATAAAAAATTAGAATTTACTGGAATATACTTAAATAATGATATATGATCTAATTATACTCATCCTAGTAGTAATATTTACTTACTATTCTGAAAGTAATTTCAAGTTATATGTCTATGCAAAGATAAAAAAAAATACTTGTAATGTTTTTTTTTTTTTTTTTAATTTTCCATTTTAGTATAATTTAGTGATGCAAATACAGTTAAATTGAATTTAGATAGCGCTTGCGAATATTTTCAATTACAGTAAAATTTTAGCAAACGATAATTTTTAATTAATAAGATTTATTTAAAAACAATAACGAAATTAATTTTTAATATTAATTTTTTAGCAAATCATTGGAAAACAATGATGTCAAGCAAATAAATGCAGAACATAGCGATGAGTTGAAGAAATCAGAACAAAATGTAGTAAAAGTTTAAAATTTCGTTTAAAAATTAAAAAAATTATTTAAAATTTGTTAAATAGCTTGGGAAAAATTTTCCTTAAATGGTATTTTTTCAAATATTGTCTATTAATTTGATGAAATTATTTAATTTACTCTAAATTTTTCCTGTATGAAAATTAAATTTAACAAAAAACAAAACGAAAGAAAAAAAAAACAGTTAGAAGGAAATTTGAATTTATAAATTTGCATCTTGTAAATTGAGAAATTTTAGAAAAAGATTGAATCAAATGAATGTTTTATTATTGGTGGCGCAAATGGTGGTATTTATATTTTTCATCAAAATGGTGAAATTCGAGAAATTCATCGAGTAGTAGTATATTTGTGATTTAAATTCAAAATTTAAAACTTTGAGCTTTTAAAAAATTTCAATATTTATTCTTTCAGCCATTAAAAAACAAAAATAATTGAATTACTTATTTTATTTTTCAAAGTAAAATGTATTAATATTCAGTTAGAGAGTGCAGTGATACAACTATTTTTTATTGAAAGGAAAAATTTACTGCTAGCTTTAAGTGAAGAATTATTTCTTCATCAACTCACATTGATCGATAATCACAAAATTGAAGAAAAAATTCGAGTATGTTTTATATTTTACAATTTTATTTATTTTATTTAAAATATAACCAAAAATTTCAATGGAATTTTTGATTTACAATTATTACAATTAAACTCATAAGGAAATTAAATTAAATTAAATTTTTAAAATTAAACAATATTTCAAAGGTTAAAATTTATTTATCAAAGCCATATAGCTATATAAAATTTTTTGGTATTTAAAATTTTGACAAAAAAAAAAAGAATTGAATCTAGTTTTAGATTAAAATGAGTGGAAAATGGCCAAACTTTCAAATGATAATGATAAGAAATGATATGCTTGCTATGTGTAATGGTGAAAATGAAATAAGGTGTGATATTTGAATTAAATTAAATCATCGTCCGTCTCATATAAGCCAAATAGTTATAAAATTTTGTAGTATTTAAATAATATTTCAATGATCAAAATATGTTTCAAAAATGGTTTAAAGCATATTTATAAAAATATTTTCAAAGATATTTCAAATTTGATTACTTTGGACATGCAGAATATATTAAAAAAAATATTGATTTTACTTTAAATTAAACCATAAACTAATAAAATATATTTTGATCAAATGAAAAGTAATGAAAAAAATAATTTAATAGAATACATTCTTTTTTTATTCTTTAACTTATCTTCTATTAATTTCTTAACTTTAAATTATTCTACTGAAACAAAAATTTCTAATATATTTTAAAAATTATAAGAATTGATTTTACTAATGCAAATTTTAGAAAGTGAAATTTAAATAAAGTAATTTATTAAGCTAATTAATTATTTGTTTAATTTTAGAATTTGGGATTTAAAGAATGATATGAATGGAACTGTATCACTACGAACAGCAAAAAGTTTCAGTGCAACTGATACTATTACTTGTTTATCATATTCAAATATTAAAGGTAAACTTTTCTGATCTTAGCTAAAATAAATGTCCAACACATAAATAATTTATGATAAAATTATGATGCATAAATGATTTAACAATTTTAGTTAATAAAAAGTTTGCTTTAAATTACTTTTGAAATATTTTAGTTAATTTTTGCAGATTGTTTATCAGCTGGTACCGTCGATGGTAAAATTGCTAATTGGAAACATTGTCGAATAGATGAAGAAAAATTTGATAAACAATGGATTTTACAAGAAGCTGTATACATTGGTTCTAAAGTAAATTATTTAAATAAAATTTATTTCAACGATTCTTTTTTAAACATTTAAAAATTTTAACAAATATTTACAGGTGAAAATGATCAATTGGTCAACAATTTCTGGTATTCTTGCTGTTTCGACTGGATTTGCTGTAACATTACTGAAAGAACAACCAATTCTTTCATATATGAATAAAAATGTTAGTTAAATATATTTAATTTATTTTTTTTTTTTTTTTGATAATTTTTAACACTATAATTTATTATTTAATTTCAAATTTTAAATTAGTAATTAATAATTGAGAGTTAAATTTTTTCTTGGTATCATCAAAATATTAGTATATTTGTTGTGATATTTTGATTTTAACATTATTATATGCTATTTTAATAATTTTTAATTTGTCAATTAGTTTTTTCCTTTTTTTTTTCTTTTTTTTTTGATTTTACTTTTGAGTTTTTGAGTTTATTTTTTGAGTTTTTCATTCACTTTTTTAATCTACCAGTACACAATATCATTATAATTAGTGTCGAATTTTACAAATTTAAAAATAATTACTGTAAATTAGAATTAGTAATTTAAAATTTGTACAATATTTATTGTAATTCTAAAAAAAAAAACTTTAATTAAAAAAAATTAATTCAATTCATATTTTATGATATTCAGAGGGCAGTAATACAATCAGGTTCAAAAAAACTTACCTTAATATGTTTACAATCAATCGAGCAGTACGATATACAGGTATCAATCACTCCAAAAGGAGTTCATATAGACGAAAAACACCTGGCAATTTGGGATGATCAACAAGTTAGTAATTTCAAATTTTTTTTTTTTTACAAATTTATAGAACTATTTTAAATCAAAAGCAAAAAATAGGTGAAAAAAAGTTGAATTTGTAGCATTTTTTACAAGTTCATAAAACTATTTTTTAAAAAGTATTTTAAATCATTCAACTTATCTCTTTTTATTTTTTAAACTTATTTTTTTAATCTTTTTTCTCAAAAAAAAAAATTAAAATTATCAGAATTGATTTACTTTTTACAAATTTTAGAAAATGAAATTTAAAAAAAGTAAATATTTAGGAATGATCAAGAATGTTTTATTGTTATAAGAAGAGATATTGATTTCATTTAATCTATTCATTAATCATAGCTAATTAATTATTAAGCAAATAATTATAGTAATAAATTTTTTCAATTAAAGAATTTTAATTTATTTTCAAAATAATCACAAACTTATTTTTACACATTTCAGATATATTTATATGAAATAATTAATGAATCGAATTCAAAATTAAATGTACAATTGGCATCAAATTTTAATTGTTCCGTTTCATCTGTTGTTGTTTATCAAAAGAATGTTTGTTGTATCGAAGATGACAAAATTAGAATTCGAACATTTCAGGTTATATCTTATCATAACAATATTTTTTCTTTAATTATTTAATTTTTCTTTTAAATTTTATGAAATTTTCAAAGTCTTTAAATTTTTTTTCTTAAAGTTTAAATTTTTGATTTAATTCTTATAAACACATATAAAGAATAAAATATTCACTAAATATTATCATAGAAAATATTGATAAATTCTAAAAAATGTTATATATTAAAATTTTAGGGTACTGTTAAACAGGTAATATCGTTGCCCGAAATAGAAGGTAATCCAATAATGATTGATATTAATAATAATTGGATATGTATTGCTAGTACTAATGGTTTTATACGTATTTATGATCTATCTGTAAGGTATAAAAATTTTAATAAATTTAACTCAAATCTAAATTAACTATGTATTTTTTTATTGCTGTTTCAATTAATTGCGTTCATATTTTGTGTTTAATTCAATAATTTAATTTAGCAATTTATTTTGCTTTTAATACAGTAATTTAATTTGCTAATTTAATTCAGTAATTTATTTTGTTTTTTTTTTTTAAATTCAGTAATTGATATCGTTGTAGAGAAGCACGACAGCAATATCATTCGAAAGATATTTCAAAAACGGTTCAAGATTTCAAATATTTTTTACATATTAAACTTAACAAAATGGGTAATCGTGTTAGCTTCACTTATTGCATCGATGATAGTAAAAATGTATGAGTTAATTAATAATTATGTTATATTTGCTTGTTAAATAATATTCAATGACTGAATTAAAAATTGAAAAATAATTGAGTAAGAATTAAAATTTAATTCAATCCAAATTTTTAATAATGAAATATATCTTTCGTGGCATACAATTATCACGCTTGTATGATCAAATTTTATGATTAACTTTAAAAAATTAAAAATTTTTATTGTTCAGGTTTATCCAGGTATTATGGTTTGGGATGCTGATTCAGATGTAATTTCAAATTTTAATTTTTTAACTGGTATGACTGATCAGCAACAATATGAAGCAAATGCTAATGCTTCTTCACTTGCTGCTAGCAAACGACCAAATACTGCTGTTGCACGGTTAATAATGTTTAAAATTTATGACAAACAATTAGTGTTAATGTAAAGTTGAAATTTTCAACTGCAAATTAAAATTAATTTTTTAGTAAAATTCAACAAGAGCAAATACGATATCGTCTTCCGGATTATCTACCCGGTTTTCATTGCTGGGACAGTAATGATTCACGTTATTTGATATGTGAAGCTAATCATCGCAAACCAAATACAGTATGTAATCTTATATTATTGATAAGAATGCTTATGTTATCGATAAGAATGATGTTATTATATTATCAATAAAGATAATTGTGCTATTAATAAGAGTAGTCATGTTACTGATTAGAATAATCATGTTATCAGTAAGAATAATATGATTATATTATCAATAAGAATAATTATGTTACCAGTAAGAATAATGTTATTAATATTATCAATTAAAATAATTGTATTATTAATAAGAGTAATGTTATTATTAACAAGATAATAATTATGTTATCAATAAGAATAATGATGTTATCAATCGGAATAATAAGATCTAATTTAATAAAATAGAGGTGAATAAGGCTCATTACTGATAAATCAATATCACAAGTATCAACAATTTCATTTCTGTTGGATTTTTTAGAAAATTTTATCAAAATCTTTCTGCTTGCTTTATCTAGCTATCTCTTTCCTTCTTTCTCTCTCTCTCCGAAGTTAATCAAACAATAATATATTTCAATTAATTTCTTTGTAACTTTTCAATCACTTATTCTGTATTAGCAATATTTGTTATTTTTTAATCAGCCATTATCATTTTATGATATAATTTCAATCAGTCATTATCATTTTATGATAAAACATTTCAACTTGAAGCATTTCTAATCTTTTTAGGGACCGAATTACTTATTATCAATATTTGTAACATCAGAAGATGGCTTACATATGCAAGATTTACAATTGAAATCAAGAAATTCTGAAATTTTACTCGGTTGCACAGTACCATATATTTACTTTATCCGCTCGGTTAGTTTTTGTTTTATTCCTTTGTAAATAGCATTCTTATGCTCTTATAATTAACTTTTAAAATAATTTATGCAAATTATCCTTTTATGCCGCCTTTTATATTTCACATCAAATAATTCAAGGATAATGATGAAAATGATATTAGCAATAACGAAATGAATATTGGAAATTTACTATTGCGTCAAATTTTTCGCCAATTCATTGGACTTGAAAATTCTGATCCAACAACAAACGAAGTTTGTTAATGAATAATAAATTTGAATTTATAGAAAATTTCAAATTTCCATCAAAAATACGATTATCATTCCAATTACAATTTAAAAAAAAAGAAGAAAGTTTGAAATTTTAGAAATAATAAAATGTATATTACTATAGGCAATGATGAATTTTTCATATTATATGACAGTTGATAAAATGGATGAAGCATTTAAAGCTATCAAATTTATTAAAAGGTTTGAATTTATTAATTTTTGATTATTTTTTCTTTCACTTTTTTTGTTACAAAAAAAAAAAAATAAAAATAAAAATATTAATTTCTTTTAATAATTAAAATTTATCAAAATTTAATTACTTATTGATCTAATTTACTTTTATTTATTATATATATTATGTTTCTAATTTAGTGAAAATGCTTGGGAACATATGGCGCATATGTGCGTTAAAACGCAACGTCTTGATATAGCCTTGCTATGTCTCGGAAATATGGGACATGCAAGTGGTGCAAGAGCTTTAAAAAAATCTATGAAAAATGGTGATCCAATAGAAGTTCAAGTGGCTATTTTAGCCATTCAATTAGGCCTTTTGGTAATTTTAAAATTAAAAAAACAATATGTGAAATGAAATTAAAAAAAATTTTTGTAATTTTATTATTCTGTTAAAAAAAATGTTCCATCCAAAGATCATCAAATAAGTTTATTAATTAAAAACAAAAAAAATAATAATAATTTTTTTTAGGATGAAGCGCAAGCACTTTTTACAAGTTGTGGTCGATATGATTTAGTCAATCGTCTTTTGCAAACACGAAATCGTTGGGATGAAGTTTGTAAAAAGAATTTGAAAAGATTTTAAAGAAAAAAATAAAATAAAAGGCTGTTTTTTTTTTTTAAATTTGCTTTTGAATTTTGTTTTAATTTTTTTTTTTTTTGCAATTAGCCAAATTTTCATAATGCATCATTACAGGCATTTAAAATTGCGGAAAAGTATGATCGAATACATTTACGTAATACATATTATAATTATGCAAATTATCTCGAATCAATTAATTCCACTGATGCAGCAATTGAAAAGTGAGATTTAAAATTTTAAACTATCAAAATTACTAATATATTTACAATAATATGTGTTAAATTTAAAATGTTATAATTTTAAATGTAATGTTTTAGCTATGAAAAATCAGGCACACATTGCTTTGAAGTACCACGAATGCTATTTGATCGTCCTAAAATGCTTGAAGCATATGTGAAGAAAACAAAACATTCGTAAGTTTGCTTTAAATCATTCATAAGTTAACATAATCATAAAAATATTTGTAAGTCAATTATGTATAAATTAATATTGTTGAAAGAAAAAAAAAATAAGAGAGAGAGAGAAGGAAAAATTATTTTGACTTTTATGAAAATTTTATCAGAGAATATTGATCATTTATCATTATCATTGCTACCGTAAACATACAGTGATAAGTTAATTAAATCAATGTTACTATTATAGAGGTGTACAAAAATGGTGGGCTCAATATATGGAAAGTAAAGGTGATGTAAAATCAGCGTATTTATATTATCAGTATGCTAAAGATTATTTATCAGTTGTTCGATTACTTTGTCGTGATAATAATATCGATGAAGTAAGTAATGCAATAAACTTCATTTTTGTTAAATCTTAATTACATTTAAATGAAAATAATTAATTGTGGCATTAAAATTGTAAGTTAAATTTCAAAATTTATTTTCAGATAAATTATAAAATCCAAAGTTATTAAAATTTATTATTTAAAAATCTTGGCAATTTTTTTTTTTTTTTGGCAATTAAGCTTATCTTCGAATAAATGATAGTTTCTTTTATTTTTTTTAAATGATGTCTTTTATATATTTTATATCTGTCTCTTTTATTTTTTCATATTTCTTTTTATCTTTTAAATTTTACAGATTACTTTTAGGCAATTGAAATAGCAAATAGTAGTGGTGATAAGGCGGCTTGCTATCATTTAGGACAATATTTTGAAGCGCATAATGATCCAAATATGGCAGTAATGTTCTTCACGAAAGCGCATGCATGCAGTAATGCATTACGCCTTGCTAAAGTACTCTATCAATTTACAATTTACAGTATGTTAAATAAATTATACATTAAGTTTTAAATAAAGCTAAGTAAGTTTTAAATAAAGTTAAGTAATAATTGAAGTAAATTAGCATTAACAATCAATGTAATTGATTTGTATATATTTTAACTGTTTTTCTAATGCCATTTATCAATAAAAAGGAATTTTTTGTTGAATTAAATTAAATTCAAATTAGATAAAAAAAAAGGTAATTAATTCCTATATAATATTGTGCAGGAAAATAATATGACGGATAAAATTGCTAATCTAGCTTTAATGGCTGGTGGAAATGAATTAGTTGAAGCAGCACAATACTATGAAAATATACCTGGACAAACTGATAAAGCTGTCATGTTATATCATAAGGTAAATTATTAAATAAAATTAGATAATTTTTTGAAAAAAAAGCAAAATTTTAATTTGATTTTAAAAACTAACAATTAGCACTTCAATTCTTTGAATCTGCTTATATAACTAATCTAATTTGCTTTATTATTATAAAATATTTAGAAAAAAATGCGAAAAACAAAAGGTCATGCCAAAGGTCATGCATATTTTTGTCTTTTAGGCAGGTATGATTAATCGAGCACTTGATCTGGCATTTCGTACTGATCAATTTAGTGCATTAGATTTGATTACTAATGAGCTAGATGAAAATTCGGATCCACGAATACTTGAACGAGCTGCGGAATTTTTCAAAAATAATCAACAATATAACAAAGCAGTTCAACTTTTAGCATACTCCAAAAAGGTACATGTATATAAGCTGATATTAGTTATATATATAATTAATGAAAATTTTTTAATCTCATAAAATTATTTAATTTGTTATTTCTTTTTGAAATGCTAATAAATTAATTCAGTTTCCTAAAAAAAAAAAAAAAATCAATCATTTTGTTAGTATTTCGAAGCAATTGATTTATGCAAACAAAAAAATGTTCCAATGAATGAAGAATTAGCCGAAGTATTGACACCTTCGAAAGGTAATAATTTAATTTAATTATAATTATTTAATTGTAGTCCTTGTCTAATTATGAAGAATTTAATTGTGGTGCTAATTGATTTCAGGTAATTAAATTAAATTTTGTAATGAGCTTTGAAATTTTAAAACTAGAATAATTTGATTCAATCATAATTCTAATCTAATAGTAATTGTAATAATCGGCTAATTATGAAGAATTTAATTGAGCTATTAATTAATTTTAGATAATTTAATGAAATTTTAAAATTAAAAGAAATATTATTTAGTATAAATTAATTCAGACCCAAAGAAAAAAAATTGTTCTATTTTAAATTAATTAATATAATTTAGGTGAAATAACGGATGAATCTAATCGGAAAAAACTTCTCGAATTAATAGCAGAATGTTGCGTACAACAACAAAATTATCATTTTGCAGCAAAAAAATACACTCAAGCTGGAAATAAATTAGATGTGAATTTTTTTTTAATTTATTTAGAAAAGAATAAAGTAATTGTAATTGACATTATATTATCGCAATATATATATTTTTATTAGTATCATTTCAAGTCCATTCTTTTTATTAGTATCATTTCAAGTCCGTACCATTTGATAGTAAAACTTTCTGTAATTCAAAACAACGATGTAAATTTTGTCTAATGTTACAGCATATTTATAGAAGAAAGTTAATTTTAAATTTATTGAAATTTCTCTGAATTTTAGTAAAATATTTAAAATAAAAAGTTTAATTCTAATCATTAATGAACTAAAAATAAAAAGATTAAATAAATTTTTAACTTGTATTAAATGAGCTCAAATTATTTCATAAATTGTATTTTATAGGCTATGCGATCATTAGTGAAATCAGGCGACACTGCAAGAATTGTATTTTTTGCAAATGCTGCAAGAAAAAAGGAAATTTATATTTTAGCAGCAAATTATTTGCAAACATTGAACTGGAAAGAAGATTGTGATTTAATGAAACAAATTGAATTATTTTACAATAAAGCTAATGCATATGAACATTTAGCAAGCTTCTATGAAGCATGTGCTCAGGTATTTATTTATTTATTTGCCTATTTACGTGTTCCTTAAATTTAGCTTGAATCATTGCATATGAAGAAAATTTAGAATTACTTACTCTAAATTAACAAATTTCTTTTTAAGACTAAGTTTTTTTTTTTTTTGTTGTTGTTTGAGAAAATGAATAGAAAATTTTTAATGATAAAACAAAAATTGGTCGAAGTATGAAAATCACATTGATTAGAAATTGAAGTAAGAAAATATTGCGAATATAATGATAACAAATATTTGAGAAATTTGATTTATAAATTTAATTTAAAAACAGTAAGAGTAATATGATGACAGTATTTGAAATGTTATCGCTGAAATTAATTAGACTAAAATTACCGAAGAAAATATATATGTAAAGTTAATCTTACTAAAAAAAATACAATGAAATAAATAAATCCGAGTTTTTTTTTAGTATTAAAAATTTTAGAATTTTGGAAATTTGAAGGTTACGTTTTTTTTTCTTTTATTTTAGGTATGATTTTTGGTTTCGACTGTATTAAGATAATATTACTATTAATTATTTTTAGTTTATTAATTTTATTTAATTTATTTAATAATTTTATTACAAAAATGTATTACTTGTTTTTAATTCATCACATACTTCTGAAATTATAAGGAATATTTAACGGAAAAATGAATTAGCTTTAATTTCAGGTTGAAATTGATGATTATCGTGATTATAATAAAGCAGCTGATGCACTTAATGAAGCATTGCAGTGTATTGCAAAAGCATTACAAAATAATCCTAAAAATCAGGAATATTTAATGGAAAAGCAAACTGAATTATATCAAACTATTGGAAATATTAAAGAATTCATTCAAATTAGAACGTAAAAAAATTTAACATTTTTTTTTTTTCAAAATTATTTAAAAATTCGAGTTTGATTTTTTTTTTTTTGCTTTTAATTTTGCTTACGAAATAATAAAAAATTTACTTTTTCAGTATTTATGAATTGGACCCAATTGATGCAATTCGACAGTTAGAAGCATTTGCAGATGATAAACAAGTTTGTAAGAATATACGACTTGGTGACATCTATGCTGTGATGATTGCATACAATGTTCACAAGGAAAACTACAAAAAAGTTCATATTTAGAATTTCAAAAGAAAAAAAAAAAGAAATTAGACAAACACTTGCTTTTTTTTTTTTTGAATTTAACTAATTGAAAAAAAAGAGAGAACAATTTATGGAATTTTGAAAACTTTTAGGCATATTCACTAGTACAGCAATTGAAGGATCGTGAACCAAGCATCGAGCTAAATCGCTATATCAACAAGGAAATACAAGATATCATTTGTGAAAAATTGAAGTTATCATCTTTTATTACTGATAACAAAAATCTATCAGAATGTGATAATGATCAACAATCTACTAATGATGAAGAAGTGGATTATAGCTATGCAATGAAGCGAAATTTTCAATAGAATACCAAACATATAATTTCTCGTATTTCTGTCACAATAAACCCATACTTTTAATTAGTATTAAAATCAAATGGATAAATTTGTAAAAATTTTTTTGTTAAATTAAATTTTAATTCACATTTCGACTTCTCTGTCAGATTTAGCAAATTATAAATATATCAAAACAATAGTAAAAGTAAAAATAATTGTAGGAATAAAAGTAGCTGTAAAAGTAAGAATAATTGTAAAAATAAAAATAACTGAAAAATTAAGATTAAAATTTATTACTTATTATTCATTTTTGGGAATAATATAGTAGAATTAGGATCTTGAATAGAGTTAAGGATTATTCATAAGTATTTCATAACTCAATGTAAATCTTGCTTTTATTACATTCTTTTTTTTTGTTTTGTTGGAAAAATTTTTCTCAAATTTTAATTCCCTAATTTTTTACTTTGAACTTACTAGCACTTGAAAATTGATCACTAGCAGTTTTAAAATACTTAAACCAATTTCTTTCAAATATTAAAGAACGATTAATGCCTCTTGAAAACAAATTTAGCTTCAAAACAAACCAAAAGTCAAAGCAAATCAGTAACCTGAAATTTTAATAGCAAGGAATAGACTAACCATGCACAGTATATAAACTCTCCAAACGCTTCATTAATTAGTTATATGCACCATCCTCATTTATTATAAACAAGTGAATCTGAATCAGATTGAACATATTTTTATTTGCCTTTTATTGCCCTAATTTACCAGATGATAATCTTCCGACTTGCTGCTGGGGCTCAATCACAAATTTCAATTTCAATTAAGTACAATGTGTAATGAGTGACTCTAAAGGCCACATCGAACCAGTGATTTCATCTGGAACTTTGAGAAGTGTTTAAACTTTTAAAAAAATAAAGAAAAAATTTCTTCAATGCTTTAAGACATTTGTAACCTCACTTCCGATCTCTCTCACTAATTGCTTGCTGAATTTGAAAACAACACAATGCAAATGTACTTCCCCGCAATTTTGTAAAAATGGACACTCTATTTATTGAAGTCCCTATTTATATCATATTTCTGAAGCAATCAAAATCTCTTAGATAGCGTCCAACATGCATGAAATTTTAAAATAAATTTTTGTTAATATAGCAGCACTACTCCGATTTAATTTATTATACTGATATTCTTTCTGAAATCTGAAACCAATCCAAGTATCATCCCAAAGATCATTTGTTAGTTGTGTAGACGAAGCGTCTCTTTATATTTCATAATTAATAGCAATAAAATTTTAGAAAAATTAAGTAATATTACATGAAGCAAATACAGATGAAAAAGAAAACAATAAAAACAAACCGTTACAATCTTTCAGTGGTCAGTAATATGAACAAAAGTCAGCGTTTATAATTTTGCAGGGAATTAAACCTGGTTAATATTCCTAATTTTGCCTAACAATTATGCATTATTAATGAACTTAATTAATGATATAGACTTAGGATAAAAACTAAGTAGTCAATAAGAACGACATAATTTTTTTTTTTTTGAAGAACAACAAGCATTTCAAACCAAATTTTGAGTTCTTACTTATTGAATCACACTTGCAGGCGGAAATACTTCTGAAAAAAGCAGCATGGTTCAAAATATTCTCTGGTCTGACTATTTCGCAAAAGGTATGACAATTCAACTGAAAAAAAAATTAAATATATATATATATATATATATATATATATACAAAGCTATAGGAATGTTGGATTAAAAGAACTTATTCAAAGCAGGCTTCAATTAATTTAAAATTTGAAATTTAAAAGGAATGGAAATGGAAGAATGTGAGAGCAGTCAGATACATTTATACCTGAAATACATTTAGAATATTATTAAGCTGAACATGCAATATAAATTTAAAAGAAATAACGAAACCAAAAATAATACAACAATTCAATTGATTCCGCTCAATTACTGAAGAATTTTTGATTAATAAATTCCTAGAAAATATCACAAAAGAAAACAATTCAGCGGAGAAAGTGAAAGAATCAATCATCAAAACATCTAATTCTCATTCTACTCAGTTGAATTAACAAATCATAAATGCGATAATTATCACGTCCAACCTCTACTCTCTAAAAAGGACAAATGCGCCCTACTCGTTTGCTTGCTAAAAGCAAAAATGAAAAGATGAAAAAAAAAAAATGAATATAACGAAAGTATATATGTAATTGAATGAAGGCAGTACTTGACTTGCTGTGAAGGAAAATAAATACCCAACTTGTAAGGAAGGGAAGTAATACCCAACTTGTAGGGGAGGGAAGTAATACCCAACTTGTGTCTCAAATAGTAATATTAAGATATGCACGTGCTCCAAATACTCTTTGAGACTATCAGAAATGCTCTAATGCGACCATACGTGCAGTTCTGCTGAATAAAAGGATAAGTGCGCCCCATCATTTTGCTTGTTGAAAAGAATAAATACTATGAAAAGAAGTGATTGCCTGACTTGCAGAGGACAGAGAGAGATCTCGGAGTACTTTTAATCATTTTATTGTTCATCAAGAGAACTGCACCAAGAACTAATATTTGTTTTGCATTTCAATCGGTAATATTAAGCTGTGCGCAGATAACTCCCATTTTCACATTCTCCGCACACTCGGACTACTGTTTGAGTGTCCTTAGGAATGCTTCAATGCGAATAGTACGTGCAGTTTTGCTGAGATGGAAGGATAACTGCGCCCTATACTTATTTTCTAGAAGTAAAATGGCGCAGTATTAGAGAGAAGACTACTTCAAATATTATGAGATAGTCTTCTTACTGTAATTCTGCTAATCGATGTTATTTATTCATTCTAGTCTTATCATTATTAGTACTTGTTTTGTGTTCTACTCATTCATAAAAGGATAAGTGTGCCCTATCATACTTTCTACTCATTCAGTACTATTCGATACATACCGTATGTATCACGACAAATATTACCAAGTTATATGTCGGGAATTTTAACTCCCTGTTATTTTCTCGTCGTGAAAGATTGTAATATTTCCCGTGCTATTGCATTAAATGCTATTATACAACTGTATGGATTTAAAACTTCAATTAAAAAAGGTACTTTACTCATATCTTTTTTTTATGAAAATTAAAATATATATATTTTATGAGAATTGATGACTCATTTCAAGCAATCCAAATTAGTTCATCCTCTTTTTTTCAAATTTGAATAGATAATATATTTCCCTTAAGAGTATTTTTTTTTTTTAATTTAAATACTCAGTTTCAGATTTGAGTACCAATATTATTCGGTTACTAATACAGAAGGATGTGACTGTGACGCTATTAAAAGTTGGTCCTTCCAGATACTTTATCATTAAAATGTTTATTAATGCATACTATGTATTTCATAAAATATTCTTTTACCTTGTGATGAGGCTAACCGATAGCAGATTGAACTATAATCAATGCACCACTTAATTAAAAAGAGAAACATATGACAGTAGTTTCATCGTATAAAAAGTATAAAATTACATTTCGTGGTGCTTTCGTAATTTTTGCTCACAAAAAAAAAAAAAAAAAATCATTTGATTAATTTTAAGCATTTTAACAGTGTAATATCATTGCTTTTCAGTTTAAAATAAAGCTTTTGTATTTCATGTAGTTTTGGTTACTAATCGATTGATTTTTATCAGAAGGAAATGGCAGTCGATATTCGTTTGTATCCCTTTTCATGGAGTCTTCTGGAAAACTTTCTTACAATAGGTTAGATTATTTGAGGTACGATGATTCAACTGAAAAAAAAATTAAATATATATATATATATGCAAAGCTATAGCAATGTTGGATTAAAAGAACTTATTTAAAGCAGGCTTCAATTAATTTAAAACTTGAAATTTAAGAGGAATGGAAATGGAAGAATGTGAGAGCAGTCAGATACATTTATACCTGAAATGCATTTAGAGTATTATTAAGCTGAACATGTAATATAAATTTAAAAGAAATAACGAAACTAATAAGTAATCCAACAATTCAATTAATTCCACTCAATTCCTAAATAATTTTTGATTAATTAATTCCTAGAAAATATCACAAAAGAAAAAAATGAGTAAACAATTCAGCGGAGAAAGTGAAAGAATCCATCAAAACATCTAATTCTCATTCTAAACAATTAGATTAACAAATCATAAATGCGATAATTATCACGTCCAACCCCTACTCTCTAAAAAGGACAAATGCGCCCTACTCGTTTGCTTGCTAAAAGCAAAAATGAAAAGATGAAAAAAGAAAAAGACTAAAGGAAAAATCAGCCACAAAAGAAAGAAAAAATACAAAACTGCACGTATGACCGATCGCATTAGAGCATTTCTGACAGTCTCAAAGAGTGCTTGAAGCATGTGCATATCTTAATATTACTATTTGAGACGCAAATTGGGTATTACTTCCCTCCCCTACAAGTTGGGTATTACTTCCCTCCCCTACAAGTTGGGTATTACTTCCCTCCCCTACAAGTTGGGTATTACTTCCCTCCCCTACAAGTTGGGTATTACTTCCCTTCCTTACAAGTTGAGCATTCATTTTCTTTCACAGCAAGTCAAGTACTGCCTTTATTCAATTATATATATATATATATATTTTCGTTATATTCATTTAGTCCTTGGGCTAGTGTCGGTTTTTTATTTTTTATTGGGTGGAGGAATGAGTAGAGTTAGGGTGAATACAGGATAATCAATTTCCTAATTTACACGTAAGGTACCAGGCATTCGTGACCAATCAATATCCTTATCAGACACACTATCTTGTGAATATTTGGCTTTCTCCGAGATATTTGTAGTTCTGATTTCGGTGGTAGATGAATTTGATTTCCATTATAATTGAGCTGTTCAAAATTCACTATTATGCAACTCGTTTGACGAAGGCTTGTAAAATCATGACAAATTTGTGGCACCATCAAGGACATGTCGTGATAAAGTGAGACCTGAAACTGGTAATGCTAGACGGATCTATTTTATTATCCAATGATCAAATGGAAATGTTGGTCTGATCTGAAGTGTATGAGGTATTTAAGGGAAAAATTTATCACAAAATTTAAGTTTTTAACGAAAGCCATGATGATTTGTGGTAAAAACATAAGTGCTGATTAAATTTTATTATCATATTGGCATATCATGAAGGAAGACCGTGTCCAAATTAATATCGAGCAAAATGTGAAACAAGTTTAGGCCAGTTTTTGTAATGTAGTTAACCACTTTATAAGCTTTTGTTACAATTATAAAAGAATTTCGTTGCCAGGAGCAAGAAGCCCATGATTTTATAAAATTGGGTTGAGACGAGATTAAAATTGGATTGAGCCTGGATCTGGTCTGCACCGTTATTGGTTAGTGAACTGGACTGTACCTGGTTTGTGATGTGGCTTGTAACGGGATGCAATCGAAGTGCAAGTGGTTTGTTATTGTTTCTAACGCTCTAGAGACTCTTTAATGTATAATTTTGAAATTATGTATTCTATACTATAATAGAATTCTGAATGATCGATCCATAGAATTCCATATCTTCTGTTTAGTATAGAATTCTAAATTGTCTCTAGAATTCTGGGCTGTTTTTAGGAGAAATCTGGGCTGTTTTTAGGAGAAATCTGAACTGTTTTTCAACACTGTATCCTGTTAAATATTTCATTCCTTAAAGCTTTGCCGTTCATCAAATTATTCATTGAAAATTCATTCTTTTTTTTTTTTTTTTGCTTTGAAGAATGAGTAAAAAAAGTTTAGAAATTACAATTACAAATTCCAAAATATGTGGACAATATTAAAATAATCTCCAAATGTATCTGTTGCTAATTACAAGGAATCAAAAAAAGTAAAATAAAAATAGTGATGTCATCACATTTCATAAATATTTTATGCTCGAGGTTTAAAATTATTACAATTTGAAATTATTCAAATGCAAAAATTAAAATAGTAGAGAAATACTGTATCAAAGACAAATAACATTTACATATCAAATATGTCGCAACTATTTTTATACAATAATCCATTAAGAAAGGAAGAAAAAAGACTATGCCACGATGGTATAAATGATAAAGTGGCACTATTATTATATAATGGATTTGAATAAATTAAACCATCTACCATTTTAATGCTCGTATAATATTACTGGTTGGATAGCGTCTAATGAGCCATTTCCGAGTCTGAAAATATTTATATTTTTGAAATCTTTGATAATAATACAATTTCGTTCTATCTATATATATATGTGAAAAATAAATGTAGCAATATTAGATAAATTTTGAATATAATTTTACGTTTTTCATTCTTTTTTCTCACCTAGCTTTGTCATGACATCGCTTTCCATTTCTTCTTTTTTTTTTTTTTTTTTTTTTTTCTTTTATCAAAATGAAAAAATTTTTTCCACGGAAGTAGTAGTTTTCCTTAAATAATGTCATATCAAAATAGCGATAATGTTATCTATTGCAACATTACTGAGTATTTGTTTATCAAAGAAATATTTCATTTTCTATTTGTCTATTTGTATTTATTTATTTATCATCAATTTTACATGAAATAAATTTTTGTACATGAAAGAAAAGAAGAAAGATTAAATAATACAAAATTGTTTAAGAAAAAATGATGTATTAGATAATTTGAGAAAAAAAGTTTTTTTTTTTTGAAAATAATGAGGAAAAGAAATAGAACGAAAAAATAACCTCATTGAAAATAATAAGAATAATACCAACAGGTAAACAAAATAGCCAAACAAATGCTGGTGGATGAGTAACACTAAGCCAATGTTGCACACCTGGCATATAAATCATAAAATTGAGAATGCAAATTTCAATAAGTAATGCAAGAACTGCTGCAATATTTTGCGTGCCATGTTTGAAAACGGAGATTCTTCTCGTTGTGCAAAGCCAAAAATGAAACACCTAGAAAGGATGAAAAAAAAAAAAAAAAAAAACTAAAAATGAAATACTTAAAATTATTCAATCATTTGAAAAAAAAAGAGAAATATCTAAATTAATCTAAATAACCTAAACAAATTTATTTATACATATACATATTACTTGCCAAACAAGTCAAGGAAATGAATATCAAGCTAAAAATTTTATTATTAAAATCAAGAAAGAAACATCTAAATTTATTTACTAAACAAATGAACAAAATGAATATTAAACTGAAATTATCCAATAACTTGAAAATTTTTTTTTTTCAATTACTTGAAAATTTATGATTTTTTTTTTTTTTTTGAAAAAAAGAAAAATGGCTTTATCAGAAATTGCTCATTCTAATTTTTTTCTCTTATATAATTTGAAAAATTTTATCAGACCTGCGACATAACTAATGTAATATGCCATGCAGCTTTTGCTTGACCATGAATAAGCATTTGCATTTCAGCTGTATAATGCTTCCCGGTTGTAGTTGACAACATTTCAGCATTTGGTCGCCAATGCTTAATATTTGAATGAAATAAATCACCTAGACTTATTTCATAGAACCTAGAATAGAATGTAATAATTCATTCATTTCTTAAAATATTCAATAAAAATTTGTAACTAATACAGATATTTGAAATTGAATAATAATTACATTTATGAGTGATAAGTGGATTATGATAGATTATATTTTTTGATTTTATTCAAATGAATGGTTCCAGTTTACTTTAATTTACACATTTATTTTTTCTCAACTAAATTGTTCAAAATTAATTCAAAATTAAATTTAAAATATTTTTTTCTTAAATAAAAAAAATACAAACCAAAAAACGAATAAATATGCAATAAAACATCCAACTGATATAATACTACCAACAAAAATATATGAATAAACAAGAAGTGCTTTTGACACAAGTCGAGCAGTTAGTTTTCTTGGTGGTCTACACATGATATCCTTTTCACCAGCTTCATATGTAAGTGCTATTGATGGTGGTATCTCCGTGATTAAATCTATTGAAAGAACCTAAAATGAAAACTTTATTCATGAAATTTCATTAAAAAGTTTTGTAATAAAAAAAAAGTGTTCTTTTTTTAATACTAAATATTCACTGATAATATTTAGTTAATCATTTCTAATATTAGTTAAATTATCACATTAAAATGCTTCTCTGATTACTCCTTCCCATCTCTTTCTTTTCTTTTTATTAGCTAAAGATAAAAATGATCAATTATTGCATACAAATTGCAGATACACAGAAAAATAATATCAATAATTATTGTAATTTAATTTGTTGATTATTTTCAAGTATTTCATACTAAAAGTATTATCCAATTAGAGTTTGATTTATTTTCTTCCAATCATTTTATTATTTAAAAAAAAAAAAAAGAAAGAAACAATGAATTAAAATATTTAACCTGTAAACTACTTAGACCAATTGGAAAACCAATAGCAAATGCTAGCATAACAGCACATAATTCAGGTACCATATGAGCTAATGTATATGCTATTGTTTTCTTCAAATTTGCATATAGCAATCGACCTTCCTTGATGCTTTTAACAATATGTTTAACATCACTTTCTGTATATACCATATCAGCTGCTTCTTTTGCAAATGCACTTCCGAAAATAATATTTTCTTTCTTTGAAAATTAAATTTTCTATCTCAAACAACCATTTCTTACTGATATAGAAAAAATATTTGTTTTCCATTTATTAAGTTAAATTCAATATTTTTTTTTTTTGGTCGATGTATACACAATGATAACAAATACATTATAATATTATTGGTTGATTTAACAATACTTTTTAGAAGATTGATATTTGCATAAATAATAATAAGTTATATTAGCAGATTAATTAGTGAAATTATTTATTAATAAAGGAAATGGAAATTAATTTTATAAATAATATGCACCAACGGCTTCCATAGCTATACCAACATTAGCTTCCTTTAATGCTGGTGCATCTAAGACACCATCACCAGTAACTGCTACAACTTCACCTCGACGACGACATTCCTGAATTAATCACAAATAATCTAATTAATAAAATTTTTATTAATTTGAATTAATTTAAAAAAAATTATTAATTCGAAAGAAATTTATTAATTACGAGAAGTAATTTTTCAATAATATTAAACTTAAATAAATCAATAATAGTTAGTCGATATATTATCATAATATTATTTTGATATGTTTTTTTTTTACATTACTTATATTATATACTATAAATTACTATAAAAATAATATACTATAAATTTATATACTATAATTTTTACATTACTTGTATTATATTTAATTATATTACATAATTGTTACTGTTATTGTTGCTAATTGTTATCACAGTATTAAATTATACTGTATTTTATGAATACCTTAACGATAATTAATTTATGAGAAGGTGTGGCACGAGCAAATACAACAAATTCCTGTTTCAATATATCATCCCATAATTGCTCGCTTAATGTATCAATCATTTCACAATGAATTACTGATAGCAAATTTGATTTCTTTTCCATTTCCGTATTCTAAATTAAGCATAACATTAATTTCTATTTCATATTGCAGCTTAAAATTTTCCTTAAATCTATCACTTAAATATGAGATATAATTTCATTTGATAATATCAAATTATTATCATTCAAATTCAAGCTTAAAATTAAGCTAATTAATTGCATCTTATCAATCTTTACTAATTAAACCGATCTTTACTAATACTAATAAATAAATTTTTTCTAGCAGTTGTAATGTATTTTAGATATTTTTTAAAGAAATGAACCACTTTTTTCTACTCCAGTTATATTAAATTATATTGATATGATACTATGATTATTATATTGTCGCAAAACAATAAAAGAAAACACAAAAATGAAATAAAAAGTTACAATTAAGGAAAAACGATTATGTAACAAACCAATGAAACAATAGATGCACGTGGTACGGCTAAGCCGAAATGTCCGGCAACTGCAGCAGCTGTTGATGGATGATCACCGGTAACCATAAAACATTTTACACCTTAATAATAATAATAAACAATAGCAGTAATATTAACAGCAATTACTAGCAGTAATAACAGTAATAATTACAATAATAATATAGTAAAATCAATAGCAATAATAAATAATAATAATAATAAAAAATCAATAATAAATAATAACAATAATAATAAAACAGAAATTAAATTAATGTAAGATTAATTTAAATTCACATACTACAAATAATTAAAAAAAAAAAAAAAAAAATTAGAAATGATGAAAAATTTTCTCAAACCTGCATTTTTCATTGTTTGCAATGATTCCAGTGCTGTATCTCGTGGTGGATCATACATAGCTACCATACCAAGAAAGCATAAATTTAATCGATTTAAGCCATCCCATGATCCAGAATATTCAATTAAATTTAATTCTTCAAATTCTGCTATTGCAAATGCAATACAACTCTTTCCTTCATTACCGTACTTGGTATAAGCTTCCTGCAAATATTTATTTATCAATAATTTGAGAAAAAAAAAATTTCTGTTTAAATTAATAAAACAAAAAAAAAAATTTCAAAATATTTCCCATTAATAAAATATAATTTATATCGATATTTCAAAATTTAATACATATGTTATAGGCATAGTTTGATATTCAACTAAGTTATTCAAAATTTAGCTAAATCTTGACATTGCTATGCTAAATTTTAAATCAAGAAGAAAAGAAAAAAATTGTTCCCGTAAGTATTAATAAAATATTTGTGATTTTAAAAATTAACCGAGAATTGAGCAATAAAATCATCCGATATTTTAATACAACCATCTTCGGTAGCTAACAATTTACAATGAGCAAATAATTCTTCGGGAGCACCTTTGACAAGAAAATACAATCTATAATTATTTTATAAAAAAATACTGATTTATTGAATATTTAAATTTCAATTCTTTTTTATATTAGCTCGTAGATTATTACAAACAGTTTTTTTTCCGTCTTATTTATAATAATTTATGAAGTTTTAAATAAATTATTCATATTGTAATAATCTTTTTTTTTTTTTTGCGTTATCTGTATTTTCCCTTTTTTTCATCAAATTTATAAAAATTTTATAAAAAAATTTGGATTTATAATCATTTCTACTCCAAACATTTTTATGTTTAAGCATAAATTATACTAATTGCATTTAATTACAAATAATTACATTTGAAACTAATTCAAATTGTAAATTTTCATCAAAAATATACCTAAAAAAATTAATTAATCTACGATTTCTGCAATTGCGTTTTTTTTTTTTTTTTTTTTTTGGATATTTTAGATCAATGACTTTTAGGAGTAATAAACTGATACTAATAGCAAAAGTGCGATAAAATTTGCTTTTGGAATAAGTAAAAAATTTTCTAATATTATTAATGATTTACAACAAATAATTAAATAATCAAAAAGATACAAAAATGAAAAAGATGAAAGAATTAAAATTGAAAGTTTATGAAGCATTAGTTTAACTTACTTTGTATTACCATTATTTGTGGAATCATTTTTAGATCGTTGACGAACGATTACCATTTGAAAGCGTCGCTGTCTATTAAATGGTACTTCAAAAATAATTTCATAATTGCGTCGAATTCTTTCACCATTTGCTAGCTAAAAAAATTTTTTTACAAATTTAAATTTTAATCATATTTTTTTTTAAATAGTATGCAAAAAGAAAAATATACGAAATGTTACAAATGTCTATTTTCTAGAAGAAATGATTACAATTATGCAAAATTTTATCATGAATTTCAATCATTAATATGCATTAAAATTAACAGCTAATAATTAACAATCTTTTTTTCGGTTCGCTATAAAGTTTTCAGATTATGAATCATCGAAATTTCAGAAAATATCGCGAGTTTTGCTAAAATTGATCAAGCAAGATTTATGAGCGAAAAGATTTACTTCTAAATATTGAAAATTAGATTTACTAGTTATTAGTCATTCATTAATTAATTCATACATCTTTTTTACTATTTTTCTTTTCATTCTTAATTAAACTAATTGATTAAAGTGCTAAAGATAAGTTAAAATAATAAAGTAATCAAGATAAGTTAGAATTATATTTTGTTAAATTTTAATCCTACATAAATAATATGATATACCTTACTTCTTCGACGTATTTCAGTAGTGCAACCTCATTTTCACTTCCAGTAATTACTTTATGATGAAAAGCTGATCGTACTGTACGTTCAACTTCAGCATCTGATATTTTTCCACGTGATACCTTTCTAAACAGCAACAAAAAAAGAAAAACATTTACTTATACATTTAACATTACAAAAAAAAAAAAAAAATATTTGTTTAAAAAAAGTATTAGTTAAAAAAAAAGTTGCTAAAATTTAATTAAATTTTAATTCACATTTTTTTTTTTTCATTCCATACTATATGTATTAATATCAAAAAAAAAAAAAAAAAAAAAAAAAAAAAAAAAAAAAAAAAAAAAAAATTTTAAAAAAAAATAAAAAAAAAAAAAAAATTAGTAGGAATAAAAAAGATCAAAATTTAATTAAATTTTAACTTTATTAAGTTTATTTTTAATATTTTTTGTACGTAATGTTTAACTTTAATATTTTTTTTTTTTTTAAAATGTAATAGTATTGAAAAAAACAGAAAAAAAAAAAAATTTGTACGAAAATACGTACGTGAATGGAAGAATCTTACCCATCCAATAGTGATTGTATCGTAATGGTATTACTTGCACGTGAAAGTTTATTAACCATATGCCACGCATAAATACCACGTGAATTTAACGGTTCCAAATGCGCTTTATTGCATATTGACATAACAGTTAGTAATGCTACCAAAGTATCGTTATTACATTCTGATAATGGTACTGATAAATCAGTTACTGATAAATGCTTTCGTTTAGCTTTCAGTTCATCTATACCTAAATAATTTAAAAAATATTATTAAATGCAAAACTTTTTCCCATTTTCTTTTTTTTTTTTTTTGAAAATTTAATAAAAAAATTTTTTTTATAATTTTAATGTAATATTTTCCAAATATTTTTTTGTTCTTTTTTTCCTTTTTCTATGAAAAAAATGTATAAATTATTAAAAAGGAAAAAAAAAATGTTAAATTCAAGCGTAAATTTAAATGGAAATTACAATACAAACAGAAAAAAAAGTTAGAATTTATTTATAAATATTAATGTTTGCAATATAATAAACATAAAACAATCAATAGGATTATTTATTCAATTAATAATCATTGGAGAAATGAAATCAATAAAATTAAAAATTTTATGAAAAAAAAGTATATCAATAAATTAAATGATATATATATATACTTAAATTTTTTTAAATAACAATTAAACTACTATAATAATAAAATAATGCAAAAAGAAAGGAAAAATTATTACGCTTTTAATTAAAACAAAAAAAAAAAATTATAAAGAAAATTAATAAAAGTTTATAAAAAAAAATTTATTTTTTAATAATAATAACAACAACAATTAGTTTAGTAATGAAATAATTTAACAAACCTTTAAAGTAATGTAACTGGTACCATAAATCAGAAACGGTAATATCATTTAAGGTAAAGATACCCGTCTTATCACACATTACCACTGTTGCTGTACCTAATGTTTCCACCACATCTAATCGTTTCATAAATATATTTTGTTTAGCTAAACGTCGTGCAACAATTGCTAATGCTGCACCAAGTGTAATTGGAAGACCTAAATTTAAATAAAAAATCTGCAATTTTTAACAAAATATTTGTCAAATAATTTTCACAAATTAGTACATTTTCCTTTTTTTTTTTTTTGGTTTCATTTTTGGTTAGTATTATTTTAGAAATTAATTTATACATATATACACTAAGTTTAAGTTTGAATTTATGCATATATATATATCCTAAGTTTAAGTTTTTTTTAAAGTTTGAAATTACTTTATACATATATATTTTTAATACATATACACACTAAGTTTAAGTTTGAATTTATGAATATATATATATACTAAGTTTAAGTTTTTTTTTAAATTTGAATTTACTTTATATATATATTTTTAATACATATACACACTAAGTTTAAGTTTGAATTTATGCATATATATATATTAAGTTTAAGTTTGATTTTATTTTATATATATATATATATTTTTAATACATATATACACTAAATTTATGTTTGAATTTATACATATATACACTAAGTTTAAGTCTTTTTTTTTCTAAAAAAAAAAAATTTTAAATAACTAATAAACAATCTAATTTGTTAAATTTATTAATTCATAAAAGATAATAATTTTAAACTTCTTTCTATGTTAACTAACAAAACTGATACAACAAATCTTTTAATTTAATTAAAAATTCAATTTACTACTACAAAAGAGAAAAAAAAGTATAAACCTTGTGGAATATTTGCAATAATAATAACAAGGAAACCATTTACAAATGTATTTATAAGATGTTGAAAATTTGTAAGCAATAAGCCAATAACAAATGTAATCGTAGCCATTGTAATAGCTAATGTTGAAATAAAATTAACGAAACGTTTATGCTCTAATTCTAAACGTGTTGGTTCACCTTTTTGTTTACTTGTTACACGTGCAATTTTACCAATTATCTAAAAATAAAAAATTTAATTACATTTTATTACGCATAAATTAAATTAAATTATATTTTCTCACTTTTTTCTACACTTTCCATTTAAAAAAAAAAAAAAAAAAATGCTTATTTTTTTTACGTTGCATTCATTTTCTATAATCAATAGCAACTTTCTTTTTTTTTTTTTTTTATTAAATTATTTAATTATCTAATAAATTATTAAATTATATAATTTGTACATTTCTTTTTAAAGTGAACATTATTAAATTATAAACTGTTAATGCTTAACTATTTGCAATATGCATTTCAATTAAAAAAACAATTAAATAGTTTTTTTTTTTTTTTTTTTTTATAAATTCATTTATTAAATATATAAATATTATACAATAAACAATTTATCATTTTTTTCAAAAATTTATCGAAATAAATTCAAAGTGTATAATTATTAAAATTAAACGTACCGTTCTATCACCTGTCCTAATAGCTACACCATATCCGGTACCATTGGTGCATAAGCAACCATTAAGTGCAATATTTTGTGCACCTAAAGCTGTTACATTTTTTGGTACCGTAGTATCACAAAAATCAAGTGGTTCCAATTCACCTGTTATCCATGATGTATCCAATTTTAATTCATCCGTATAAATTAATCGTAAATCAGCTGGTACACGAGAGCCAGGACTTAAAAAAATTCAACTGATAATAAATATTTTAATGATAAAACACCACCATATTTAATAAAAAAATTTGATTTTTTTTTCTAATTTGAAAACTTATTTGTCATAAAAAATTTAAAAAGTTAAAAGAATTTCTCAAATTAATTTTATCAGTGTTTGATTTTTAAACCAAATTCATACCTTAGTCTTATTTCATAAATTCATTTAAAAAAAAAAAAAAATGAATTATATGAAATTGTTTAAAAGTTTATTATCAATAGCTCTCATTTCTCTTCATTACTCACTTTTTAGTCTAATTGGGCTAAAGAATTTTCGGCAAATTTTTTTTTTTTATTCCTAATTAATTGGAATTATTCTAGATCCGAAATATTTGAAATAATACACACTACTATCAATCTTATCGTTATCAGTTGTTTATCAGTTATTTATCACCATTTATTATTAGCTGGATTGTATTTATCACTTGGATATTTAATTTGGTTTTTTTTTTTTTTTTTTTTTTTTTTTTTTTTTTTTTGCAGTTATAGTTTTATTTATAGAAATAATTTTTGTTTCATTAAAATTTCAATTTGCTTTTTGTCTATTATAAAAATTAATAATACTAATTAATAAACAATAAAATAAAACTAAATAACATTAATAATAAAATTAATATTTACATGATAATTTCAACTTTTTTTTTTTTAAATTGTCATCTTTTATAATAACTGATTGAATTGATTATTAAATTACCAGAGATAGACGATGTCACCAATGACAACATCAGAAACATTAATACGTATACGTTCAGCAGCTCGAACAACATAACAATATGTTGTCATCATTGATTGAAAGCATTGCATATTCTAAAAATAAAAATTTTTTTTTTTTTTTTCCAATATTTCAATTTTTTGTTTTTTTCAAAAAAAAAAAAAAAAAAATAGAATCTATGTGAAAAAAGAATTAATTAATTTTTTTGAAATAATACTACTAAAAGATTGGGTAAATGTGGTAAATGCAAATTTAAGTTTTATTAAAAAATAGAAAATAAGCAAAAAATAATTTTGTTATATGTATTAACTGAAGATTTAGCAAATTTCATTTATAATTTAAATTCAAATTTATAAAAATTACTTATAGCAAATAATTTTCATCTTTTATTCAAATCTTTAAGTGATCACATTTAAAATATTATCATAAAATTATCTCAAAAGAAAATTTTCTTTTATTTAAGAGAAAAAATTTTTTTTTCTCCATAAATTTTTAAAATTTTCCTATGATAATCGAATACTACTAATAATAATAATATGGTTTTGCTAGTTTGTTTATTTTTGATAAATTTTGTGATTATATTTTGAAGTTTATCTGATGTACTCAGAAATAAGTGATTTCAATTTTTGATAATCATTTAAAAAAAAAAAAAAAGCATATTCGATTAATATTATAAATATTTTATAGTTCAACATAACACTAGTTTTTTTTTTTAATCTTTTAAATTCATATTACTTACTTAAATTTATTTAAATTCATATCTCAATCATTTCTATTCAATTCAAATAACTATCTCATATTTATATTATTCCACTAAAAAATCAATGTGTTTTGCAGTTTTCTCTTTTTTTTTTTTAAAATTTTTAAATATAAAATTATACACCTACACTTGAAGTGTCAGAATTTTAGTATTTCACTGAAATTTATTACAATAAATAATAATAATTATAATTATAATAAAAATATAGGATAATTATTTCTAATAATAATCAATGTTCACAAGCTGGTTAAGGAATTTAATTCAAAAAATACTGATAAATGATATGAATGATATTATTATCAATTGAAATTTACCTTTTTTGCATGTTGTTCTTGCCAATAACTAACACCACAGAGGATAAAAAATATAACAATTAGAGCAATTCCAAGATAAATTTCAATAAATCGTGTTGTATCCAATGCATAAATGATAAAACAGGTAAGTGCAGCAGTTAATAACATTAATCGAAATGTATGAGAAAATTGCTTCAACAATAATTTTGTTGTTGTTCGACCAGTAACAGCGAATACAACATTACGTCCATCCGTTACCAAACGGCTAGCAGCTTCATCCTTACAAATTTTTACTTCAATTTTTTTTTTTTTTTTTTAATAACAATAATAATAATATCAATAATAATAATAATAGTAATGTCGTATATATAATAATAATAGCAGTAGTAGTAATAATAGTATTGTCGTAACGACATTACCAGTAGTAATAATAATAATAACGATGATAATAACGATAATATTAAAAAAATATATTATAATAGTAATAACTAATAATAATGAAAAATTTTCATCATAATATTACTAATAATCATAGTAGTAATAAAAAGAATAAGAACAAATAAAAATCATAAATAATAATAAATAAATAAATAATTATTAATTTTAAGTAGTTAAAATAAAATAAGCACAAAAAAAAAAAAAAAAAAACTATAAAATTTGTTAACAAATGGGCGAAAAAGGATGTAATGGAAATTTTTTAATGATCAAAAAAAAAGAAAAAATTATTAATATTAATGATAATAATAATATTTTAATTAATGTTAAATGATATAAATAAAATAGCATATTGTTTATACCTTATTTAAACCTTTACTGCATTCTGGATGTTCTAAGTTTATTCGTGATAATGGATGAAGATCACTAAGTTGTTCCATTGTTAATGTATGCTCGAAAAAGTTACATTCTAATTCGAGTTCCTAAAATAATGCTAATATAATTAATTGAATAAACGAAACATAAAAGAAAACTTCAAAAATTACTCACAAATAATAAACATTAAAAATTTTTTTTAAAAAAAAAGATAAAAAAAGATAAAATGTTTAAAATAAATTTAAAAAAAAAAAAAAAAAAATGCATCATTTTCATGATAAAATCTATATTTGTTAGTATTTACAAATATTTATAGTATTTATTATAGTATTTATAAATATTTAATCAATACATAAATAATAATTTAGGAAATAATTAAAATTAAACTGTTTTATGGTAACAAAAAAGACGAATAATTAATGCTTACCTTTTTTTTTTTTCAATACATTATTTCAATAATATTTCTCATCCTACTCAATTATTTCATTAATTAATTATAATTATAATAATTTGAAATACCTTAAGCAAATGATTATGTACAATCGTTGATACATCAATCATATTTGCATGTTTGCCTTTTGTCATTTTAATATTTGCGTCGTCAAATATTGATCAAATTAATCAAACAAAAAAAAAAAAAAAGAAAGAAAAATATCTGAAAATGATTTTAAAATATCAAAAAATAAAAAAAAAGCAATTGAATATATATTATATAATAAATTATTGTGTCGTTTTTTTTTTTTTTTTTAAATACTTTCAAAAACGAAAAGGAAAAACGAAAGAAAGAAATGAAAAAATGAAGTGAACTGAGAACATTTAGAAGTACAATATGACAATGTATTTAACTTTAACTTAAATGGTAAACAGTAAATTCCAATATTTCACTTTGTCTTCCTCTTTCTTTTCATCTATTTTTCTTTTTTTTTTTTTTTTTTTTGTTTAACTTGTTTGTGATGTTTAACATAGAGGTGAGAAAAGAAAAAGGAACACAAGGTAAGAAAGAAATGAAAACATTCTAAAATTTCAAATTATTCGACAACAAAAAAAATATATATATATATGTACATGTATATATAAATTAAAAATAATTCAATCCATAGAAACGCAAAAAATCGTTTCCGTTTTAAATTTTATTTCAAATATTAATGTACTTATATTTATTTTAAATATAAATATGCATATCGTTTTTATATTGAATTTAAAAGAAAAAACGATGCATTAGTAATGTGTAATAAATTAATAATAATAATAATAGCATAAGTGTTGTATATTCTTAATAATGATAATAGCAATAATAATAATGATAATAACAATAATAGTAATAATAATAATAGTGATAATAATAATGATAGTGGTGATAATAATAATAATAGTAATAACAATAATGATAATAGCAGTAATAATAATGATAATAATAATATGATAATAATGATTATTTAATAATATATTCAAATATAAGAAGAAACAAATGAAGAAAAATCTTGAAAAACAAATTAATAAAATATTGTTTTTTTTTTTTCCTCAAATCATTTGTCTATTCAATGAAAAAAAAAATTGCATTTTTTATTGTTAAATTTTTGTTCAAAGAAATTTTTGTCTTTCTTTGCTTTCATTCCTATTTTTTTTTCTCTTTTTCTTAATTAAAATAATCAAATTATGATGTATGGAATAATGAAATTTTGAAAAGTTTTCATTAATTTTAACAATTTAATTTTTCTTTTGTCTATTTCTCATTCAATAAATCTACAAAAAATTTTTTTTCCTCATTTTATTTTATTAACAATTATTTTATCATTTCTATCATATTTCATCAGTGCATGCATCATATTTAAAAAAAAAAATGTCCATAACAATTTAAACTGAAAATAGTAAGGTAATAGTATTATTGATACTAGAAATAGTAATACTTAAAAAAATGTCCATAACAATTTAAAATGAAAATAATAAGGTAATAGTATTAGTGATACTAGAAATAGTAATACTTAAAAAAATGTCCATAACAATTTAAACTGAAAATAGTAAGGTAATAGTATTAGTGATACTAGAAATAGTAATACTTAAAAAAATGTCCATAACAATTTAAACTGAAAATAGTAAGGTAATAGTATTAGTGATACTAGAAATAGTAATACTTAAAAAAATGTCCATAACAATTTAAACTGAAAATAGTAAGGTAATAGTATTAGTAATACTAGAAATAGTAATACTTAAAAAAATGAAAAGAAGGAAAATGGTTTAATATTATTAAAATATTTGCCAAAAAATTTGCTTTATAATTAAAACTTGCAAAAAAAAAAAAAAAAATAAATAAATAACACATATCATTGATTATTTGATAAAATTAATTTGTTAGGAGTAAAAGACAGAAAGAAAAATCGTAAGCAAATCGATTTTTTCTTTTTTTTTTTTGAAAATTGATAAATGATGAAAATAAGAGTGATTAGCAATAATAATGAAGGTAATAATAAACAATAATAATGAAAATAATAATAAAAACAACAACAATAATAATTAAAAATAAAATTGACGATAATAATAATAGTAATAATATTAGTGTTGGCAAAATCAAACATTATTTACTTTATTAAGTATATATTTTTTAAGTAAATATAAAGTTAAGAATCCTTTGATTACATTACCAATATTTTTTCGTTTTTTTTTTATAACTCATTGAAAAAAAAATTTTTATATTGTAAATTTTAAATTAACAATTTTAATCTACGATGTATCACAATTATGTGTGTAATATAAATTTTTTGATAAATTATGCGTAGACATAAAAATAATTAAATTCATATGACAGAGATTTTTTTTTTTTTTATTTTTTCTGATATAACATTGATCTAAATTTATCAGTCTCGAAGTATAAACAATAATTAATATTGTAAAATGAATTAATTATTTGACTAAAACATTAATTTGAACAAAAAATTTTTTACGATTATCAGTGACAACGTTTGCTGAACGAATTAAATCTGTAAACAATTGTTGACAAATATTGTAATTATATAATATTACTTGTAATATAATTTAAGAAAAAATGATAAGACTATATTAGAAAGAATAACGAATAAAAAAAAAAAAAAAAGAGAAAAAATTAAGATAGAAAATATTTGTTATCAGTAATTGTTTTATTGATTTTATTCATTACTGATAATAGAACGTTTGGAACATAAATAGTTTTTGGCTTATCAAATAATCAATACAATTCATAAGTTAATAATATCAATTTTTTTATTTACTTTTTTTTTTTTTAATACTTCATAGCATTTTGTAAAAAAAAAAATTATTCCAAATAATTTCTCATCAATAATTGAATTCGTTTGATCAAATATTCAAAAAAAAAAAAAAAAAAATTCTTTTTTTAACTATAAAAACTTATTTTGGTAAATAATTTTTCCAGCCATTTCCTTCTGTTTTCCTTTTTTTTTTTTTGGTGAATAAATTAAAAAATTTAGGCAACAATAAATTTAAAAAAAAAAAGAAATTCGTATAATTTTGCATTAAAAACAAAAAAAAAAAAAAAGGAAGGAAAGAAAATAAAAAACTTTTTCAAATTAACAATTTTTTTTCCTTTTATTTTTAAAATTTCAAATATTACTTTTACTAACTTACAGGAATTAATATTGTGCACAAATCATTTCAATCAATAATGCACGGAAAAATATCAATTTAACTGCTATTTTTCCGGTTTTTTTTTTTTAGGCGATCATTAAAAATATAATTTTATTTAAATAGCAATAACCAATCAATAATGGAGGAAAAAAAAAAAGCATCGATAACCATAGTCTTATATTAAAAGCAAACGGAACAAGTTTGAATCAATTTAAAATCAAATTTAATTCCAATTTGAAAAAAAAAAAAAGAAAGAAACAAGTTTTGAAATTCTTAGATAAAAATTCGACCGAAATTTGAAAATGAGAAAAAGTTGCAATGTTAAAAAATTTTAGCCATATTTATATATATATTCATTTCTTTCTCATTTAAAGGATTGATTGAAAAGAATTTAACATCTCGACAATAATAAATCATCGATAGTTACAATTTTTTCCTTTTTTCCTTTTTTTTTTTTGAATTTTTAAGGAATAAAAAAAAAAAAAAGAAATTTGATGCGTACAAAATTAATTTTTTAATCACTTAACATTTCAAAATTTTTATTTTAATTGTTATTTTTTCAGTAAGCATATATATATATAATTGTCATATACATAATGCATTACACTATTAATATAAAAAAAATTTTGAAATATTAATGATTTTATTTTGATTGTTAAATATATTTAAATAATTCATTCATATATTAATTATTTTAAATAATATAATTGTTAAAATTATTAAAGCTATTGAAATTATTATTGTTATTAATTATTGTAATCATTAAAATTAGTGTTATTATAATATATTATTATTAATTATTAAACTTTTTATTATTGTTTATTATTACAATTTTGAAACTATTGTTATTCATCAATTGTTAAAATTAGTGAAATTATCAAAAGGAGTTAAAAAAGAATTATATGTAAATTATTAAAGTAATTATTATTATAACTATTAGTTTCCTACTATTATTATTATTACCACTGTTATTATTATAACTAACAGTTTCTTATTATCATTACTATTACCATTATTATTATAACTATCGGTTTCCAATTATTATTACTATTATTATAACTAACAGTTTCCTATTATTATTATTACTATTATAACTATCATTTCCTATTATTATTATTACTATTATAACTATCATTTCCTATTATTATTATTACTATTATAACTATCATTTCCTATTATTATTATTACTATTATAACTATCATTTCCTATTATTATTATTACTATTATAACTATCATTTCCTATTATTATTACTATTGTCATAACTATCATTTTCCTATTACTATTATAACTATAATATTATTCACCACTGCTATAATTGGTACTCATAGCAATGGTTGTAATGATTACAGCAAGTGGTTGACAGTGTCATCAATTTGTTATCAGCAATTTTGTCATAGTAGTAGTACAGTTATTATGAATGAAAGGCAATGGTATCTATTTAAATAGAAAGACAGGGAATAGTATTATGTTTTGTAGCAGAAGAGAGGAAAAACAGAAACTAATCATAAAAAATTTGAAATTAAAAATTAATGAATAAATTAAAATTTTAATGAAGAAAAATTTGTTAATCATTTTAATTGTTAATTAATTATAATTTTAACATTTAACACACAACATAAACAACAATCAACATTTTTTGTATTATTTGCTAAATAATATAATTATATTTGTGAAATATTTTGCTTCGTTTATTTTGCATATTTTAAATGGTAAACATTTTCCAATAATTAATTTCAATTCCTATTTTATATTACTATCTATTTCATTTCAAACTATTTTCTAAAATTTACGTTATAAAATGAAATTATCGAAAATACAACTAACAGTTTGAGTTAAATAAAATAGTAGCAAATGAATATTGTGAATATTTTATCTATAAATATTTAATTACATAAACGTTTGAATTGATAAGATAGTGCATTGTACTAAATGATAAAATGATAAATTTCTTAAACAAAAAAAAAAAAA